TCCAATTACTACAGATAACATAGCATGAAATAGCAATATTCGATGATATTCAGAAAATATGTCTGTAGTGCTAGTAGTGTATCCTGCTGAAGTTCATGATATATTACATCAATACACTATTTCTTAATTAAACATGCATTAATAATCAGTTAAATAACGTAATGTTTAAAGGAGAAAATTTATAAAATATTTTTATGGCAAGCCATATTTTTTTAGTTTAAAACAGTTTATTGGTATAAGTTTCGAGGGGCCTCAAACGGATGGTCGTCGAGCGCCACACACTCTCTTCCTATTCTCTCTAAGCTGTTCCTCGTGTCCCTAGGGCGGCCGTAACAAGTTAATGTCTTTGAGTGCTAGGGGTGGAGGAACATAGCTTATAAAGTAGGACTTTATACGGTCACTCCTCAATGGGATAATGGCACTGAGATAACGTGCCACCGCGCGAGTAGTACTCACGCTACGGTCTACGCACTGGGCCTTAGTTTCGGGATAGTCCCGGAACAGAGTCCTCCATGCGTGTTTAGGTAACTTCCCCCAAGAAGCGCATCGACCAAACTGTTTGTCGATACTTGAGATAGTGCGCTTATCTCCTAATCAAAATTATTCATTTATAAATATAATTAAATTTTTATAAATTATTTACATATGGAAGAACCGGTTGAATTAGAAATTAACAAGATAAAGATAGATTTTATCTGTTTATACAATTATATAAAAATACTATTTATTGGCGTATGCCCGAAGAACCAGAATGCATCACTCGCAACTGATAAAGACAATGTTCATAATTGCATAGGGACTTTTGTTATTAATGTTAATGATAGCCTTGAAGAAATTGAAAAAAAATGGTTAGCTTTGCCTCCTATTAAGTATTATAATGCATATAATTCAATTTATGCTGATAATATAATAGTAGTTGCATTATACTTAATATTACTTAAGGCATTCCATGTAATTGAAGAAAAATCAGCCCATGCATTAAGTAATTTAATACCTACAAATATACACCCATTCCTTCATGAATATGTATTAAGTGGCAATTTCCTTTATACGCTACTCCAGATTGTTTCTGGTAGTTATATTATTATGGGATTAATAGAGCCAGTATATTGGATACTTAGAAAATCTAAAAATATTACCAAAAAGATATTAAACCCTATATTATTCGGGTTATTCGCTGTGGCATTTGCATACACTGTTTATTTAATTGCTATGTGGATGATTTTTTTAATCTTAAGATTAGTTGAAGATTATACTATTATATCAAATATAATAGTATACGGATATTTATTTCTCAAATCACTTATATTATACGATCATATATATAGTGTTTATAAAAAAAGGCATTCAAATAGATACATTGGCGAATACATTGCTTCTATATTATATACTATTTTATTAATAATGAGTATTGGTGCTGTTATATATACATATAGTGATAATATTCTTAAAATAATTAAATATGTTGTATACTGAGACTAGCATTTGTGTAGCACGACATGAGTTATCGGAGTGTTTACATAAACAGGGCCGCACAAATTAAATCAGAAATATTTGTTAACACAACAAGTCAGAATAAATTAAATTGATAATATGGTCTATAAATACGTATACAGATTCAATAAAAGTCAAAGTTTAAGAATGCTTTTTTCTAAGAAAACAACTACCAGTGTATTTAATGATATTTATACAATTATATAAAATTTAGGATTTCTATATTTAAGGAAATTATGGTAACACCACCACTCAGACGTGAGCCCCGAGGGCGATCCGTCTGCGCGCCAGCTCGCGCGGTGATCCCGCCAAAGCAAAGGCCAGGATCTCTGAATCAGTATATCAACTTCTGACTATTTAACCGGAGCTCTTCCCCCAATTTAGAGGGAGACTCAGGGAAGCATCAACGGCTTAACTTCAGCGCCAGGCCTAACACAGCTGCGCCCTTGGACGCCGTGTCCGCGCTGACTTAGGCCGCTTTCTAAAGATAATAAAGAGCTCTTCCCTTTCATTCTCTTCTCTCTCTTGGCTACGTAGCAGGGCGGCGGTGGCGTTACTCCTTGTGAGTACGTCAAATATATTGAAATGAATATATTTATTGTGGCAAGTCATATTGATGATAGGCAATTAGAATAAAAATAGAAATTTTAAAAAAAATAAAAATGAAAATTATAGATAATAGTAGTAGAGCATTTAATTTACAGGAAGGCATTAATATAAAACCACCTAAAGCCATAACTAATTTAGAAAATGTCATAACTTATATACAAATAAGTCAAAAAAAATATTTGGCTGACTACAATAGTAAAGGTAAAATTAATACAGAAATAAGAAATTATTTAGTTCGTACGTATGGCATTATAGACACAATTATGGAAGTAGCAGAAGAATTAGGCAGTGAAGACAAAAAACAAGCATTTTATGAATTAATGGAAAATAATCATATTATTATGGCGGGTGTTTATAAGATTAGAAATAAGTTCTTTAATTTTGCTATTAATGTACTTTGTGAAAAAGCCGGCTTACCAGAGTTAGATGACAAAATGACTTCAGAAGATGCAATGATTAAGCTGTGTGAGTTAGCAGAATCTAAAAACTGCTCTAGATTACAAAGAGCATTAGATATACTAGTGAAACATGGCGATAATCTAACTATAGTTGATAAGGATGGAGAAGAACAATCAAATGCAAGTAATTTAAAGTTAACTAATGATGATATTTATTCATTACAATTACTTACAAAAACAAATAAGTGGGGTGCTACAGCATTTTCTGAGTTTTTAGTGTGTTCAGTTTATGGTTCAATATTTGGTGAGGCACCCTGTAGCACCAATAATTTTTTAAATTATTCTATATATAATTTATACAATATAGTATTTGTTATGGCTGTGGAAGGCGATGATACAAATACAGACATAGAAGCATATAAAAAAAAGAACATAAGTAAAATTAAAAAATACTTGAATGATCTGAAAAATAAGAACAGACTGAACATTCGATCTATAATTAGGCCATCTGTTATATATAATGATATAAAGCATTATAAGAACTGGAGTGATATCAAATTTAAAACTAACGTAATTAAGAATTATATATCCCCCATAAAGTCACTTGTTTCAATTATTAGAGGAGAATCTAGTCGTACAACTAATGAGGAAGCACAAACTAGCAATAGCGCATCTTCTAGTCTGCATGAACAAAAAAATAATGAAATTATACAAGATGTTATTAATACTTCTAATTTAAAAGAGGAAGATATTACTTCTTTATCAGTGGCCAGTTCTTCTAGCACACCATCTGATGAACAACCAATTGCAGATTTCTTGAATAATAATAATTTATCTATTATACTAATAACTATAGCTATTTCTATAATTATCCTTAGTATATTCGGGTTATACCAAAATGAGATAAAACCACTAATGAACAATTAAACATTCATTATTTTAACATTAGCACTGCATTAAACTATAATGCTTATATAAGCATAGTATGAGAAGAGTAGTCCAGTAATTAAAGTAACAATCCAATATTCTTTCTTGTTTTATGTTCTTCTCCCTGTTCTTTATTTTATATTTTTAGTCTATATTTAAATTTGTTTGTTCTTATACAAAGTGTAAACTTATTTTAATTTTTATTATTCTTGCCATATAAAACTTTAGAAATTTACATATAACAGAGCTAGAAGATATCGCACAGATGAGTGCATGGCATCCACACTAGGAATAGTTCATCATATGATAGAAATCAACAGAGGCAATCAGCCAGTTCTTTAGAAAACTCATTAAAACACATTATTATTGAATATGCCTTTATAGACCGTATAATTAACTTAATCTATAATTGACACACAATATCAATAATTATTTCTGTTCTAATTTATACTGACATATTTCTTAAACATTACAATAACTCATTTTATGCCAAGCCAATGCTATTCTTAGCATACAGCACTAATAAACAGTGCTTTAATTTCTTAATAAGATATTTTATGACAGCATGCAATTAAATTAAATTAAATATTTTTATAGTTTAATATGACAAGTTATATTGATAAGAAAAAGCTTAAATACGAATAAGAATTTCAAAAACCAGCAATGGAAAATGGAAAAAAAATAAATTCACTAACAAATCTGGCAAGTAATATATATTGTATTCAAATGTATCAATGGAATAAATATATGAAAAAACCGGGCATTAAACCGAGTAAAAGTTTAATAGAAGAAAAGTCTGTAAACTATGCATACATGGTTATAGACACAATTATGGAAGTAGCAGAAGAATTAGGCAGTGAAGACAAAAAACAAGCATTTTATGAATTAATGGAAAATAATCATATTATTATGGCGGGTGTTTATAAGATTAGAAATGAGTTCTATAATTCTGATATTAATGTACTTTGTGAGAAAGCCGGCTTACCAGAGTTAGATGACAAAATGACTTCAGAAGATGCAATGATTAAACTGTGTGAGTTAGCAGAATCTAAAAACTGCTCTAGATTACAAAAAGCATTAGATATACTAGTGAAACATGGTGATGATCTAATTATAGTTGATAAGGATGGGATGGAATCAAATGCAAGTAATTTAGGATTAAAAAATGATGACATTAAATCATTACAGCTGCTTACAAGAATAGATACGTGGGGTATTGGAGATTTTTCTGAGTTTTTAATGAGTTCAGTTTATGGTTCAATATATAATTTCTACAATAATAATAGAGACAATAATATTTATTTTTCTCTATATAATTTATATGTTACAGTATTTGATATGTCTACATATATAGATGAAAATAAGATAGACATAGAAGCATATAAAAAAGAAAATATAAGTAAAATTAAAGAATACTTGAATGAACTGACAACAATAAAGAGTTTTGGCGTTATCAATCCAGTTCCGAATTCTAAAATATATAGTGATATAAAGAACTATAATAACTTTAATGATGAAAAGTTTATAATTAGCTTAATTCCGTATTACATAGCTCCTGTACGCTCTTTTATTTTAACTAATAGAAGATCCAACGGATTATTTAATATGCAGTCAATTAGAGATTTCTTTAATAGAAATAACGAAATTACAGTATTATTAATTTTGGGTGTTTTTGTATTTGGTGCTAATATGTTGACGTATGTCAAACTAAGACAACCCATGTAATGAATATTTTGATATTCATTATTTTAACATTACCACTGCATTGAACTATAATGCTTATGTAAGCATACTCTAAGAAGAGTAATTCATTAATTAAAGTGGCAATCCAATATCCTTCTTTATTTTATATTCTTAGTCTATATTATATACGATTACTTCATTAATAATAGTGTATATTATATATAACCAGCTGTTATTAGTAAACATTAAGTATATTTTATGTGTAGTATATATGTCAGTCTATTTCTGTTTATATTGTATATATAAAGAGAGTGGTATAATATTATATACAGTGTAATCTTTCATGGTGTAGTGGTTATCATTCTCGCTTGTCACGCGGGGGACCAGGGTTCGATTCCCTGTGAGAGAGTTTTTTGCTGTAATAATAAATAAATAAATATTATTACACATTGTGTACTAATAATAATATAACTTATTACACATTGTATACTATTTATTTATTATTACACATTGTATACTAATATTTATTTATTAATAGTGCTATAACTTATTACACATTGTATATTTAATTTTAGTGTATAAAAATTTATTTATTAATTAATTAATTAATTAATTTTTTTTCAATTTCATTTAAAAATAACGAACTTTTTTTTTTACATACTGATAAATAGTCTAAAATACACTGTAAATATGAAATATGTCTAGAGACAAGCAAAGAATTCTCTTTTATGTTCTGTTCTTCCTTTAATTTAAATATTTTCTTCTTTAATTCGTTAAATTTGTCTATAAATAGTGCATCATACTTCTGTATCAGAGTAAAATACGCATTTATCGTGGTATTTAGGCTAATTTCTATATTATACAGAACTTTTGAATCAAAGCAGTATATATTCCAGTTTTTTATCAAATTTGTTGTATAATTATTTAATTTAACGGTTATATTCATAATTACCTGAAATTCCTTAGAAATTACCAGGTCAAGTGCATTTACTTCTATTTTTATCTGGTCTATTGTATTTTTAATTGCATCACATGTATTTATTGCTATAATATTCGCTGTTGACATTATTTGTATATCTAACTGAAATATTTCTAAATTTTTTAATATAAATTTTGTTTTTTCAAAATTTTTACTATCTGGATTTAATTTAATAAATTTTTTCATTTCTTTCTCTGCTATATTTGTACATGTCCATAAGTCCTTTATTTTTTTAATATTCAGGGCTTCAAGCATTCTATAACTGTTAAAAGTTTTTATTATATTATAATACGATTTTATAACGGATATTTTATCTTCTTCTGTGTATTTAGTACAAATATACACCATAGACCTTTTAAGTGTATTTATACATACAGAAAATTCAGTTATATTATCTATTGATAAGAAAATTTTAGCTTCTATATCTGGTAATGTTAGTACTGAATATCTATTAATTATTTCCTTATTAGGAAACAAATCCGTTATTTTTATAATTTTATACATATTTTTTTTTGAAATTGGGTTAATCCCTATAAACCCATGCACTCTCACCAAGGGAGTATTAAACCGTGTACTGTCCCCGTGTCCATGTGCTCTGTATGGACCCGTGTCTTGTGAAATGTCTTCAGATAAGCATTCAACTGATAATAAAATATTATATAAATTATTTTTGATAATTATTTTTGCTGTTTTCCTATTACGGAATAATAAATACCGGTTATTTCCTAATATGGTAATATTCGTTTTTATATAATTATTTATACTATTAAAACTATTTATATCTTCTATTACTTCTTCTATCCTATCCAAGCACAATTCATATTTTAAGTCTACAGATGACTGTATACTATGCTTAATTATATTATACGTACATGCATCCATAGGATAAAATGTACACATACTAGGATATATAAGTACATGTATTATAAATAATGAACTTATCATAATATATTGAACAATCCTCATAAAGTATTATTTAATAGTAATTGTGTAATAAGAAATATAATTTATACATTTATTTTTACACAATTGCTATTAAATTAAAATTTTAAATCTCTGCAATTAAATATCAAAATTTTTCAATTACTAAAAATAGAAATTTCAGTTATTTTTAAACAGTAAATAATTTATTCAATCGAAACCTTCTTTTTCCTGGATGTAAGATATTTAATAGTACCACAAATACCACCAACCATACAAACACCAATTATACCATACTTATATGAAATAGGCTTAACCTTAACATACTTCGGTAGTGTCCCCTCCTTATACTGCGCTAATTGCTCATCAAAATACGATTTTATAGATTCCTTCGATTTCCGACCCCGGCCATAAAAAACCTGCTTCTCAGGATCAAAAAACACAATTATTGATGATAACCCGACTAACCCGAAATTAGTCTCAGTAAATTTAGGATACTCCCCCTTATCAATAAACGTAAACACATAAGGAGATGAAGATATCCCACGATTACTCTCCATGGCAATTTCTTCAAATAGGCCTAATTCAGAACTGTTCCCATCAGTTATTATGCTTACAACAGGCTTTAACCCATGAAAAATTGAATAAAAGTTGTCCATGCCTAATTTTGAAATATTCGGGAAGTGTGCATGAAATAACCATTCTCTTACTTCTCCCTCGTTGTTTATGTCCCCATCATAATAAAACTTATTATTATTCTTAAATACGGCCAGTCTAAGTATGGGCGTATCCTCAGCTGATTCTATTTTCATCTTGTACGTTACTGCATTCATCTTTAAATCGTGTGATATTCGTCTGAATGCCCTGTTGGCTATTACTATATCTGAATAGAACACGACAAAAGTGGGTTCTGTTATATTTGTCAGTTGGTCACTGGTTATTTCCTTAAAGCTTGGTTCAATTAGTCTACTGCAGAACTCATAAAATGCGGACAGGGTCATTTCACCGTTATACCTCATAAGGATACCATCGTACATGACTAAAATACCTGGGAAGTCGTATATATAGTACCTACCAGCAACTATTTCCTTATCTACCCCTATATATCTTGCTATTTTTATATCTCCATTGAATGATTTATATGTCTCTAATAAGATATCTTCAATTACGTGATCATATCCATTATTGAAATAAACAATCCATGGACCTGAAAATGTTGATAAAAAATCTTGTTTGGAAAGTGTTAATAATTCAGTTGGTGAAGATTTTTGTTTTTCAAAAATTTTCTTATTAAAACCTGTTTTTTCTGCAAAAATTTCAATAATTTTTTCATACGGCATGTCACCTGAAAATTTAAATAACTGTTTTCCATCCTTATTAATAATTACTGTGGGTATTACTTCTATTTCTGATGTATCCGTACATGTGGCTGTGTCTACGTTATACAGGTTTATGTCTATTTGCTGTTTCTCTATTGAATTGACTATCTTTTCTATTTTAGGTGCTATACTCTTACAGTGTATACATTGGTCCCTGTAGTACTTTATTATAGAGTACCCTGTAGATGGTGGTGATATCCTACATGTATTATACGTCTGACTGAGTACGTATTTTATAAGCAGTGAGCAGAGCAGGAATTGTCCTATTAACATGTTAATGGGTAAGGAATTCTTCTTAAATAGTTTACGGCCGGGTTTCATCGGTGTTTCTTCACTCAGAAAAACAAACACGCTGAAGTAAAGTATCAATATGTTTATTTAATAGAACACTTTATAAGCTATATGTAATAAATAAAAGATAAAACACAATACACAAGAAGTAATACACAAAATATACATAAATTACATATAGAATATAGTACACTGTGTGTAATAAGTAAAAAATAAGCAAAGGACAAGTAAGTAAAAATATAATAAGTGGAATATATTACACTATGTGTAATAAATAGTAGTATAGGATAATATAATAAGTGGAATATAGTACACTATGTGTAATAAATAGTAGTAAAGGACAATAAATAGTAGTATAATAAAGTAAATAAAACATAGTACACTATGCGTAATAAGTAAAGGATAAGTAAAGGACAATAAAGTAAATAGAATAGAATATAATACACTATGTGTAATAAATAGTAGTATAATATAATATAGTGCACTATGTGTAATAAGTAAATAAAACATAGTATACTATGTGTAATAAATAGTAGTATAACATAATATAGTGCACTATGTGTATAAAGTAAATAGAATATAATACACTATGTGTAATAAGATAGTAGTATAATTATAAAGTATTACTTATTATGCCATGTATAATAAATAGAATACACTATGTGTATAAAGTAAAGGATAAAGCATAGTATATAATACACAATGCGTAATAATTGCTATATTTATTATACAGTGCGTAATAAGTAGTAGTATATAGTACACTATATGTAATAAATAATAGTATATTTACTATAATGTATAATATTTAGTACTTCTCTTATTTCTTCATTACTTATTATGCTATATACAATAAGTACCATATAGTATACAGTGTGTAATAAGTAAAGTATAATATAATACACAGTGTGTAATAAGTAGTAGTATAATTATAGTGTATCACTTATTATATATAGTGTAATAAATAGTATATAGTGCATTATGTGTAATAATTTATGTATAAATTTATTTTTTTATTTAACCCCTGGATCTCTGCACAGTACTATTATAAACTGTGCAGTACAATAATATCACTAGTTTAAAACCATCGATAATTTAATAATAGTTGATGACCTGACTCTAGACACATTTTAACTTTAACATCTAAAATATACTATAACTTATTATACATTGTGTAATATATACTAATTATTACACATTGTATAATAAGTCTTAGCGTTTACTATAAATAGAATTGAAAATTAAAAAATTTTAAAGAATGGCAAGCAGTGAGGCGCTCTCACACAGTAAAAAATTACAAAATATTTCAGAAATAACGAATTATCAAGAAATATTCAAAAATTCAATGAAATGCGTGTGTTATGCCTCACATTTAACAAGAAATGCACCAATTATTAATCCTTCAATTAAATCCGACTTGTCCCCAGTGACGGTATACGATATAATCATACAAATGATATTCTGTAAGTTTCTAGATGGATTTCCGGTTACAATTGTAACAGAAGAAGAGAATAACGAATACTACAACAGGATATACACAGATATACATAATAATACAACAGAAGAGTATATTTATATAAGGGAATTCCTTAAACAGAATAAGATAGTACTTAATAATACGAGTAGAAGGGTATTTACACAGTCATTTATAAGCAGTGATAATATTACAGTAATATTAGACCCAATTGATGGTACAAAAGGGTTTATTAATGGCCGGTCTTATTCAACTGTTGTATCCTGTGTAAAGAGTGATAAAGTACTGTTTTCTATTATATCCTGCCCTAAGGAAGGTATTATTTACTATAAGTGCAATATGGCAGGATCAGATGGGTTACTTCTGGGGTATCCACACAGGAAGCGGGTTAAGACACTCTATATTAATAAGTCATTTAAACCCACGTATAAAAGGTTCATAAAGAGTTTATCACTGCGTATAGGCATATCAGCAGAGAGTGACCATTCAAATAGTATACAGAATGAGTTTATCAGTAGGATTAGTCAGGTGTACACAGTGCATGTAAAGAAGTTAGATGGCCAGAGTAAATATGCCTGTGTTGCTGTGCAGAAGTTAGACTTATTCATTAGGATACCCAGGACCAGAATAACAGAGAAAGTATGGGACCACTGTGCTGGTATAGATATGAATGACCTGTCAATTGTTACTGATTTATACGGCATACCGATTACACCGTGCACTCCTCCTGTTTATGGCGTAATTGCATCGCACTCTTCAATCTTTCATAATTTATCAATTAGTCTATTGAAAGTCTTACTGAAAGATTTTAATTTATGAAGTTAGATATACTATTTGAGATAGGTCTGGCGATTGCATCGATTATTCCCATGCTAACACAATCAGCCACACTAGACTCTGCCATAAACAGGTGTGAAGACTACCAGGAAGAAATTTTAGACGTACTTAAGGATATAGAAGCAGAGATAGAGGATAATTCAATATTAACCACACCAGTTCTAGAGACAGATTTAAAGATGTTATACATAACTCATAATGATTATATAAAGAAGAATAACCAGTTGGTTCTGTATAAGATAAAACTACACAATAGTAACCAGAATTTATACGAGTGTGACAAGACAACGAGTAGTAGATATGACATATTCTCACCGGATTTAAGAAATTATGCCAAGAATACTACATTAGGACGTACACCAGCAGAGAAGCTCTGTATGGTCATGTATTATAATATGCCAGGGTTTATACATAAAACAAGAATGGTTGTTAAGAAGTTATATGATCAGGAACAGACAACTGCCGATAAGAAGAGGAATAATTTCATATTCACATGGAAAGATCCAACAAATAGCTTAAACAATTACGTCGGCCTGGCCACAATTGCAGCTAGTAAAAAAAGTGGTCGTACCAGTGTGGAGAAGATGGTTATGTCTATTTATCCTAACAGTATATGTACATTACATAATAATTCAACAGAAGCCATTAATGCATCAAGTGAGGGTCATCGTGAATTAATATACCCATTTAAGACCAATAGTGGTAATAAAATCAACATAAGAAGGTTCAAAGATATCTTAAACAAGAAGAGTTCTGGCAATGTTGGATTTGAATTCTTAAAGACAACCGTTGGATTCTGCACTAATTACATACAGTTGTATAACAATCCCATACTGGACACGCATGGATCCATGAGTTTTATAGATAAAGCACATGCTGATTTAGACATAAAGAATACGGAACTCTCCAAGCGTATTAATAAGATGATTTTAGACTTAAGCCTAGACATCCCCATTAAATTCACTGAGTATATTGAACTTATTGAAGATTCCTTCAATATCCAAATGGATGCCATACACAATTTAATCTGTGACTCATCTTATTATGCCTTACGTAATATGATATCTAAGTACTATATAAACATAATCGATAGGAATAAGTCAATAAAGCCAATGACCGCGGCAGAGTTCTATCAGATAAGGAAGTCATTACTCGCATTAGTAAACTCCTATCATAAAGAAGAGATTGCCAATGGGAATATTCTATCGAATGTGATAGATTTAAACCTGTCCAGTTTTGGCAAGGACATTCACTTATTCTCACAGCCATCTACTTTAAACCCATCTGAGAAGTATACGCAGCACCTACTTAAACTTGCATGGGCCAGGTTCGGTGAGTTTGAATCTAATTTAGCCGGAAGGGAGAGGCAGTATGAAATAATAGTTGATGATCTTAAAACACTAAATCATACAGTGAGTATGCATAAGATAGTTAGATCTATCGAGTCAGTTGCCAGTTACTGTGCACTTGGTGAATTTGGCAGACTGCGTGAATTAATCACACAGTTATACATAATCACGTCTGAGATAGACCTTATACACGAAGAGATCACTAATCTTAAGGAGTATAAATTATGTCTCAGTGGAAATAGTGATAATCCTGCCATATTGAATAATCAAGCAGCAAATACTTTACTTAATAAGATCAATCTAAGGAATACTATTATAATGTCATTTATGACTGCTATTAGTATGCAGAAGTATAAGTATTCTGAGTTTGACTTACTGTCTAAGGATTCCGTATATTTAGATGTATACGACTTATTCAATATAAATCAGACGAGTCCAGTGCATGACCCACAAGCACATTTAATTAATATACGCATACATAATGATATACAGAGACAGTTACCCAAACCATCTCCAATAACCACTGCGAATGCAGGGTTTACTCCATTATCATGTGCTGAATTAGGGCGTACTATGGATTTAAATAGGATTAGTCTGTCTAATGATAATTATAAGGAGTATTTAAATTTAGCACTGACTGGATTAAGCACAGACGCTAATAATGGAGACACGAATAATCCATTAATGCCTGTGGATTAAATAATTATTAAACCTATCCAATAATTATAATAAATAATCTAAACATGAAATATACGTTAAACAACAATCGTACAGATAATGACTGTAAGGTATCCATACAGTATATAATTGGTTACTAACACAGCCGTATCCTGGTTATATTCAGCACATTCACACGAATACACAGTAAATTATGCAGATTACACGGTAATATACAGTAATACACGGACTATATACAGTAATATACAGTAATATACGGACCATATACTTGATTACATGGATTATATGCCTATTATATACTAATTATATGGACTATATGCAGTAATATATTCATTATATGGACTATATGCAGTAATACATTCATTATATGCCTATTATACAGCAATATACTTGATTACACGCCTATTATATACTAATTATATGGTAATATACGCCTATTATACAGTAATATACGTTAATACACTTGAGTATACGCTATTTACACCTTAATCATCCGTTATTTATATTAATTACACCTTAATTATCCGTTATTTATATTAATTACACTTTTATTATACGTTTATGTTCATATTAACTGCCAGTGTGAGTGTACTCTCTGCTGGTCTGTATACTCCTATAAATACATCTGCTAATTCGTACATGTTCTCTCTTAGACTGATTACTAAGAATTGGCAGTCATTTGACCTCTCTTGAATGAACTGCCCAACTATCCCTACATTCTTATAATCTAATGCAGCATCAATCTCATCCATAACATAAAAACTATTCGGGTGGTACTCGTGTAATGCGAATATTAAGGACAGTGAAGCAAGTGTCCTCTCTCCACCACTTAAATGAGAAATACTCTTCCAGCTCTTCCTGGGTGGCATGACACTCATTATCACTCCCTCTGAGAATGGGTCTAAATAATCAACAGGCTCTATCTCTGCATCACCACCAAATGTGAGCATACTGTAGATCTTCTTTAATTCTGTGTTTATCTGCTTAATACTGGACATGAATTTAGAAGACCTTTCCTCCTTTAGTGCCATGAGAGAGTCCTTTGCCTTCCTCTCCTCTGATTCTTTTGTGGTTACTTGGTCATTTTCTTTCTGGGCTTGGCTCTTTTTATTTTGGTATGTTAAGTATACTTCTATTTCTGCAGTGACTTCTTCTTGTGTTATGGTATCCTTGATGTACTCTGTGGACTCTTCTATTGAATTTTTATGGCTGCCTAATTTTTCTGTTATTCCCTTTTCTATTCCCTTTATATTATGCTCCTCTTTACCGATTTGGTCTAGTTTCTTATGGATTAATTTTATATTTTCATCGGCTACGGTTATTCTCTCTTCAAGTTCTGTTTCCTTTATTCTATAAATATCTATTTCTCGTTGCATGGAGATTCTTTTATCTTCTGCTGTGGACACTTTTGATTTTACTTCTCTTAATTCTCTCTCTGATAGTTCCATATCCGACTGTTCTTTATTAATTGGTTCTAGTACGAACTCATTTAGTCTCCTTATGACGTCTTCTAATTGAGACTCCTTTTCCTGTGGTGATATTAGTGGTTCATTCAAGTACTTCTGTAATTGCTTGTTTCTTGTTTGTAGTGTGAATATTTGTTCTTCTAACCCGGCCAGTCTGGCTTTCATGGTTTTGTAGGACGACCCGCCAATCTCGTCTAAAACCGTTTGGTACTTTCTGATTGTTTCTTCTAATTCTGATTCTGTTTGGTTTAATGCTTTGATTTTTTTAATTAAGGTATTCTCGTTTTCTTTGATTTTTTTGTACTGGATTTCCAAATCGGGTAATGTTTTCATTTCTTCCTGGGCAGTGGCCAACTGCTTTTCTAAACTTATAATTTCACTTTCTGACTTCTCTTTGTTTTTTTTGTGGGTGGTCTCTGCTTCTAATTTTATTGTGGTTTTCTCAATTGCTGCCTCAACTAGTCTAAGCCCGTCCTGGGCCTCTTTAACCGATGCCTGGGCCTCTTTCAGTTCTTTATTAATCTCCTTCTGAGTTCTTCTCTGTGAGAGTATAACTGGCCGTACTGCACCACCGCTCATCAGTCCACTTCTGTCAATTACCTTCCCATCAAGTGTGACCACTTTTGGTCTGTCTGGTGCAAATGCCCTTTTCATGGCAGCCTCCATATTGTTCACTACAAGAGTATCCCCCAGTACGTGATAAAAACACTTTTTGTACAAATCCTTTGTTCTTATCTTATCCAGCAGCCTGTTACACTCTTTGCTCTGCTTTATATCGCTTATAATCTTATCCAGGACAATTATTGTGTGCCTTCCCAGGTTCTTGCTCTTTATTATGTCCAAGCACTTCTCGGCTATTCTTGTTGTATCTACAACTAAATTATTCAGTGACCCTTTAGCTACAGCAGAAAGTGCCATTGTGTACTTATCTGGGATCGAGCCTAAATCCTTCAATCTCCCGTGGTATCCTTCTATCTGAAGGTGTTCACTTAACTTATCCGTAACATCAGATGTTCTCATTTCAGACTGCACTTCACTGAGTAAATTCTCTCTCTTTCTTAGCTCTATTATCGTGTCCTCCCTTATTTTCTTCAACTCACACAGCTTTTTCTCGTGCTTTATGTACTTGTCTTCACTGTACGCGCACGCACTCTCCCGTACTCTTTTTATTTCCTGGGGTATTTCTTGTGTACACTTTTCAATTTTTGATTTTTTCAGTTCGATACTCTCCCGCTCCTTCGTTTTTTCTCTTAAACTGTCCTTTACACCCTTTGCACTTCTCATGTGGTCTAATAATTGCTTTTGTGACCTTTCTAATTCTACCTTATCACTCCCATTCATGCTCTCCTCTACTTTCTGGATATCTAAAATTATTTTGTCTCTCTCGCTCTGTCCGTTATTTATTTTTAAGTCGTTCTCTTCCTTTTCTTCTTTACTGTTCTTTTTCTTCTCTTCCTGTACCTTCTTCTCTTCTTTTATTTTATGGATCTCTTGCTGTAGTGACAGTTTCTTACTCTCATGGATCTTTATTAACTCCTGTACTTTCCGGTTTCTTATATCAATACTCTCATACTTGCTCTTTACTTCTAAGAAAATCTGCTCTTTCTTCCTAAACTCTGATTTGGCTTGTTCCTCTTCTGCCTCTGCTGATTTTTGTATGTTTAGTACTTCATTCTTCTTCTGCTTTACCTCTTCTATCTCCAAATCTGACTGTTTCTTCTGATTAAGTAGGGCTTCTAGGGCTTCACTTGATTCTTTCCTCTCCTCAGATATAATTGACACTCTTTTGCTTATTCCTGATAAATAACTGCCTATCCTTGTTCTGGCTGCTTCTGCTTTAGGCTCTAAATAACCCACCTCTTTCTCTATAAATTGATACTCTGCCCTATACCTGTCAGCTAGTTCTGTGGCAGTTCTTAAATTATCCTCTGCTGCCTTTATCTTATCTATTAACTGATTAGTACCAATTATCTCTTCTAAATACTCCACTAGCCCCACCTGATCTCCACTGCCTTTTGGCTTCATATTTGAAATACTCTCAATCTCTCCCTGCAGTATCATAAACCTATTATTGGCCAAGTCCACATTGTACATTTTCATTAGCTCAGTAACCCTATCCTGCACAGCCATTTCATTATTTATTGTGTACGTACTCTTCCCTGCCTTATTCACAGTCCTAGACACACTCACTGATTCATTCTGATCATCTTTTAATTCAATTGTTACAGTCGCCTTCCCTGGTTTAGGCTCACCAGAGTGTATTAAATCCTCTGCTCTTGAGTGCCTTAACTTCTTGGCTTTAAACCCTAACACGAACAGTATTGCATCTATTACGTTACTCTTCCCTGATCCATTAGGACCCACTACCGTATTAAATTTCCTACCAAACGGCCCTATCACATGCTCTCCTTTATAACTCTTAAAGTTCTCTACAATAATCCTTTCTATGTAAAGCCTTCTCGTCCTCTTTTCTTCCATTTTTTAATTCGTACACAAATTATTTTTATAATTTTATAGAATATTATAACCCGACCTAACCCGATATTTATAATGTATAATATAATGTATAATATAATACATATAACCAGGAATATCTTATTATTATATACGTATAATAAATAATATTCAGGAGTCACTTTCATATTTAATAACCCGACATAACCCGATTTTCAGTTATTATTGTTAGTCCTGTGGGTTACTTATATTATGCCTATTTTTATGGCTGTATTAAGGATAATTAGTGGTTATATAGTAATTAGTGTGTTAATTAGTCTATAATTAGTGGTTATATAGTGATTAGTCTATAATTCGGGTTATATAGTAATTAGTGTATTAATTGGTCTATATTTAGTCTATAGATGGTGTATAATTAGTAGTTATATAGCAATTAGTGGTTATATAGTAATTAGTCTATAGATAGTGTATTAATTAGATTAGTGTATTAATTAGTGTATTAATTAGTGTATTAATTAGTCTATAATTAACTATTTATGCATTTATTAGTAATATGTATTATATACAGTGTAAGTTATAATATACTTATGCGGGTGGGAAATAAGCACCGTACAGTGCAGCGTATGATAACCCAAAGCAAATGTACCCAAAGAATAAAAGGTTCCATATCCCTCTCCTTTTAAATATTTCTGATAGTTCCCAGTATATAACAGGGTTATATGAGACGAATCTAAAGTGCATATTCATGTGAATAAAAAATATAGACAGAATTATTTGGAATATCAGGATACAGTGTAAAAATAACCTAACAAATGAAAATATTTCCATATTAGGATATTTTGATTTTTTAGTATTTTCCTTATTTGGTAATACCGTTATTTTTTGTATTATTTTTTGTTTTATATTTAAGAATCTTTCGTGTCCTTGGTCATAAATAAACTGCAGAATGTACTTCTCTTTAAGCACATAATTATATGTGATAAGGCACGAGAGGAGTACAAATGGACAGCCAACTATAATATTCGGAATATTTTTACTGTGCTTATAAAATTGCAGGAATCCTTGCTCCCAGTACTCTGCCTGTACGTATGAATAAGGAAGGACCCGTATATACGGAAACCTGTTTATAAACCAATACATCTGTACGCTCATAAAAGCCAGGACAGGCATACTTGCCATGATAATCCCTGTGGTATAAGAGTACTTAATGAGTCCTTCAATAAAGCACAGTGGAGACAGAATAAATCCGTTAGATCTCGTATAAGAAGCAAGTACAACCCAAATATAAGAAACCCCTCTGTCAGCCAGGACACTCTCCACTGCCATAAGCACACACATACAGAAGACAGCTTCTGTGTACATCGTAGAGTACAAGATAGAGCAGGGACTAAAACAGAATAGAATACAGGATCTGACAGCGTATGACTGGTTAAAGTGCTTATAAGTCACTTTATACAGAATAATTGAAGAGGCCAGGAATGCCAGGTTAGATATAAGTATACCCGCAGTGACTATCGGCATGGGAGTGAATTTGTTAAGCAGGTGTACAAGGCCTGGGTAGAGGGGGAAGAAAGCTGTCGTATTATCAGAGACATAGCCGTACTTAGCAATATTATAGAAGTAAATGGCATCCCATCGTATGAGGAATGAGAGGGCACTTTCTGTGTGGAGTAGAATATCGGAGAAGTCGTGGTGTGGTATGACCAAGGAGGACACTGCAGAGACTGCGAGTGTCACTGCCCTGGAGAGAGACCAGATCAGCACGGGCACTTTAATCATAATAAAAAATAAAGTGGGTTATTTAATATACTAAAAGACGTCCCCGACGGGTTTCGAACCCGCAACCTTTGCCTTAGGAAGGCAACGCTCTGCCATTGAGCTACGAGGACCACACTAATTTACATCAGAAATTGTGCGTGGGTACTGTTTTATTATTTTATTATTACTACTTTTTATTATTTATTGTGTATTGTGTACTATTTTTTATTATTTAGTGTGTATTGTGTAATAAATAATACCTTGAATAATTTATAAATATTTTCAGTCTGACACACTTCTTATTACACAATGCGCATTAAGTAATAGTAAAATAAATTATATTCAAACAAAGACTTTTTAGTTTCAGAGCATTACATAGTACACAATGTGTAAGAAATAGTACTTACTACTGCATTACCAGTAAATATTACTACTTATTACACATTGTGTTATAACTACTATAACCCGAAAACATACATGTGCGGCCATATGCCTGCGTACACACCAGAACCCGTTCGATCTCTGAAGTTAAGCGCGTGACAGCTTTGATAGTACTGCGATGGGAGACCGCGTGGGAACACAGAGTGCTGCACTTTTTATTATATTTACAGTAACTAAATATATTACACTATGCGTATAAAGTACTGCCCATCCTATGATTTATTACACATAGTGCATTAAATCCTCCATTATTTATAACACATACCTTCATATATTCTCTTCTAAGCTGTATACTAATATTAGTTGTCTTAGTTATACGGGAACTATTTAGTCACAAATCCTTATAACATGGGACAGTCAATTAGTGTATTACTTATTACATAATGTGTATAAAAAAGTGTATAAAATACCCGGGTTATCCATCATGTATATTATACAAATATTAAAAGTAAGTGTACAGAAAGTCTTATACACGTATAATAAAAAAAGTATTACTAATAATATTACACATAGGTGTATAAGTAATAACCATAACACATTATATAATACACATAGTACACTAAATAATACTAATAACACTAAGTGTAATAAGTCATCACAAATTAAACCCACTAGATATGATCAAATCGATATAATACTTTTAAATCATATTCTATTTAATAATTATACTTATAATACAGTAGATAATAGTAATAATATTATATATGATATAAGACTAATAGATACATTAGATAAGATATAAAATATATGTTAATAAAAAACCAGTTATTTATTGTGAATTATTCATCCTTTATTAAAATATTATTTATGCCTTACATAATGTATAACACATAATATTAACGTACTCATAAAGAATATTCATTTTTATCTTCACAAAATATTAAAAATATTCATAATTTTGTTTGCTCCATTAAAATATAAGAACACTATACTAAAAACAATCGCTATAACAATCATAATTACTGCCACAATTATTATAGTTTTAAAGCAGATTCCTTTTTTTGTACTAACAGGTGGATCTATAGTATCATTATTTTCTTGGTCTGTAATACTAGGTGTATCTATAGTAGCACTTTCATTGTCTGTAACACCAAGTGGAGCTATAGTAGCACTTTCATTGTCTGTAATACTAGGTGTATCTATAGCATCATCAGTTTCTTGGTCTGTAGGAACAGGTGTATCTATAGCAACATTTCCATTGTCTGTAACACCAGATGTATCTATAGTACCACCGGTTTCTTCGTTTTTAGGTGGATCTATAGTACCACCATTTGCATTGGTTTCAGTACCAGATGTACCTATAGTATCTTTTTCTTTTTTTGCAGTCTCATCTATAGATGTATCCATAGTATCACCAGTATCGTTGGTTTTAGTGCCAGGTGGAGCTATAGTAGCATTTTCATTGTCTGTGATACTAGGTGGAGCTATAGTAGCATTTTCATTGTCTGTAGTAACAGGTGGAGCTATAGCAACCGGATTTTCATTGTCTGTGATACTAGGTGGAGCTATAGTAGCATTTTCATTGTCTGTAGTAACAGGTGGAGCTATAGCAACATTTTCATTGTCTGTGATACTAGGTGTATCTATAGTAACCGGATTTTCTTTTTTTGTAGTGCCTTCTATAGGTAGACCTACAATATCATAAACATCAGATTTTATTGATTTTAAATACCCTTTAAGTAAGTTGGCTCTAAATTTATCAATATTAAAATCTGTATGGTTTAATGTTTCGGTTATATAATGATTTAATCTTGATATACCATGCTCAGTACGCCCAGCAACAATATTTTTCATATTCTTCAGTTGATTTAAGCATGTCTTAATTGTATCTTTGTTCTTATCTTTATCTAAATTAAATTCATTGCGCATAATAAACATCTTATATATTGTATAATATAACTTCGGAATAGAATTATGTAAATCTTTATCATTATCTTGAACATAAATCGACTCATAAATTAAATGATTTATAATGTTATAAGTAAATTCAAAAAAATCCGATTCTTCTGTTCTTGCAAGTAATTGTAATGAATAAATATCATCATTAGTTAGTCCCAATTTATCAGCATTTGATTGTTCTTCTCCATCCGTATTTGTTATTGTTAGATTATCGCCATGTTTCACTAGTATATTTAATACTCTCTGTAATCTAGAACACTCTCCAGATTCAGCTAACTCACATAGTTTAATTATTGCACTAGTTGAAGTTATTTCTTCATTTAGTTCTGATATGCCTGCTTTCTTACACAGTATATTAATAGAAGAATCATAGAAATTCTTTCTATACCTATATACTTCTGTCATAACCATATGATTGTTCCCCATTAATTTATAAAATGCCTCTTTTTTACTTTCACTGTCTAATGTCTCTGCTCCTTCTTTAATCACATCTATAATTGCATATATTTGAGCTATAGAGTCTTTGATTGCTGATATAGCAGTATCTTCATTATAATCACATTCAATATTTCTACTATTTATTTTTATATAAAATACATTATATGCCAAATTAGTCAGTGGTTCTGGTAAATCTTTAAATATTGGGGTTGTTCTGTTAATATCCATCAATATTTTATATATTTTATTGATATCTTCATATCCTATTCTTCCTTTTTTATCACTGAATCCTTTCTGTAATTCTGCTTTTAATATTTCTTCATCAATATATCCTTCCATAAAAAATAAAATATTTTCATATTTATACTTTTAAAAAAACGGAGAAATTAAAATATTTTATACAAACTGTAATTATTATACATTTATGATGGCCAGCAGAAGGCAGTTAGTTAAAGGTACTACTGTAGTACTGTAACATGCCCATATAACATAGTTGATTCTAGTGGTGTAATAGATATTTATGACGTATTCACAGGGAGTAATACTGTAACTGTCCTAATACATAGCCAAGATATATAGGAGAGTAAAAGGAGAAAGGGGTTTATTCTATTTAGAAATCGGCTTATGCATGTGCAGACTTGGAGTATTAATAGTACAGCTGTGTTAGATTTGGTGCTGAAGTAAGCTGTTAATGCTATTTGAGTCTTTTCATAAAATGTGTAATTGTCTCGAGGTGGCTAGTCAGTAGTTGATACACTGATCTGTGATCTGGCCCTTTTATTTTAGAATATATTTTTATTGAATTTCTTTTAAATTTATATTCTTATTTTTAAATTCTTCACTTTAAATTTAATTTTTACTACATGAGCAGACTTTTAAAAGAATTAAATAAATTCCTTCTGCCTTCCAGGGTCCACTAATTCCACTATTAAAGAATCAAGAAATAGACTTTTCTCTTGGATCAAACAATCACGTAGTACAATAGATTATTATGGGCTATCTCCATGGTTATTCCAGGTTGTAAGTACGCTATCACGGGGATAATTTCATTCAAAAAGTACCAGCCAGCAGTTACTAAAACTGTCCTGGGCTATTCAGATCTGGTCCTTGGGTTATTCGGGGTCATCATGCGAGTTGACACACTGGAATATCGCCATTGGATTCTCATACGAGAGTGGTGGTATCATAGCTGTTTTTTCCTTAGAGACTTAGACATACGAAAACTTGTTCTTTATTGAAAGCCTAAACTCTTATATGGTTTTAATTTCAGTTACGTATGATATTAACACGCCTATTGCTATCACCAATTATGGATGCCCATATATTAATATCATACTTAATCATTGCTATTCTGGATCACACTATCCAAAACCAACAACTTATAATACTATGTGTATTATAAGTTGTTATGTGTAATTATTTATTACTGTATGTGTATTATATTTTGTTATGTATGATTATTTATTACTGTATGTGTAATAAGTAATAAGTCTTGCTCTAATAACTTCTTCATACACTATTTATGTATTATTCAAATTGTATTAAATCTTCCATTATTTATAACACATACTATAATATATTTTACTGCGTGTAATTACTTATTACTTATAATACTATGTGTATTATATTCTGTTGTGCCATTATTTATTACTTATAACACATACTATAATATATTTTACTGCGTGTAATTATTTATTACTTATAATACTATGTGTATTATATTTTATTTTTTATTATGGATAAAGGACTAGCACACAGCCACATCACAGGACTCGGCGTAGACAGGGCAATGAACGTAACAGATGCAGCAGGGTTAGTGGGAATGATTAAACAAAGACAGGCAGCAAGTATCTTCACAGATATGATCATAAACAAAAAGACAGCAGGAAAGGCCCTCCTCATCTCAGGAGAAAGCGGCAGTGGTAAAACAGCACTCGCAGTCGGAATCTCTAAAGAACTCGGTGCAAGAGTCCCTTTCGTTAGAATGACCGGAAGTGAAGTGTACTCAGCAAAAGTTAAAAAATCGGAAATACTCCACCAAGCCATTCGCCGTGCCACAAGCATACGGATCCGTGAAGTAAAAACCGTCTACGAGGGTGAAGTAGTCGACATAAAAGTACAAGAAAAGGAAGACCCGTTAAATAATTATAAGAAAATAATTTCGAGCGTGCACGTGTCCCTGAGGAGCACAAAACGATCGGAGCGGCTCACTTTAAACCCGATCCTGTCCCAGGAGATAATCAAACAGAAAATAACGGTCGGTGACATAATATACATAGAACCAGAGCAGAATATAATTAAAAAGATCGGGCGGAGTGACTCATACGCCTCAGAATTTGACATAGAAAGTGACAAGTACGTGCCCCTACCAAAGGGAGATATCCTCACAAAAAAAGAGATCCTTCAGGAGATGACCCTGCACGAGGTGGACATGGCAAACACACGATCGGAGGGTCGGGATATTTTATCGATCGTATCACAAGCCCAGCAGACAGAAAAAGTGGAAATTTCAAGTAAATTAAGGGAGGAGGTCAATTTAAAGATAAATAACCAGGTAAGCACAGGTACAGCAGAGATCACACCCGGTGTACTATTCATAGATGAGTCAGATATGCTGGATATCTCGTGTTATTCATTCCTTAGCACTATATTAGAGACAGATACGTGCCCTATAATCATACTGGCCACTAATAAAGGCATAATAAAGATACCCGGGACAGATGAACTTGGTCTGTTCGGGGCACCGAGTGTGTTCATAACCCGATTATTCATTATAACCACTGAGAAACCGGCGTACGCAGATATTTGCAAGATCATCGACCAGAAAATAAAAACAGAATCCATAAAAATAACGGAACCCGCCAGGAATTTATTATATAAATTAGCAAATGAGAGCACTTTAAGGTTCACATTTGGGGTTTTACCGTTAGCAAATATTTTATCTGAAGAAATAACGGAAATTTCCATAAAAGAGATTTCAAATATGTTTAACCACCCAAATTAATAAAATTTTTTATGCGTTGCTGTTTATGTGGGAGTGAGAGTATGTTTGATACTTCTATGTGTTATGAATGCACTGTAAGAGAACTGCCTAAATTAAGCATAGATACGACCAGGGAAGTAGACCGGTGTGGTACGTGCATGCGGTACAGCGTACCACCGAGTGGGTGGACTACGCTCAGATTTGAAGGACCGGAGATGCTTGCGTATTTATTAAAGAAAGTCCCAGAACTAGCAAGAATGAAGCTTGTAGATGCGTACTTCATCCATTCAGAGGAGCATTCAAAAAGGGTCCGTATGAGGATAAGCATTGACCGGACGGGTGAGTTAAATATGTGCTCAGTGGAGTATTCGCAGGAACTAGAAATTATGTGGGTCATTAAAGGGAAGCACTGTTTAGACTGTGCTAGGGCTGCTTCGAATCAAACCTGGAACTGTGTGGTGCAGTTACGGCAGAAGTCCGAGTTGAAGCAGACCCTGCTCCTGTTAGAGCAGTCCATATTAAAAGCAGGTCTTCATGAGGAGTGCACGGACATAAAGGGAGAGCAGGACGGGATTGACTTTTTTTATATGTCACGGACGGCCTGTTTAAAACTAGTCCGGTTCATTGAGGAGAGTGTCCCTACAAAAGTGAAGTCTTCTGAGCAATTAGTCAAGTTAGACAAGAAGTCCAATAACAGCCGGTATAAGTTTGCATATTCTGTTGAGATCCCTGCACTTAACCTTAATGATTTATTGTACGTGCCTGTCCCACTGTGTAAGAAACTGTCACTGACTGAGATGTGCATTGTATTACGTATATCTAAGTCTGTTCTACTAGCGGACAGCAAGGGGCAAGTGAAGGACTTAAGCAGGATAGATTATTTCAAGTACAGTAAGTCAATAAGAGTACTTGGATCATCAAAAGCACAGAGCAAGTTTGAAGTAGTTGAAGTAGATGGGTACCACAAGCCCAGTAAGAGTACTCAGACCACCCAGGGACACACAAGGAGTAATAATAGCAGTGGTATAAACAATGACCAGGGACACACAAGGAGTAATAGTGGTATAAGCAATATAAGTACTAGTAGTGGTATAAGTAGTACTAGTGGTATAAGCAGTATAAGCAATGACCAGGGACATACAAGCAGTGGTACTCGTGGTATACATTTGAATTTCGGTAGGAATATGGTTTATGATGTATTATTATTAAAGAGTGATGGTGAGTTAGTTAATACAAAGACATTAGTAAAGGGATTAGTACCAGGTGATTCTGTTGTAGGGTATGACTTAATGAACTTAAATACTAATTTAGATATAGAGGGATCTATTGTACTATTAAAGAAAGAATCGGAAATCACCAGTAAATGGAAGATAAAAAGGATTTGTGGTGGTTATCAGACGGAAAGTACTTCTGCTATGATAATAGATGCTGTAAGGAATGATCCTTCATTATTAAAGACAGTAAATATATACGATGAGAACAACCAGTTAATTAAAGGTATAAAACATCTTACACTATAACTAATAAATAATAATTATTACACTATACACAATAAATAATATATTACTATAATACTATAACTTATTACAGTATACACAGTATATAATAAGTAATAAATAATACTTATGACAGTATACACAATAAATAATACTTATTATACACTTATCTTTATGTTTTATTTATTATGACAGTATATATAATAAATAGTAATATTATTTATTTGTTATTACACACTATACAATACTTATTACACATTATACAATACTTATTATTACTTATTACACATTTACTACTACTTATTACACATTCTCCTATTACTTATTACACATTTATTAATATATTCTATTACTTATTACACATTATACAATACTTATTACACATTCTCCTATTACTTATTACACATTTATTAATATATTCTATTACTTATTATACATTCATTCTATTTTATTACTTTTTGTTGTTTGTGTAATAATTGAGTGTTTGTTTTGAATTCTCATTCGTTACTTTTTAAACATTGCTTATAAAGTTCTCCTATTTATTATTTTTTATGAGTGATAGTGTAATAAATTATTTTAATAATATTTTAGTGCATAAAACAATAACAAAAGATATGCTAGTAGATAAATTAGGACTAGTTAGAGATAAAGCATTCTCATTCTCAGATGCAAATATAACCAGTCAGTGTAAGGATGTGCTTTCTTCAATTTTAGGGTTACAAATGGCCTTATTTGGCTGTATGTTCCCTATATTTAATGGTGCCATTATAATTTTATTATACTTATACCATTATATACTAAGATTACTAACAAATATATGCAATGTCCTGTCTAATACTAATAATACAACAGCAGTTGAAATTAGTCATGAATTACTTAATAATAATTTATATACAGTAATTACTGTTATATTTATAGGGTTAATTATGTCCTGTATAATATTAGTACTATTTAAGTACTTTATAAGACTGTTCGTATTCATATCCTGTATATTTATATGTGTAGAGGGACCTGTCCGTGGTATATTTATACAGTACTTTACTGATGGTGTAATTATACCGTTAATATTTGGTATACTTATGGGCAGTGTACTTATGGTTTATTTTGAGAAGGTGTTTAAGAAGTCTGTTTTAATTGTACTGTTCTCTGTTGTAGGGTGTGCACTGCTGTTTATTGGTGTAGGGGAGATAAGTAATATTAGGTACCCTATTGCTGAGTCAATTATTACGTTAAGTGCTCCTACTGCTCCTATAATTAATATTGTTAAATCATCTGTATTATTCTTCTTTACAGTTGGTGCATCAATTGTTATACAAATTTTTATATAAAATAAAAACTTTAGTAAAAAATTTTAATTTATAAGACAATATATAATAAGTAACAGATAGTAGTGTATGTGTAATAAATAATAATAATAATACAATACATAATAAGTAATAGATAGTGCGTACTTAACACATGACTTATGACACATAGTATATAACTTATGACACAGTATGTAATAAATAATAGATAGTAGTGTATGTGTAATAAGTAATAATAATAATACAATACATAATAAGTAATAATAGTAGTATAATAAATAACAATTATTGCGTACTTAACACATAACTTATGACACATAGTATATAACTTATGACACAGTATGTAATAAATAATAATTATTGCGTACTTAACACATAACTTATGACACAGTATGTAATAAATAATAGATAGTAGTGTATGTGCAATAAATAATAGACAGTACGTGCTTAACATATTACTTATGACACATATACTACTATCTATTACTTATTACATGCTTAACATATAATTTATTACACATATACTACATAATCATATGATATAACATAGTATATAACTTATAGTACATACATCAATAAATAATACTTATTACACATACACCAATAAGTATGTAGTAATATATGATTGGTCACTCTATAAAATTATAAATAATCATTTGATAATTATAACTATAATTTATTGGTATATGTACTATAAAAGTTATATACACCAATGATTTATTATTACACATACTATAATAAATATTACTTATTACACATTGGTTTATTTATAATTGACCTATAAATAAATTAAAGTATAAATAAAATCAAATTTAATTTTAAAATATGATTAAATCAAAACTTATAATACTATTAGTAATAAGTACTGTTAAGTTTATATATGCAAATTTAGAAGAGAATGATGCTTATCCAGAACTGGTCAATGACATAAACACAGAAGAAGACAATAAAATAGACAAAGAATTAAGAAATTTAGGACTAGTTGATGATAGTAATCCAATGGATTCTGATTATTTAGCAGAGCACAGTAAAAATGTACTTAAAGAGAATGAGAAGGACTTAAAGCAGACTAACGAATAAAAGTATAAAATATATTACACATTGTATAAAAAGTTATTTAAATTTATAAAGTACATAATACATAATGTATACTAAGTAATACTTATTATATATTGTATACTAAATAATGTATTATTTATATATTACATAATACTTAGTAGTATATGTGTACTAAGTGGTATTATATATTACATATTACGTATTATATATTATTTATTATATATTGTGTTATAAGTAATGTATTATTTATATATTTTTGATTTTTTATTATTTATATCTTACAGTACTTAGTAGTATATGTGTTATAAGTTATAGTATATTACTCTATGTGCATTACTTATTATATATTACGTATTACGTATTATATATTACTTATTACCCATGGTGTTATATATCTTATATTACATATTACTTATTATATATTACGTATTACGTATTATATATTACTTATTATGTGTTGTGTTATAAATAATGTATTTTTTATGTATTTTTTATTATTTGTATAGTGTATATATTACTTATTGTGTATTGTGTTATATATCTTATATTACATATTACTTAGTAGTATATGTGTTATAAGTTATATTACTTATTACTTATTATATATTGTGTATTATGTTTTTGATTTATTTTATATAAATTACTTTTTTATTTTTTATTTATGGCAATTATTCATATTATAGATAGTAAACTAAAACAGAAAGTGAAAGATTCCTTCCCAAGCAGAAAGACAAAGATAGAATTAAAGGACATAAATAAGATATTTAATATAATAACAGAAATTAATAATGAAAATAAAATATTTATAGAAGTATCTGAACAATTGAATATTCTGGGATATAATCTATTATATATACAGATATATAATATGTTTAAATATATAAATATAGAATGTGATTATAATGGGATTGTATTAATAATAAAGAACTGTCTGCATCATGCATGTAATATTATAAGTGCAATTAAAATGGGATCAGGTATATTAAATAAGCATAAGAAAGAAGCCTTTTATGATTTAATTAGGGATAATCAGTTAATTATAATAGAAGTGTATAAACTTAGAAGAAAATTCTATGATTATTCTATTAATAAATTATGCAATAATGAAGGTGTACCTGAATTAAGCAATGAAATTACATCACAATGTGCAATGATTAAATTATTTGAACTGACTGAATCAGATGATTATTCTAGGCTACAGAGAGCATTAGATATACTAATAAAATATGGAGATATTTTAATTATAACGGATAAATATGGGCTTACAAGATCAAATGCAAGTAAATTAGGGTTAACTCGTGATGATATGTACTCATTACAATTACTTACACGGTTAGATAGATCGTATATCTCTAATTTGTATGAATTTTTAAAGGAGTCTGTGTATAACATAATTGGTGTATTTGGATTGAAGTTTGACGAGGTTACTTTATACAATTTATATACTAAAATATTCAATATGTCTAAACAAGTGGCTATAAAAGAAGTAGAATATATTAAATATATAAATGATAGTGCAAATGAGATTAAAATGTATGTAAAGGAGCTTAAAGCAATGGAAGGCATAGGTAAATTAAATATCTTTAAATCAACAGAAATATATAATGCTATATGCCACGATGAAGAATTTGATTATAATAGTTCTAAAAACACTTTAGTTAACAGATACTTAAAATCAATAAAATGCAGTACGTCAATCATTAAATCCAAGGAACCTAAATATAAACTTAATATTCATTTAATAGTATTTATAACAATGTGTACTCTTATGGTAGTAATATACTTAGCTGTAACAAAACGTACAGTGAATAATTAGAATATACAGATATATACAGCGAATAATTAGAATATAACTATACAAGAATATAAATAATTGATTGCGTATGAGAATGGGTATAATTACTTATTCAGATGGATTATTTCATACTTATTAATAAATGGATACTTTTATTTATTCTCTGGTATATAATTTAATGAACTCATTTGAATTTTTTATTATTCTTGTTTATATGGGTGTATACGTATATAACCAGAAATATACGACTTTGTATGGGTATAATAGTATATCCTTGATTATATGATAGAAACCAATAATTAGTAATATATAATGGTATGGGATATATAATTTATTTAATTGGATGAATTTACAAAGTAAATATATATGGACATTATTGGTGTATAAACAGTATGATTAGTTTATTCTAATACTTATGTAAGCGTATACTATCTCCTATTTTAGGAAGGTGTGCGGTTTAAGCCACATCTAAATATAGAAATGCTTAAATTATGGTCTCTTTTTATGAACTTAGTATTGTATTGACCCAATGAAGTGACATGTTTTAATATTAGGGGCACTTCATTTGATCTGGAATTTTTGGTTATATAAACTGGTTTTAATTTAAAAAATATGGAAGTTTCAAAGGTAACCCGGAAAATCAAAAACACAAGAATGATACTACTTGTTATGCATATATGGATGTGTATAATGCATATAAAGAAGTTTGACATTGTTGTTTATGCTTCTAATGAGACAGGCATGCAGTCATCAAAGAAGTCTATGAATAATTCTAAAGATATAATATATAAAGAACAACTAGATAATTCATATAGTACTCAAGAGGATTCTTTAAATAACAAAAATACGACAACAGATGGCTTTATGGAAGTGTCATCTTCAAATCCATTCAATTCAGATTCTATGAATAATCCGTATGCTTTTGATTATTACATGCACGAATATAACTACACGTACAATTCATATAACTTCCCTGATGAGTTTTTGGACAATACACCAGACAGCGATAGTATGAATAAGACTCAAGCACAGAATACATGCAATTCATTACGTATAAATAAAAATTCTAGCCCAGAACCGTACTCACTATTTGAATTAAATAGTACTGAATTTGCTTGTAGTAGTAAAGAACCAGATATTATTCCTTCAAACTTAGTGTCTCATTCACAGTCTATGCCGAGTGACAGTAATAATGAAGAACTGCATAAAACTAGCCAAAGTCTGGACAACCCCTGTACAAGTACATCTAGAAAAAGAAAATCATGCAGTAATAATAATACTGATACTTCTCCTGGGAAATTGTTATCTATAACATCTTCTGTTGAATCTTTAGATGACTATACTTATTTAGTGGAAACTATACATAATTATAAACTAGAACTCTTAAAAAACAAGAAAGAAGAAGACATATCTTCTGCTCCAATGTACTTTAATCATAGTATAAGTAATATAAAAGCTGCGTTTTTGTCCTTGAATAATGTCATAAGAACTAATGGTACAATATACAATAATGTATGGATAGCACTAATGGCTAGTTCAAATGATATATTTATAAAACTAAAGATTATTATTTATCTGGCCACTTATAAAAACATAGAAGAATCTCTCTTTACAAACTGCAAGCTGTCCTATTATCATGGGGTCATTTCAGATTTAAACAGAAAATATAAGAGCTGTTATAGTGTTCCTAAAAGAGATCCATCCAAATTTATAAAAGTAGAGGCTGATTTAAATTTAGTTACACTTGGTAGCATATACGCTAAAAGAAATATAAATCTTCTGTGGCACGCAGAAAGTATGTTAATGGCTTACAAAAGCCACAATATAGCATACTCTTCTTATAATACAGAAGAAACAGAAGAAGACTGGAATGTAAAACATGGCTTGTTATTAATTCTATGCCTTCCTGAGGTGTATGAAGATCTTTTCTATATGAAATATGAAGATATTGGCCTACTAAAACAAAAGATTCTGAATAGTTCTCTTATATCAAAAACTAAAAAAATAGCCAGCCAATTCTGTATCATAGAATATTTGTATGGGAAGGTTCATAATAATCATAATATAATGAAAAAGGCATACGCCGACATACTAAATATTGAACTCAGAGTTTCTATATATGAGCGTAATTCCATTGAATTGTATATGCTTGCTTATAATACGTTTGTTTTTTTCTACAAGAACTCTTTTTGTTTATATGAAACAAATACAGACTCCCATATAAGCAATACTTCTACTTCTGAAAAAAATGAAAATATATGTCCATATATGAAACAATACACAAAAATACATCCAAGTAATAGTAATCTATATCAAGGAAAAGGTATTATTTTGACGCACAATAAAAAAAGGTGTATTATTACATTTGAATACACTAATAAAAAAGAGAATATTAGAATATTGGATAGAATAGAAAACAAACAGGTGAAATATAACCATATCAATGAAAAGCAGATAGATCTGGGATATTCACGGCATTACCACATTCAGCTTGTAGACAATGGCACACACCGCATGCATATTTTACACCTTCCATTTTTTGTGACTAATGAGAATGGTACTATAAAGTATCATTATATACATACAATTCAAGATATTTTAGAGCAGGCTAAATTTACATTTTATTCTAAAAGTAGATCCAATTCTTATGGGGTATACAATGATATATATCCATTTAAATACAATAGAAAGAACAAGACGTGGTCTTTGGTAACTAGGGATGATAACGATCCGATTAAAAAAAGAAAAGTTAAGAGTGGCGATAAGATATGTGACATGGATAAAACCTTGGAAGAAATGCATAATGATGGATTTGATGTTGTATTCTACTACATTAAAGAGGATATACGAGTTACTGAATTTGTGTTTGCACAGTTTAACCCTATTGATGCAGAGACAGTTAATGCGGCTTATAAGGAAAATGAAAAAGAGGCAAAGAAGTTATTTGACAACTATAAGATAGATTATAGTGTTCCACGAATTCCTATTTTTCTACCTAAGCTAATGACATCTGCAGTACATTTTGGTCCATATGTTCTAAAATCGAATAAATTTAAGATTATGCCGAATAGAGACTATATGAACCCTGTTCCTATTGAGTTTTCTAACTGGCTGGATACAATAGTTAAGAAGAAAGATCTAAAGATGACAATTATAGAGCTACTCAACAAATGTAAACATGAAATATACTATTACAGTGATTTCTATATACTGGGTCTAAACACCCCGTATGAAGACTGTGACTGTTATAGTATGGAAATTTTGCAATCAAAACCTAAACATAATCGAGTGAAGATATTTTGGTGTGTAGAACAACAGCATAATATAGGAGAATACAACAACTACTACCTGGATCTAAGTTCTAAACCTTCTGATTCTAATGGCATCAATAAAAAGACGAAAGTCAATACTTTATGTCTATTCTTAAAAATGATTCAAAGAAAGCATCCATCACAGGATATGCTTCGCTATGGATTATGCATATGTACAAGGGTTGGAGTAAAAGAGAGTGTTACAATCCCTCTTGTCTGCCTAGAAATGAAATCTCTTATGGATGATTTATTTAGTAAACATAGTGAAATGCACCATATGCTTAGCCCAGCAGTAAAAGAAAATATTCAACATTTAAAAAGACACCGAAACATGCATCCATTTGAAATTTCAGATATTTCTAATATATACATATCTATAAAAAGGAACAATTATACAAAGTCCAAACTTGGCCTACACTACAATCTTATGAGTGTTATTTATTAACAGCCTAAAACCACATAAATAATCAAGTAGTAACCCATCAAGTACTTATTCTATAAATATTAACTTATTATTAAATATATGGCATATTTTATGATTTAACTCTATATTACAGTATATTACAGTATAATAAATTATAATAAAGTTGATTAATTGTTATTTCTAAATGGAATGTGTGTTTATACGTATATAATACTTTTTATATTTTATTATATTCTACTGTCGTATTTTTATTCCTTTATGTGAACTATGCATGATTTATTAAAAATAAAATATTATTTATGCCTTACACTTTATAAATAATCCTTTCATTTTCTATATTTAAATATTTTTAATATGAACATATTTATTTTTTTATACTTATACTTATATAAGACATAATTAGAATTGAAATAAGTATTAAACCATATTAATAAGTAATTACAGTATATGTAATATTATACACCAAACTATTATTATAATTAGTAATTATAATTATTGTTGGGTTCTATCATATGATGAACCATGCCCAATGTGAGAGCCACATATGCTTATACGAAGTCTTATAGATCTGCTACATACAGAAATTAAAGCTATATAAAACAAGAATAATAGAAAATTCGAATGAGTTTTAATTATTTAACAGGGGATAAACAACTTTACAATTAATAATTATCCAATTGAATTGCACTATTACAGTACTTCTCCTGTTTATCCTATTAATTGGTCAGATTTACTAATAATTGATAATAACCCGATTTGACCCCACAATATTTATTATTTATGCAAATAAAATTATTTTTTTTATATGGCCAAAGAAATTCAATTACTACTAAAGGAAACAAAAACATTATTACAAAGGAAACATTTAGAAGATAACGATACTATTCACAGTAAACTACTCGGTCTATACTTATATCTACACGAATATACGGAAAGTGATAGAGAAGCCCTGGTGAATGAGTATAATGAATTAGTAGACAAAGCAACAGGTGCAGGTATTTCTAAGCTAAAAAAAATAAAAATTATTGAAAATATAAAAAAAACAGAAAGCATAAAAATAAAAAAAAGAGAGGAAATCGTGAAGGGAGATGAGCAATCAGAAAAACTTGCAATGTCAATTCTTGACCACAGTAAAATTTTAAAGAAAAAAGCAGAGAATTTTGGACAAATGTTAGAAAATAGTAAAAACTTTGTAGATAATGTGTCCACTGGGGTTAGAGATAATGTAAAACAAGTTCAAAAGGGGGTTTTATCATTAGAAAGCAAGGAGTGGTACAATTTAAGCACTGGGCAAGTCATATTATTATTACTGTTTGTTATTTTAATATTTATTATTATGTACTTTATAATAAGAATTGTATAAAATTACAAATACAAATTCTCTGGGATATTTTGGACTATTTTTCTTTGAAAGACAAAGTCGTATAAATTAACATCAGGGCCCGTGAATGTAACAGTAGACTTAACCAACTCTTCAGGAAATTCTGATTTTATAAATTCTGATAGGGCAACCCCATTAAAAATTCTTTTCTCTTGATGTATTCTGTATAAATGCATTATAAACAAATCAATTGGAAATACGTTTAATCTGTCACTGAATGTGGTTGAGTGAGAAGACTCCCCCTTTAAACTCGTAGAAACAAATGTTACATTTTCTGGCAGTCTGCTTTTATCTATGAGAGTATCTGCTTGGCACGTATCCGCAATAAATAAAACACTTTTAAGCTTTCTTATTCGCTGAAGGTTTATTAAGGCATCTGTTATGTCATTCTTATATAAATAAGTTCTATTACAGTATTTAATAAATCCATCACCACCATGCCCTGTTATGTAAATCAATAGATTTGTGTGCTCATTCGTATTTAGAAGGATTGAGTCATTTCCTGATATCATATTTAAGATATCAAAATACGAAGTGTTCCTGAATATTGGCGTATAGTTTTTGTTCTTTTCCAAGGTGAAGTAATCAGTCTTAATGTGCTTCTCTCGCATTCGCATATCATCCAGTAAATCTTGCTTAGAAAATACTGAAATGTCTTTAGGAGTAAAACCATTCGACTCTAAAATGCTCTGTAAGGCAATTACATTAGAGAAATGCCTGTAGTTCTCGTACTGCCATGAACAATTAATCAGAATGGCTTTATTACTACAGGATACGCCGTAAATGAATATAAGAATAAAACTTAATAGCATAACCTAAAAAAATCATTTCTATAAGTACTTGTCCTATAATTTAATAAATAATTAATGCAATGCCAATTATAAATAATAAATAAAATTATTATTTATCCTTTACAATATATACGGCATATAATTAGGAATATCACTAGTATTAAATATAATTATTAGAATATTAGTATAAAATGTACTTTATTGCTTAGTCATGGCAGGGGCTTTCCCCTTCCTCGTAAATGTGAACTCTTATTGGTCATTTTAATTCGGGTTTTTATTAATTTCCGAAACTATTGTATAATGTTAGTGCTCTAATTATTTGATCTTAGCGTGCTAATCCGATTCTAAATAATAAGCACTTTATAAATTATATTTCATTACTTCATGAAGGCACATATGGTCACTATGTGCCTACAGAGACCCAGTAGATCTATTAAATTCTTAATATTTATTCTTTGTAATATGCAGGCACAGACATACATATTAAGAATTTAATAAGTAATTTCTATATTTAGTTTAAGTCCTCTTAGTGTACACCGAAATAACCCGAAACATGTAGCAAATAACAAATAACAAATACTATGTAATATATAACAATAAATTTACCTTATAGTTTATTAAACCCGAGAACATACACTGGCCCCATTTCTAAGTGAACCACCAGTAAATCCAACTTGTTGTACAACTATTTCTGTCTCTTCTACTGGTTTACTCTTTGGCTTACTTATCTTACAATTTCCTCCCATAATCATAAATATAGTTATAAATCCACCGAGTGAATATGAACACGTAAGCATAACCATTAATAACCAAAGCTCATTATTAACAACATTAATTAAATAATCCAGTTGCTCCTTTGAATCATTTGTTAAATTACTGCAGCCCATTAAGCCCAGAAGAGTTCTCAGCTGTTCTGGTGACTTACTTGACGTATAGAACAGTGCATCAGTTAATTTTGTAAAGTATGAGAATTTTATATAAGCAAAGCATGCGACGGAGAAGAAAAAATAAAACACCCCAAATACTAAAGCCAGTTTAATCGTAAATTTGCTTTTACTGTTAACGGCTGTTGATGAAAGAAGTGCCATAAATAACGAAAAACAGATGAGATACCCAGTGACTGAACTAAACCCTCCCTCGCCATTAGTTGAGAAGATAAACACTTCTAATCTATTTAATGTACGCGACCAGTACGTATACCCTGCAATAACAATTGTTTCTAATAGCAGCATAAACGATAAAACATTTACAATCCTTCGGATGAACTTGAATGCTAAAGAAGCCATCCCTGTTCTAGGAATTCTAAAGATAAGGAAGGGTTATCCAATAATTTAGTCACAGAATTAACCAATCAGAATTCAGTAGGAAATACTTTATACAGAATATAGAATGAATTTACTATAATATATTATACAATGTGTTATATATAGTACTTATTATGTAGTGTGTTATATTTAATAGTATATTTACTACATATTTACTGTTTATTAAATATTTGCAATTTATTACATATTGTGTTATATTTAGTATTTAAAAAGCGTACAGTAATAATTTGTATAATAGATGGTTTAATATTATTTTATATTATTTATTCATTCTTACCTATAAGAATTCTTTACTCTGTCTAAAATATCTATTTTATTCTGTGTGATACTGCACATTTCTGCATTAACAAAGTTAACAGAATATATTACATTATGATTATAGAAAGAAGGTGTAATTATCTTCTGTGAGTGTAAATTATTGGAGTTCTCTACAATTCTTTCTAATAGTAATTTTAGATCAATTGTACCTTCTACTCTCTCCACTGACATTCTTTCTTTAAGTTTATTTATTTCTACGTCTGCTTCTTTTATTCTTTTTATAACCATGTTTAACTCATTGTTTACACTTTCAAGTGCATTTTGTGCTTTTCTGTGTTTATCTCTTTTTAATTGGTTTCGTTTTGTTATCTCATGGTATTTACTATCAATGTAGTACACGGCATTTGTGAGCACTTCTTTTTTAATTTCTGACAGAATGCTTGCGGGGGTCTCCTCCTGTCTCATCACCATAAATAATATAATTATTTGTTTTTTATGCAAATAACTAAGACAGAGACGGAGAGAACAAATGATGAGAAGGTCGTAGAATACTTGCACTCAAAGGGTTTCTTTGAAGATGAGAGTGAATCAATTCAAAGAGAAAGAGTGCTGGGAAAGCTTAGCAATTTAGTTAATAAATTTATCATGGATATAGCTAAGAGGAATCAAATCCCAATAGACAAAAAGAGTCTTTCTAAAATATTTACTTTCGGGAGTTACAGGCTTGGAGTTCATTCATCCGGAGCAGACATTGACACGCTTTGCGTTGTTCCCAATTTTGTAAGCAGAAATGAATTCTTCACAACGTTTTATGACGAGCTGTGTTCAAAGGATTACATAACAGAAATATCAAAAGTAACAAATACGTTTGTTCCTCTAATAAAGTTCAAGATAAAAACCATCCCGATAGATTTAGTCTTTGCTCGGGTCGATCTGCCTTCTATTTCTCCAAATATTGATTTGTTGAATAATAAGCTGTTAAAGCATATGAGTGAAAAGTGTATTTTGAGTTTAAACGGTAACCGAGTGACAGATGAAATACTTGCACAAGTACCAAATATTAGCACATTCCATAAAACACTGAGATTTATTAAGTACTGGGCACAAAAAAGACAGGTTTATGGCCATTCATATGGGTATATGGGAGGTGTGGCATACGCATTATGCGTTGCAAAAGTTTGTCAGCTCTACCCAGGGGCTGACGCATTTGAAACAATTGAAAAATTCTTTGACGTATTCTCAAAGTGGCCGTGGCCACAGCCTGTTATTATTAAAGAGGTGCCAGATTGTAATTATAACTTAAAGGTGTGGAACCCCAAGATTAATCCACAGCATAAAAATGATAAAATGCCAGTGATAACCCCGGTTTACCCACCACTCTGCTCCACGCATAATATAACAAATAGCACACTATTCGTAGCGAAAAAAGAATTCTTGAGGGGGGTTGCAATATTCTCAGAGAATGCGGATAAAAAGGATCCAATGAAGATATTAGACCAATTATGTGAAGATGCTGATTTTTTCACAAGGCACAAGACGTATTTCATGATTGCCCTGGCGTGCGACAATCCAAAGGAGTTTTCTAGGTTTATGGGATTTGCAGAAACACGTGTAAGAATGTTTGCACAGAAATTAGAGAATATTGAAAATATTGAGTACGCATATACATTCCCCAAAAAATACATATTAGAAGATGTCACAAGTAAAAATGTTCCACTTTTAAAGGAATTAAAGTGCGGGGATGATTCTTATGCATTTGGTGCGTTTTTCATTGGAATAGATTTTTCAACGGTAAAGCTTCCACTGAATGCATCTAAGAAGATGAACCTTAAAAAACCGGTTCTTGAATTTAAAAGTTCATTGGAGACATACGAACAGGAAGAAGACTGTGAAATGAGATACGAAGCAATTCCAATGAAACAAAAAGCACTTGCACCAATTCTTAGCCTTTTTGCACCGAAAGACAGCTTGAAAAGAAAATTCACAGAAGAAACAGAAGAGAATAGAAAAAAATAATAAATTTTTAATACGGCATGGGAATTTCAAATTATACAATAGACGCGTACTACAAAATGACAAGAATTGCAAATAGCATTTTCTTTCCTCTTTTTATTATTACACTACCGTTATACTGTCTTATATATTATGTTATGTTTATGGGGTACTTGGTATACGAAGGCCCAGTCTTCTTGCCAGATTCACTCTACTGCATATCTTATTGCACATTTAGGTGCTGCATTATTATGGTACTTGGCAATACATTAGCTGGTGCCACGTGTGCTATAGTTAATTTGTTCTCTCCTTATTACTTGGCTAAATGTGTGGCGTATCTTATAAGTATTTTAACCCTTCCCTGCATTATGCTAATCTTATATCTGGCAATTAATTACGTATCTGGAAATATTTGGTCTAATGTACTGAGTATTATACAGGGCTCTACTACAATTTTATTTGGAGGAGTGCTTATTTCTTTAATACCACCATTTTGTAGGAGAAGGGCCCACCTCATGGCAAAAATACTTTTATTTGGAATGATTTCCTGTAAGATCGCACTGCAGTCTATCCTATGGGAATATACGTATCTGACATGCATTCCTGGTGTATTTGGCATGATATATTTAATTATTCTTAAAATGCACAGGTATTTTTTGCGAAGAATTAACTTTACAGAACTGTCTAGTTTCACTCACAGACTTATATGTATAGGGTCTGGTGCATTCATTCGTATATACTTTACACTTATAGTATTTAAAAACATATTTAAATTGAATGACGAGCAGAGATCGCCAGCCCGTATGAGCAAGCTATATACAGGCGGGATTCTGTTCAGTATTTTAGCAGCACTTCTATCTGGTGAATATTCTGCAGTGGGAATGCCAATTAACATGATTATGTCACTGCTCTTTTACATATTAAAAATATTCTTTACCTATTGGGTGCCATTCAAAGTCCTTTACGCAAATAAAGCATTTGAGAATGCATCAGTTGTCAGTAAAGTAGACTGGTTTAGGAATAACAGAATGCACTTTGTATATTTTGAAGTGTGTAGGTACATATTCATGACATTCATAATTTTATTACCACTATGTGTGACGTATTACATATTTGAAAGCTACCATGGAGGCACCACATCAGAAATATCAATTACCCTGTCTTTTATGCGCATGACATTTTCTTATGTATTCAATGGAGTAGAGGCATCTGCTATGATTGTGTATATAGGCCAAAGACTGTCTCTACCACAGAAAGTAGCTAAAAGAGTCACATATACAGATATAATACACATGTATAGGCCTAATATGATTTTAGACCACATAAATGACTCTGATCAATTTACAGAATGATTCTTAACCTTGCTGGTCTATTAAGGAATTATCTATATTGTAAGTAAATCACACAAAATTATTACTTTTATTATTTATGCTATACAAAAATATAAAAATTAAAAATTAAATTTATTTTTAGGGTTACTGTGTGAATTCAGCCATTTATGGACCTATTCTACATGGAGAAAATGCGGAATAAAGCCCAGCAGCCAACTAAAGCACCTATGTATGTAATTAATTTAAATTTAAGAATCCCTTTTGTAGTTATATTTCTACGAATAGAAGTAAATGGCCTTATGTCTGGTGCGTATAATAGTGTATTATAAATCCATGTCATATCAACTTCATAAATAATAATGTAGGAAAGAAGTACAAATCCTATAAATACATAAAAATTGCCTTTAAATGCACTACATGCCTCTATACACCTAATATCACTATCCCAAAGATCATTCCATTTCCCAACTAAACCCAGCCCTTTCATTGCTTCGGTTTTATATTTTTTTAATTTGCTAGCATCATTAATAAGAGCAGTATAATTGCCCATTCCCTTAAAATCTACTATAGAATCGGCGTCTGAGCTTGTTACTATTTCCAATGACAAATTCAATATTCCATGTAACACTATACCAAAAAATGAAAAAAATACATTTTTAAACATATCTGAACTAAACATTGCGAATATAGCTTTAATCACTCCATCTTGAATTCCGTTAATAACACATGCAACACCATATGTAATGATATTGGTAAATGCAATAATTAGTGTACTAACTACTCTACCGTTCTTATCAAATATCATTATTATAAATATAGTAAATATGGATAGATGCAATGCAATTTGTAATCCAACAATAAATGAACCAAAGAATGTATTTGACTCTAACATAGCTGTAAACGCATTAGTGCATATACCGGTCCCTCTAATAAAGAATATAAATACTATAGCAATACTTGATATAGTTTTTAATATACTGCCAGATTCAGCTGTGAATTTCTTAGCAATATATTCTGGCATACTTAGTGCACACGATTCAGCTGATAATTCATAAGATATTCCTTTAATCAAATGATTTACATCAAATGACGAATCTTCATCTTTTTTTGATTTTTCGTTAGCAAGACTAAACATTGCACAGTTCATTTTTTCTCTGATTTTTTTTTGTTCATCGCTCATCTGAAAGGGTGAGTCATATTCTCCTTTAAATCCTTTTATTTCTAAATCCACAACAGGCATGTTGTTAATAAACACGTACAACTGAAATAACATCACAATTAATAATATTCCTATAATACAACCCTCAAAGAACCTGATCTTTATGCTATTGTATATAAAGTCATCTTTTTCTGGTGTGTATACAGATTTAAACAGTTTGGACATAATCTGCTTAAAATCCAATCTGTACACATATATGTTATCCGCTGGGATTTCAATAAATTCTTTTGCTTGGATAGATGCCTTAGCAGCAATTTCTGAAACAGTTCCTGCCATTTGATTTATTTTTATAAAAATATTTTTATAAATTTTAACTGACAGGATAAATAATATTATGGGAAGAAGCACAGCTTGAAAATTACAATAATGTTGGAAATTTGATATTTAAGGTTGTTTAAAGTAGAGCAGCGAATGAATTTATTATTTTTTTTGTGATTTATTATTGCATATTATAGAGTCTGCCATAGATGATGTATAAAATTCGGGTTATATCATATACTCAAGAATCTTTCTTGTATGCAGTACTTGAAGAAGTATTATTGAAACAGATATGTAATTTATACTCTTTTGGCTGTTATTCTCTGTCATGAATACATAATTTAAAAAAATACTGTTTTTTCTCATTAAAATATGTAGAATTGTTCTTTTAATAAGGTAAACACATGCATTTACACACATTACAATGAACTTTCTTTTGTTTGGTATGGTTTTTTGATACTTCTGTAAATTAAAAGCACTGAAGTAGCTTGAAATAGGAATAAATTGATTACTCACAAGATATATAGACATAAATATGTCTAGTGCCCTATTAAAGTATGAATGCGTATTTTTAACACTATATATACTATATATAAATGCATGTTCTAATAGGTCATTAAGAAGTATCTGCACTTCTCTTTGCTTGTACTCTTCTAAAATATCCCTAATTCCTAAATATGCACAGATGTAATCATTTGGTGTAATTTCTGGGTGCACTGCATAATACTTAACACCAACAATGAATAAAATGAATATTCCTGTGTGCAATAAAACAGAAACCACTATTTCTTCTGACTTAATCAAAGATACTCTTTCTGACACGTATCTTTTCTTAGTGTTAATCTGAATGATAATTAATTTATACAGACTGCACGCTGCCACTGCTATGTAAGAAACAAGAACAGACAGGAGAAGGCACACGCACTGAAGAAACATAAAAATAAAAATGAGCGAATATTTACTGAAATCTATGCACAGAGCTTATATGCTTCTAGCTAGAAGAAGGTTCTGTTTTTATTCCTATATCTTGAACCCACTCCACATCTGTGTATTGGTACAGGATATAGTCATATCTTTTGGTGGAAAAGTGCCTGCTAAAGGAAAGCCGTTTTACTCTTTTTATAAGTTTTTCAATCTTTTCAGATGGCAGTTTTTTTGGAAGGTTTACGTAGTCTTTGATCTGCTTAACAATTGATCTTTCTATTCTATACGATGGAACAGAAAAAAGAATTACTTTGATTTGGGTGTTTATCTCAGACAGCTCAAAACACATAATAATTCTGAGAAGGGGAGATTTCTTAGAGAGATGGCCAAACACCAGAATAAATTTAATAAGCGCAAGAGACCACCCGAATATTCTCACAATACTTCTAAAAAGTGACTTATATTTAAAGGTGTGTTCTAGTACGTGGTGTGTGGTGAGTATTTGCAGTTCTAGCAAAGAGTACATATTTATAACTGCGGGGCTTAGTATAAGAAGAGTGATTAATCCTGTTGTTTCTACGTAAACCAGTTGAGAGTCCATCTTTTCGTTATTTACAGTGACTATTTCGTATGAGAAGGGAACTGTCTTGTCAAGTACATCAATAAGTGTTTTTTTAACTTCTCCTTCTGGCAGGACTGCTTTTATTTCTCCATCAAAATCACTTCCTTCCAGCACCCTAGAAACAAAGCCACAGGCAATGCATAGAACAAATATAGCAAAAACATGATTCTTAGAGCTATTAATGATATTCTCTCGATCAAGTAGGTTTATCACAGAGTAGCCAGATATACCTATAAGACATGGATATATGCATTTACCAACTACACGGAAAGTATCCAGAATACAAAATTTCTGGGGACTTCTAAGCTCATTCAGTAATTCACGTATGAACACGTACCCAAAGTATATTATCCCACTAAATGCACGTCTTTTAACTACTTCATGCAGTGCTCCATCTGTTAGAATCAGCCTTAAAACACACCACATAAACAGATTTCTGATTAACCACAGAACAACACCAGATATAATTAACTGAAGACTCTCGGATCGTAAATAGAATACTCTTGCAATATTTATGGTTCCCATCACAGCAACCATAAGAGTTAAGGTTCCTATTACAATATCCGCATAAACATGCATTTAATGAGCATACTAATTTATTTTTATAATAACTAACCAGAATGGTCTATTGAACTATTTGACGAATGGCTCCTATGATGCCGGTGCTTTCTGTGGTGTTCAGCAGCTGAGTTAACCACAACTACACTGGGTTGCTGTGAACTGGTTGCCATAGTATTATTACTAGTGTTATTATTATTATTGTTGTTGTTATTCGTAATAATATTAGTGTGTTCAGACTGGCTACTACTAGAGGATACCACGCCAGTGCAGCACAGGACTAAATACAGCACAACAATAATGGCGACTATGACAATTAATCCCGTAAGGAAATTAAGCAGTGAAATACCAAAGTAATCTACAAACATTATATAAATCTAGAGCAATCTAGACTTTATACACAGCATATTTAATCAGGGAGAGTATTGGGCAGAACATAAAAGGAATATCCTGATTAAAGTTGTACCAATAAGAAATATGATACAGAAAGGGTTAAATGAACCAATAAATACTTACTCAAAACATAAACATAAGTATTCAGTGAGAATATACAGAAATATTTATTCTATGGGATTCTTCTGAATATTGCTCTAAATTTATTTGAATGCTTCATATCTGCTTTTTTAGACTCTTCCGTTGTCTCTATTATTATTTTGTATAGCGGATCTTTTACTGCTTCTTCTTCAGGCAGTCTAGTAAATAATGGATGGTCTTCTAAACACACTGTCATATAATTAAATAAATCTTCTACATCCGTGGATATGTATAAATGGCCATTTGGCTGTATTACGTACTGGTAAATATCCAGCATACATTTTGAAATTATTCTGGCTTTGTGCTTCTTTTTTTTAAAATGCGGGTCCGGGAAAAGAATGAACATTTTCTGGATTGACTCTTTCTCAAGATAATTAGTAAGGAATTTCATACTGTTGGCTCTTACAACAGAAACATTCTTGGCTTTATTCTCTGTTTCTTGCTCGTACTTTATTTTCAAGTCCACATAATCCACTAATTTCTCACGTATTTCCATCCCCAGAATTGAAGCAGTTGGGAATAGTTCTGAGAGTTTGAACAGAAGTCCACCGTATCCACATCCAATATCAACCATGTCCACTTTTTTATTGAAAAATGAAGGATTCATTGGATAGGATATATTATGGTCTGAGAATGGATTGGAATGTGCCCTCTGCCGATGATTTCGTTTCTGTGGTTTTATTAAGTTCATGCAGGAAATAAAATATTTGTAAAATTATAGAATATGAAAGGAATAACAAAATCAGAATTTACTTAAATAAGAAATAGTAGAAAGAATCGTTTATGCATAATTCGAATTTCTGTGTATAACCTGAATTTCTGTATATAACTGACTATTTGATTTTTCTTGGTATTTTATGGTATAAGTATAAAGCTTCTATTCGTTAGTGGTATTTATACTGTACAGAACAGAATTATAATCCGAATGTGTATAGTATACCCAGAAAGCACTCTAAACCAGAAACTGTTCATTCTGTGGGTATGCAATGCTTTGTATACAGTAGATCTAATAATACTCTTAAATATACTGTTAAATGCAATAATAACGGTTATTTTAACTCTGGTTATTCTGTGCGTATTTCAACAGTTGACATGTTAATAGAATACTCTTGTTTAAGAACATTTTTACACTCTCTTAGTACATCTTCATGGACTGCACCGTGTTTCATGGTTATATTAATCATAGACACACGGGTACTTCGGTTTACACACCATAAATGCATATCATTTATAGCAATTACATTTTTTACCTGCATAATACTCTGCCGGACTCTTTCTACTTCAACCGGGGATTTGTCCAGGAGCATATACACCACCTCTTTAAGCAAACCAAATGATCCACAGAAACATACAATAGTGGAAAAGAAAGCCGCCAGTATATCAACAATAGTAAGCTTTGGGTTAATGTGCAGTACTACACCACTGATTATAAGGCCTATACACTGGGCTAGATCACTTAATGCGTGTATGTATATTGACGTAATGCTTAAATCAGCATTAGCGCTTTTGTTCATTTTAACGGATACTAAAAAATTTATAACGTTAATTATAAACGACAGAATTCCCGTTATTAGAACGACCTCTTCATTAATTTTCTGGGGATTGAAATATCTAAAAATAGACATGTGTACAAGATACAGTGATGGTGCCCATATAAGAATTAGTGACAGAGCAGCAGCCAATACTTCTATTCGTATAAGCCCGAATGTATAATTTGAACCTCCTGTATACCGAGAAGAGACAAAAGTTGCAAGTAGACCAACTCCCACAGTAATCAAATCACTCGACATATGGACTGCTTCTCCAAGTATGGAAACTGACTCACTTTTAATGTGTGCTACTATTTCAATCAAAAGCAAAAATACTGTATTAAACAGGATAATATACACTCCTCTCGATTTCTTCATACTGTAAATATACGTAAGAAATTTACCAGGGCAAGAAAACAAATAAATAGTGGCTTGGCTGCTTTTATTCGTCATTTAAGTTATAGTAATGAAGGCCATATTCACCAGATACGGAATCTATTTTAATGTGGATCCAGTCATTTAATCCCTTTTTATGGAGGTATTTCTTTAAGATCTGTTTAACATAGAACTTTCTTACATCTACACCCATGTCTAAGACTATCTTGTTCTCGGACTTTTTAAGAAGAACATTCATTGGACCACCTGGAAGGGTTTCTGGATTGTGCTTGGTGAGCTTGTTGTTTACTTCAATGAAATTTGCGCATTCTTCCATGTCAAACAGTTCATCCTTTACCATCTCCTTGCAGTTAATCGTAAGTTCTCTTCTTTTTTCTGAAACTGGATTTATTATTCTTCTTGCCATTACAACAGGGGTTCAAATTTAAATTTGCATTAAATGAACCCGGTGCTGTAAAACTGAATTTTTCTGGAAATGACACTTTAAGTCTTTTCTGTGGTAATTTAAGTATAGTTTTATCTACTGTATGCTGTGGTGTAGTATATACTGTACTTATACGGTCTGTGATGTGCCCTGTGGTACAGTATGAAACAAGAACAGAAGTGAATGGGTGTCTGTACACAGAGAATGGAGTGATGGCCGGACTTAGAAATGAAGGAATGAATGTTTTAAAGGATTCGTACAGTTTTAGTCGGTTTCTGTGCTTTTTTTCTTCTTTTGTGCTTACCAGAGCCATGCGCACAGAAAAAATTTCGAACTTTCAGAGTATTTAGAAAATATTTCGTACAGCGGCAATACTCAACACGAACCATCTGGCATAATTTACATCCGGTATTTAAGCTATAATATGCTTATGGAGTTATTGAATGGCTTATAACCGTATTAAATATCCCAAATTAGCCAGAATTTCAAAAATAAATATGAAATTATAACGGATTTTACAGTAAAAATAAGATTATCCCGTATTTATCCATGTGATATCTATGATAATATTGATTATTAATGTATTTATACATTATATTCATGTTTCAGCATATTTCTATGACTAATTATCCTAAATTTCATAATATTCTGTACTGTGTACGAATGTGCAGTATACAAATAAATATTCTGTGGTAGAAGTGTGCTTAATTAAATATTCCAATTATGAATGATTAACATGCGATTTATTTTCGGGTGATGTACTCACCGCACTCAGAAAGTGCAAATTCATTTTGGAATAAACTGGTATTAAATATATTTTTATGAGAAAGTCCAAGTGAAGAGGTTTTACTCTTAAATTCCTTCACTTTCACTCTTCCGTCACTGCTTGGCTTGTTCTCCTCTCGTGCGAATAACGACTTGATCAGGGAAATACTTGAAATAAGAGAATCTTCTTTCTTTGGGAGGTACTTCTTAAACTTCATCTGTAACTGCCTCCTTACGGCTGCCTTCTGTGTCCTGCAGAAACTGTCTAAAACCACCTCAACTGCCATGTCTATATCACCCTGCATGACAACTTCTCTTAAGTGCATCCTTGCTGATGCCTCTGCTATACGCACCATTGACTCAACGTGTCTTACTGTTATGGGGATACCTCTGGCGATGGAACTTTCTTTTCTGAGAGTTGCGTAGAGTGAAGATATTCGCTCTGTGTCAAATTTCTCTATTCTTGGGGTTATTCTTTCTCTTGCGTATGCTATGTACTTCCTCAGTATATCCTGTGGGATTATTTCACTCCCTCCCTGCATGCCTGGTTCTGGTGCTGTGGGTGCACTTGCTGATGCACGGTGACTGTTTACTATGAACTGTGCAAGCATTTTATCCTTCTCTGGGTTACCCTCGTCCTGTATTACACAAATAACATCAAACCGTGAGATAATTGGGTCACTCAGGTTTACATTCTGCTGGAAGGTGTACGACGGGTTATACTTCCCCCTGATCGGATTGGCAGCTGCAATAATTGCACACCTTGCCTGGAGACTTGTTACAATTCCTGCCTTAGAGATACTTATACTCTGCTGCTCCATGGCCTCGTGTATACTTACTCTGTCGGTGTCCTTCATCTTGTCAAACTCATCAATCAGGCAGATACCTTTATCTGCCAGGACCAGTGCACCGCCTTCGAGTGTCCACTCCTTTGTGACTGAGTCCTTTTTCACCATGGCAGTCAGACCCACTGCGGATGCACCCTGCCCTGTTGAAAACACTGCTCGATGTGCTATGCTCTGGACGTACTTCAGAAGCTGTGACTTGGCCATGCCCGGATCTCCAAGAAGAAGCACGTTAATGTCTCCCCGTACCTTGTGGTTATTCTCCGAGTGTTTTGGAACTCCCCCAAACACGGCCGCAGCAATTGCGCGTTTCGCCTGGTAGTGGCCGTGTATGCTCGGTGCGATACTTCTGATTATTACTTCGTGTATGCCCGGGAGCCGTGAAAGTCGCTGAATCTCCTTCTCGTCCTCTGGGGTTATGTTTATAATAGAAGACTCGTCTTCTTTCTTTACTATGCTCAGTGCTTCAATGCACGTATAGAATGTGGGCATACCTGACTTATTAACAGCACTACTGAATGTGTTCTTATACGTCCCTATTATTTCAATTTCATCCCCTGGGCGCACGCAGTCTATTAAATCATACTGCAGGATGACCTCCTTTGACCGAGGCAGTCGACCCGGTGGAATCGACCCAGGCACCTCCTGCATCGTCAGTTTCTGGTAGTCTCTGTATACGGTCTCTGACTGGTTCACTTGGAGTGACCCTGCACCCTGGCACTCTGTGCACCGCTTAGGCTTCTGTGCATCTGACTCCACAAGGAATGGTCCAATAATAGCCCTGCACTTCTGGCACGTATACTTCACCAGCGATACAATCGGATACACCCGACTCCTCTTCGTGATAATCCCGCTCACCTGCACGAGCGTGTTCAAATGCGAGTTTCGAAGTGTCCGTATATGATCATGCGTGGGGATGTTAACCAGCCGGAATATAACCACCGGCTTAATAAATGAATACTTCGGGAATATCCCCCTAACCACACTCTGCAATGCCTCATTAAAAAGCGGCAGTACCCGTGCTGGGAATGTAACCGCAGCCAGTGCTATCGCAGATGAGTACCCCTCCAGCTCAAAATAGTCCACGTATATCGACTGTCTGTTAAGGGATGCCATTTGGTTAATACTCTCCAAATACTTCTTCTTACTCCCCTTCAAAAATTGGACAACCTCTTTTTTAACCCTCTCCTGTACATCCACCGTATGAATATGCTTCTGTAGAAGACTGAAATTATTCAAAGGTTCCTCAACCCGGCTTAAGTCACTCTCCTCCTCAGCTGCTAAGTACTCATCCTCAGACTCATCTTCTATCCCTAGTGCCTGGGATATCTCCCTCTCAGCTGACTCAAATTCCTTCTTAGTCAGTGGTGGGGCATACTCCTCATCCTCAGTCTCATACCTGTCCAGTAATGGATTGTCCACATAGTCCCTGCTATAATCATTCCCGAATAAGTCGTCCTCATTCGGATCTACCCCTGAGTCTTCTAATTCTATCCTGTCAATGTCTGATGAACTATTGAATGTATCACTCTCTGTGTCTCCGTTCATTACAGCAATTTTTTACGAAAATCCATGGACTCACAGAAGTATATAGAGTTAAAGAAAAAAGCCAAGTGCAGATTTCCAATTGCACGGATTAAAAAGATAATGCAAATTGATGAGGAAATAGGGAAAGTAAGCACATTTGCACCGATCGTAATTAGTCATGCGATAGAATTATTCTTAATAAGCCTACTGAAGCAAATGGAGGAGGAGGCCAAGCAGAAGGCAGTCAAAAAAATAGTTTTATCGCATTTAGAGGTGTGTGTAGAGAATGATCCCAAGCTAGAGTTCATGAAGGTATTACTTACTAAGAAATAAAGAGAGGATGATCATAACCCGACATAACCCGAATTTTATTTTTATAATATAATACACAATTAATAATAAGTTATATACAATTAATAATAAGTTATGCACAATTAGTATAATATAATACATAATTAGTAATAAGTTATGCACTATTAGTATAATATAATACATAATTAGTAATAAGTTATGCACTATTAGTATAATATAATACACAATTAATAATAAGTTATGCACTATTAGTATAATATAATACACAATTAATAATAAGTTATGTACAGTAGTATAATATAATACACAATTAGTATAATATAATACACAAATAGTAATAAGTTATGCACTATTAGTATAATATAATACACAATTAGCAATAAGTTATGTACAGTAGTATAATAATTGTATTATTATACAGTGATTAATTAATAGTATATTAAACCATGTGAGTATTATACTGTATATTTATACTTAACTGTATTTATGAAGTATCCCTGTGTATAATCCATAATTCAGTCTATTTTACAGTATATTTCAATATCTATGCATTATTTAATACACTATGTCTCTTATATTATGCAGTGTACAGTTACTTTTTACACATAGCTTCTTTTATTCTGTTAATTTTAACTATTTATTTTTTTAATTTTTGACCCCCTGAATGTCAAAGAATACAGCTTCAATGGAAGCAGTTGTTAGGCTTATGAAGAAGCCAAGTAACATAAGAAATATGTCAGTGATTGCACACGTAGATCACGGTAAGAGTACTTTGACCGATACTTTAGTTGTAAAGGCAGGATCCCTATCTGCAGAGAAGTCTGGATCCAGATTCACAGATACAAGACAGGATGAACAGGAAAGGGGCATCACAATTAAGTCCACTGCCATATCAATGCAGTTTAAGCTTAAGAAACTGTCATTCGACACCTTCATGAAGGAGAAGACAGATGAGAACCACTTCTTAATCAACTTAATTGACTCACCAGGGCACGTAGACTTCAGTTCTGAAGTGACTGCTGCTCTTAGGGTGACTGACGGTGCCTTGGTCGTTGTGGACTGCATTGAAGGAATTTGTGTACAGACAGAGACTGTGCTAAGACAGGCCATAATTGAGAAGATCAAGCCAGTGCTGTGCCTTAACAAGATCGACCGTGCCCTGCTTGAGCTTAGAGAGGCCCCTTCTGAGTTTGCTAAGTCGCTCAGGAATACCGTTGAGAGCTTCAATGCCACCATGTCAAAGTTCCTTATGGATGAGGACAAGTCCTCTAATATTAGGCAGTTGAACCCAGCGGACTTAGAAGTCTCTTTCTGCTCTGGCTTACAGGGATGGGGGTTCACCCTCAGACAGTTTGCTGAGTTCTACGCTGAGAAGTTCAACATGCAGGACAAGCCGGATATGATCGATGCTTTCCAGAAGTGTCTATGGAAGATTGACCGGTACTGTACGTCTGCTGACCCATTCGATGCAGACTGCAAGATCCTTAAGAAGAAGAAGAACGGACCAGAAGTGAACCCTGAGCTGCACCCATTCGTGGTGTTTGTGCTTACGCCGATATACGCCGTAAGGGACTTGTGCTTCGCTGGGAAGAAGGCGGAGATCAAGGAGTACTTGAAGAGGTTCAACATCAGCTTCGGCAGCAAAGAGTTGGAGGAGATCACTTCTGAGAAGGCCCTGTTTAAGCACGTCATGAGGAAGTGGCTGCCTGCAGCGGACTGCCTCCTGGAGCAGATTGTCGTGAACCTGCCCTCGCCAAATGAGAGTCAGGTGTACAGGGCAGAGTCTCTCTACGAGGGACCAAAGGACGACGAGTTCTGCCAGGCCATTAAAAAGACTGCCCGGGAGGAGGACTCCCCCGTGATGATGTACGTCTCTAAAATGATCCCACAGGGGTCCGGGCGGTTCATTGCATTCGGACGAGTGTTCTCCGGGGTGATCCGGGCAGGTATGCCGCTGTACGTACAGGGCCCAGATTACGAGCCTGGAAAGGGCAAGGAGCTTAAGGCTAAGGTCGTAACAAAGGTGCTCCTTATGATGGGAAGGACCGTTGAGGAGGTGAACTCCTGCCCGGCCGGTAATATCGTGGGTATCCTTGGAGTAGACTCGGAAATCCAGAAGACCGCCACACTCTCCAGCATGAAGGGCTCCTTCAACATCAAGACCATGAAGTTTACCGTGTCCCCCGTGGTGAGGTACTCCATCTCCCCGAAGAACACGAGTGACTTGCCTAAGCTCAAGGAAGGACTCCTGAAACTCGCCCAGGTTGACTCGCTCTGCCAGGTGCAGTACATGAAGTCGGGTGAGATCGTCATTGCAGGGGCCGGTGAGATGCACGTGGAAATATGCATTAACGACCTGGAGAAGGACCATGCGAAGGTGCCCATTATTAGAGGGGAGCCACAGGTCTCGTACTTTGAGAGTATATCTACACCGGTCACGACGATCGCCATGTCTAAGAGTGCGAACAAGCACAATAAGGTGTACATGGTGATAGAGCCACTTGCTGAGGAGATTGTCGCTGCGATTAAGGACGGCGAGCTTATTGCGAATGATCCAAAGGCACGTGTGGAGCTGTTCAGGACTAAGTTTGGGAGTGCGGATGAGTGGGTGAAGCGGGTCCTCTGCTACTCGCCCGATGATGTCGGTCCGAACATGATTGTTGACTCCTCTAAGGGTGTCCAGAACCTGCACGAGGTGAAGGAGTTCCTGAAGATGGGCCTGGATGCGGCTGTTAAGGAGGGACCGGTCATTGGAGAGCCCCTCCAGGGACTGCGTCTGGACCTCATGGACTTAACACTCCACGCAGATGCGATCCACAGGGGTGCGGGACAGCTCATCCCCACAATGAGCAGGCTGGCTGTTGGCCTTGTGCTCGCTGCCACCCCGATCCTGTACGAGCCCATCTTCCTGGCGGAGATATCCCTGCAGGACAGCATGATCGATGCAGCGATGCAGGTGGTCAAGGGAAGACGGGGGGAGATCGTGGATGCAATCTACAACAACCATAAGTCGGTGCTTAAGGCGTAATCCCCGTCCAGCGGTCGTTCAACCTGAACAAGGAGCTCATGGAGTGCACGGGCGGTGGTGCGAGCATTAACTTGGTCCTGTCCCACTACTCGATCGTACCGGGCTCTCTTGAGAAGGAGGGCACCCCCATGTTTGACATTGTCAAGCAGATCAGGACCAAGCGGGGCCTTGGCGAGCTGAAGGACCCTTCTGAATACTTCTGCAAGGAGTGATTGCGCACTCTGCAAGGAATAAAGACATCTTAAACTTATTTACACTTTATGCTATACACGCCCGATCGGAGATACTATCACAGGACTTTATACACAATACATCATAAATACAACTTATCACACAATACATCATAAATACAACTTATCACATAATACATCATATATACAACTTATCACATAATACATCATATATACAACTTATGACACAATGCATAATAAATAAGTCAAGACAACTTATTATTACTTATGACACAATACACCATATATAAAATAAGCGCATAATACAGCACATGATAAAGTAACAAAATAAACTTATGACACAATACACCATAAATAAAATAACGAAATAAACTTATGACATAATGTATAATAAATAAGCCAAGACAACTTATTATTACTTATAACACAATACATCGTATATAAAATAAACTTATAACATAATGCGTAATAAATATAACTTATGACACAATGCGTAATAAATAAGTCAAGACGACTTATTATTACTTATAGCACAACTCACTATTACTTATGACTCATTGCATAATAAATATTACTTATTATTACTTATTATACAATACATCATATATAAAATAAAATAAATTATACATTATTTATTACACATATTCCTATAAATATTATTTTATGTACATTGTACATTATTAAATATAAAATATTTTACATAATGTACATTATATAATGAAACTTACAGAACAGTGCCCATTCTTAATACTATTACTTATTACACATATATTACATATTAATATTACATACACAACAGCAGATAATCAAACTACTAGAACAGATTTAAACAGTCATTGTGTTATAAATAATGAACACACTCCAAATCTTTCAACACAATCTCCATTAAGTAATACTACTTATAACACAAGCAGTAAAAATACTTCAGAATATAGTAATGTAGGCATATTATATATTACATACATAACTAAAGAGCACCCAGCACATGAAAACTTAATCACAATAACCACTTCAGATACAAATGCCCTATCTAATATTAATATCATACCAAGGATATACAATGAGCCAGAATGTCCTACATCACAGTTATCCATTACAGCAGAGAATAATTTAGTCATACTGGATTTCAACGGCACTGTTTTTATAACCTCAGTGATGCACAACTTATTACCCATAACACAATATATTCCATCACATACTGCACAGTATGTCATAAGTAATAATAGCCCACCATTAGATACTACACAATATATCATAAATAATAATCATCCATCAAATTTCAACCCAAACCAAATCGTCATGGGATGGAATGCACCAGAACCCGACTTAACCCGAAATCCATTATTTTATGATCATAGCGTAATAAATAATGATCCTAACTGCACGGCAATAAATCCATTAAATATGACACAATCACCACAAAGTAATGCACCAATCATGCGCATGCCACTACTGCCCACTCCGTATACGCAGTACAGCAAGTGCACGCCTAACATTATCACTAACCCAAATGGAATGCCCCCCTGCATCCCAGGCCATAATTTTATCCCCCTCCCAGGGAACAATACGCCAAGATTTACGAGGCATAGGAGCATAAATAAAAAACAGAAAAGTAAAAATAGCAGTGAACTAAATACACAATGTGTAAAAAGTTCTGCTTATAGCCCGACTAACCCGAAACCTGTGCCAGATGAAAACCACACCACAAACACCCCACCAGACACGAGAACTACTGGAGTACCGCCAACATGGAAGAACAACAGTAATAATACTGTCAAATGGGATTCTTTAGATTGAAATAACCCGATATAACCCGAAATAAATAATTTATTTATAATATTATATTACACATTGTATAATAAGTTATAATATATGACATACTGTATAATAAGTTATAATATATGACATAATGTATAATAAGTATTTATTATGAGCAACTGTGTAATAAGTTATAATGTGTACATGATTTATTAAAATTAAAATATCACTTATGTATTACATTATATACTACACACTGTATAATAAGTTATAATGTGTACTAAGTTATAATATATTACGCACTATGTAATAAGTATTTATTATTACGCACTGTGTAATAAGTTATGTATCTACTAATAAGTTATAATATATTACATATTGTGTACTAAGTATTTATTATTATACACTGTATAATAAGTTATAATGTGTACTAAGTTATGTATCTACTAATATTAATTATATACTACGCATTGTATAATAAGTTATAATGTGTAATAAGTTATGTGTTTACTAATATTAATTATATACTACGCACTATGTACTAAGTTATAATATATTACGCATTGTATAATAAGTTATAATGTGTAATAAGTTATGTATGTACTAAGTTATAATATATTACATATTGTATATAAAGTATTTATTCGGGTTATATCGGGTTATTTATTATATAAAAGGATAAATCTTCTGTTTTTTTATTCTTTATTTATGAGCATAGAGACACGCACGGAGGGACTGGTTTACAGCGTACAGAGCAATAAGAAAGGAGACTTGGTCTCAGCTGGTGCAGAGGATGGAACAATCACATTATACAAAATAGATGAAAATGGGAGTACCCCAATACAGAAACTGTCTTATAATACATCGCCAATATTCAGCACCGTATTCATTGAGGAGAGGTTAGTCGGTGCTACACACGATGGACACCTTTTAGTATGGAAACAGTCACAGTCAGAGTACGTATTTGAATCGGTCATAACCGTATTCCAAGGGTGTATTAATACGATCGTAGAGTGTAAAGGGACTGTTTTATGCGGGTGCTCAGACGGCCGTGTAAGGAAGGTTTCTTTAACAGGGGAAGTAACCTTAGAGTCACTTATACATAAGCACGGTGTAACTAGTCTTGCCGTATACAATGACTATATAATTAGTGGTGGGATGGACTCCTCAATAAAAATACTTAATAATGAAGACCTGGCCATACTCCATGACATAAAGGAGCATACGAAACCTGTCCGTGACTGTAAGGTGTGTGATAATGAATTTGACTCGTTCGTGTTTGCTAGTTGCTCAGATGACGGTACGCTTTGCATATTCACTGAGGAGAAGGACGAGAAGTTAAAGTTCTCTGTTGACAGGCATAAAATAGGCACCCCGTGCAGGAAACTCTCATGGACACCTTTAGGGTACGCACTAGCAGTGGGGTACGGCAAGAGTGATGTAAAAGTGTACATCCCAGAGTCACCTAATAAATGGAAGGAGACTCCGATCGTACTGCCGTAATAAGCCTTGTTATAATGCATTATAATAGGAGGGTCTGATCGTACTTGTACTACCGTAATAATGCATTAATGCCTTGTTACTCCGATCGTACTGCTGTAATAAGCCTTGTAATAATGCCTTGTTATAATGCCTTGTTGGTCCGATCGTACTTGTACTGCTGTAATAATGCCTTGTTGGTCCGATCGTACTCGTACTACCGTAATAATGCATTAATGCCTTGTTGGTCCGATCGTACTGCTGTAATAATGCATTGTTATAATAAGGTCCGGTCGTACTCGTACTGCTGTAATAAGCCTTGTTATAATAATAGGATCCGATCGTACTGCTGTTATAATGCATTATAATAGGATCTGATTGTACTGCCGTAATAATGCCTTGTTACTCCGATCGTACTGCCTTGTTGGTCCGGTCGTACTTGTACTGCTGTAATAAAGCTATATTGTATCTGGTGCTCTGTTTAATTTCGGGTTATATCGGGTTATTTTTATATTGAACATTCAAATTTATTCTATCCGGGTTATATCGGGTTGTCCCAGTGGATCACACAGTCCGGCCACAGCGTACTTGAAACACTTTCTGTGTAAAACACTGTTTTATCATTAGACTAATCCACAGGATAATAAACATTTCGATGCACCAGATATAAAACCAAACACTAAACAAATTTTCAGATGCAGCCGGTGCTTGGTTCCCTGCGAAACAGTCTCAGAACAAATGTTTTAGCATAAGGTTTTATACCCGAATGGAAAGGATTCTTATGATCCGAGCGAAAAGAAAAGGAATATTTATAATATTGGCATTCTACGCAACCATAGCATATACAAGTACACCAGAAAGTGCACCTCCCAGTGACATACAGGACAGTACACTCCTGCAGTATGAAGGTACAGAACAGCCACCTGCACCGTATGGAGAGAACTCAGTCGCACAGTACGACGCACATGAAAAGGAAATAATCCCGGCTTGGGCCACTGGCTCAGAGGAAGTGCACGACTCTACGCACAATGTGTGCTTCAACGGAGTGTGTGAAGAACGCCGCCGTATGGAACAGGATGATAATACGCCAGCAGGGAATCCACACCCGCCGATCCTCAGAGAAGATGAGGATGAGCACCAGCCACAGTCACCACCGTACCCCGTGCCTACACCCTTCGATCCTGAACGGCCCAGTAGGAATGCAGTGCCCGTGGGGTACAATCCCTACTTAAACCCGAAACTCGGGAAAATGCCCATCTCAAAGAGCGTCCTCGGGCTGATGGGGGGGACAGACGGACCTGCCACTGGATATGGAAATGGTCCTACTAAGGATGATGCCTTGGGCGTACTGTTCTCTATAGGTGATGATGACACGTACTTGCTCCTGTCGTACCTCTCAATGGACCTGCCCATGAAGAACCTTGTCTCTAACATAACTGTCACTACGGACGAAGTGTCTGCCCAGGACAGGAGGGACTACCTCATGAGTGAGCTGGAAGGGAAGGGAAGTATTTACGGACTGGATAATGGCCTGAATATTTTATACTCTGCGCAAATGTTCTTCTACATCCCTAAGACGGCCATTTCCCTGATTATCCACGTGGGGAGGATAATTTACTCCAAGGAGACCGTGGACTTCCTGCGGCGGTTAAAGCTGAACACGGGCGTATTCACAGAAATCATTGACAGGGACGGGAAGAAAGTCTTCTACATCCCGGTGTACGGTGGGACTATTGCACTTGCAAACCCTTCCATACCGATTGTGAGCCAGTACTTGATTACGTCAGAGGGGTACGGTATATCCCTGCTTAAAGCCAAGCGGGTGGATATAGAAAAGGGTATCCTAGTGCTGAGCATATCTGCGTATGATGAGGGTGACATAACCCGGGTGGCTGGTACCATACAGAAGTTCACGTCCGGTGAGGTGAGTAACCCGTTCTCAGCCACTTTCGAGCAGTACGGGTTTGAAGAGGAGTCACAGGATGAGGGGGACAGTTCATACACCAGCTACTCATCCGTATCTTCATCCTCATCCAGCGTGAAGCGTAAGGGTAAGGGCAAGGGGTCTTCATCCTCACAGGAGGGAGATGGCTCATCTGACAGTTCATCTGACTCTGATACGGGCAGTCACCCACACAGTAAGCATAAGGGCCACCATGATGAAGATGGTTCATCAAGCAGTGATTCTTCCTCTGAGTCCAAGGAGGCCGTCCGTGACACGATCGACAGCCTGCTTGAGAAAGCCAGGAAGTGGAGGGAGAAGGCCGCACTCGCCAGTGAAGATAAAAAAGGGTTCAAGAAGCACGCACTGAAACAGGCAAAGAAGGCCGAAAGGAAAGCCAAGGCAATCCAGAAGGATGCGTATAATGAAAAATTACTCAAAGCAAGGAGGGAGAGGTCGGCTGAGGCAGCAGGGTTCGCAGCAGCCAGTGAGACAGAATCTGCTTCTAGACAGGCAGCTGGTGGAGCCGTAATTGAAGGAGAGCACTCCGCATCAACTGGGTCGTCCTGGTACTCTGGCAGCATGAAGAAGAACACCGCTATAAAAGCCATCATCACCAGTAAAGAGTCAGCAAGTGCAAGTGCATCCGCATCGGCATTTGAGGAAAGTTCTCGGAAGACTGCCTCCAGCTCATTCACAAGCAGTGGTGCATCTGCCATTATATCAGCCCACCAGAGCAATGAAATGTACTACAAGGGGGTGTCCTCCTCTGAGTATGCGACTAGGGAGATAAAGCACTCTCTCATGGGGATGACCATGCAGCACGCCTTATTCAGCACACAGGGCCGGATGTACCAGAGCCAGAAGTACTCCACGTACGGTGTTAGGTCGAGCAGGTCGTCCTCGCGGTGGCTCAGAAGAAGGATCACCCGGATCAGGCGGACTCGCCGTGCAGAGAGCCGGGCAGCCAGGCAGTTCATGAAGAACGGTGCCACATCCAAGGGGGTGGCAGCTGCAGCTGCTAAGGAACAAGCAGCCCGTGCAGCTGCAATCCGTGCGAGCAGGCGGGCAGCCCAGGCCAGCCAGGCAGCTGCCTCGTACGCAGCCATGGCAAAGAGGGCCGAGGCACAGAGTAATAAGAAGATGGCCAAGTCCTACAAGAAAACTGCGAGTAAGCATAAGCAGGCGTACACCCGGCACAGAGCCAGTGCGACTAAGTACGCTGCAGCAGTCGGGCAGTTCAAGGCAGCCAAACTCGCTGAGTGTGCTAAGCAGTCGGCTATTTTCATGCAGCAGATAAGCAATCCACAGAAGGCAGTCACCGAGCAGGAGATGCTCGACCTAAATAAGGCCGTGGCACAGATACTTACAAGTTCTCAAATACAACTGCTCAGTCATGCACTGTCAGCAGCACAAGTGCGTGTCCTGACGAGTCTCCTGACCCCACAGCAAGTACAGCAGACACTCGTGCACATCGGTGCCATGACACCACTGCAGATGCAGGGACTACTCATCCGGCTGCAGCTTAAGGGTATCGAGATACAGAAAGGTGCCATGGCACCCCTGCCGAATATTGGCATACAGTCGGCCTTCCCACTTGGGTCACCGATGGTAGCCAACATAAGCACGCGTATCACAGGGGCCCCTGCACAAATGACATCTGCTGATCTGATTAAGTTCCTGACGAGTGGTCAGTCACTCTTCCAGGCACAGGAATCCCTCGTGTCACAGGAGCAGATTGAGTCCATGAAGATGGAGGCGATCAAGCAGTCGCAGATGATCAAGCAGTTAATCACGCAAGTACAGCTCAGTAAGAATGAGATTGAGACAAGAGTCCGTGAGAAGATGTTCAGCGACCGAATGAAGTCAAGCATCAGCGTGTGCAACCCCATGATGGGCATGCGAACAGGCATGGCCACAGGTGCATTTGATGGGATCTCCTCATCACCTGGGCTACAGCTGGCCGGGAATGTCTGCCTGGGGAACAACTCATTCAGTGCGATGCGGCAGTTACTGGTCTCACCGAGCGTATCTTCGTACATCGGGATAGACCAGAACATGCTGTCCGACCTATTATACAACAGGACCCAGAACAATGATCTAATGTGCCTGCTGGCCAAGTCGTCGATGGCGAGTCCGATGTACAGCCAGATGCCGAATGACGAGCAGTCGTTAATTAATGCGCGTTTCCAGAGTACACAGAACAAGCTATACGGGATATACGGGAATTCACTGGGCCGGCTTGAGCAGGCCCTGGCATCTGCGTTTAGTCTAATCAGGAACTCATCTGTGAAGTGCAAGCAGACCCTGCAGCAGACTCCGCCTGCCTGTCAGATACAACCGCAACTAAGCGGTTAATTTTAGTAATAAATTATCTAAATAATATGCTTTATATTTACAGAAGAAAGAAAAAGGATGCTTTCACCAGGGCTCGAACCTGGGGCCTTCGGGTTATTAGTCCGATGCTCTAACCAACTGAGCTATGAAAGCACATTCTTTAATTACACTGTGTACAGATGGTGGTAGATGGTGGTATAAGTTAATAATAAAATATAATTAGTATTATTATGTACACAGTGTGTTGTAAATTCTGGTGTATTTATATTCTGTTAAATTTTATTTTTTAATGGCCAGGAGGATAATAACAGCAGCACTGCCGTACGTAAACAACCTGCCGCATTTAGGGAATATAGTAGGATCACTGCTGGGTGCGGATGTGTACAACAGATATTGCAAGATGCGGGGAATATCCACTGTATTTATAACGGGGACGGATGAGTACGGGACAGCATCTGAAGTATCAGCGGATAAAGCAGGCTTATCACCGCAGGAGCTCTGTGATATAAACAGTGCCAGGCACAAGGAGGTATACGACTGGTTTCAAATAAATTACGACATATTTGGCAGGACATCTGTGGACAGGCACAAGGAGATAACGCAGTCTGTGTTCTTAGAAATGTATAATAACGGTTATTTTATAGAGAGAGAGGAGGAGAGGTACTTCTGCAGTGGGTGCAGTATGTTCTTAGCGGACAGGTACATAAATGGCACGTGCGGTATATGTGGATCGGACAGTGCCAGGGGTGACCAGTGCGATGGGTGCAGTGCCATACTGGCGATAGATGAGATAATCAGTCCGTACTGCAGTACGTGTAAGAGTGTCCCTGTTAAGAAGATGACCAAGCACTTGTTCTTTGAGCTTAATAAAGTGCAGGATAAGCTGAACCAGTTAATAGAAGAGCACGCTGGGAAATGGTCATCTGTAGCCAGGCAGATCTCTAATGACTGGAAGAATAAAGAACTTATCCCACGGTGCATAACACGTGACTTAAAGTACAACTGGGGCGTGCCTGTGCCACTGCCTGAGTATAAGGATAAAGTGCTTTACGTGTGGTTTGATGCCCCGATCGGGTACATCACATTCACAGACATGCTCGGGAAGAGGGGTTGGTGGACAGAGCCAGATGTAGAATTATGCGAGTTCATGGGGAAGGATAACGTATTCTTCCACTCGGTATTCTTCCCGGGGATGCTCGTGGGGTGCAACCAGGTAAAGTACCCTAATCTTATATCTGCCACGCATTACTTGACGTACGAAGGGGACAAGTTCAGTAAGTCAATGGGCCGTGGTATATTTGGAAGTGATTTATTAGGCGACCGGATAGGGTGTGCAGGTGCATGGAGGTTCCACTTAATGAGGCGCCGGCCAGAGACGGGTGATGCAGATTTCTTATGGAGGGAGTTTAAAGAGTCGTACAATACGATACTGATCAATACGATCGGGAATCTGTGCAACCGCATCCTGTCCTACGTGAAGAAACGGCTGAATGGGACACTTACCACACCAAAATTAGACAGTAATACGGTACAGGGCGTTAACACTGCACTGAATAAGTACATTAACCACATGGATAAAGCAGAAATCCGATCGGCGATCGAGTGCATCGTAGATGTAGCAGGGATGGGTAACGTATACGTCCAGAAAGCATTTGCAGAGAAAGTGGATAAGGCCGAGATGGGCGTACGGATTTCATCGGCTGTGAATATTCTGGTGGTAATTGGGCGGATGCTCTACCCCGTCGTACCCAAGGAGGGGGCCGAACTACTTTCGATCCTAAGGGTAGCCGATCGGAGTATCCCGGACGAGTTCACAGAAGAATTATCGGATGGGCACGAAATCGGGGATGTTCATATTTTATTCCATCCACTGACAGACGCACAGGCACAAGCAATGGAATCATTCTGTTGCAACTTATAATTACAATTCGGGTTATATCGGGTTATACAAATTATATACTAATTCAACCGATTATTATCGTATGTATAACAGGTGTATAGCACAGTAAGTGTAATACTTATTACACATATACTAATAAATTATCATTACTTATTACACAATGCATATTATATATTACACATTATTACTTGTTACACTATACATAATAAATAATATACATATATTATTATATATTACACAATGTATACTAAATAATACACAACGCATACTAAATAATATACATATACATATACTATTACGCATATAACCATATATTCTATAACTGGCTATTACTTATTACACATTATTACTTATTACACATATACTATTATATTATCATTACTTATTGTACATATACTATAACTTATTATTCTATTACACATTATTACTTATTACACAATGCATACTAAATAATACACAATATTACTCATTACTCTATTACTTATTACACATATACTATTACTTACTATACATATGCTATTATATATTACTTATTACACATATACTATTAAGTATACACTTCTTTTTTTATTTTTATGTACAGTGCAGTCCTTTCCATTACGCCAGCAGAGGATGACAGTACAAGCAGTAATACAACAGAGAATGAAGAATCTTCTGTTTATGTACAGTCATACAGTGGTAATATATTAATAACAGATAAAATCACATTTATATCAGCAGATAATAAATTCAGCACAGAATTAAATACACATAGCATAGAATATATTGCACACAGTGAGAGTATACTTATAACACATTGTAGCATAAATTATAGTATCACATCACCACATAAGAATATTATTATAACAGAAATAAACCAATTAATAAGCCAGCACTTAAACACCACAGAAATAGAAGAAATAGAATGCGTATACGATAAGGGGATAGATATAGAACTAATTACACAATGGTTAATAAATAAAAACTTTATAGAAAAAATAAAAATAAAATAAAATATAAAGAAATAATAGAATATAATACACATAGTGTAATAAGTAATAATAATAGTACTAATAGTAATAAGTTATATAATAATAATAGTACAGAATATAATAGTAATAGTGTAATAAGTAATAATAATGATACAGTGTGTAATAATAGTACAGAATATAATACACATAGTGCAATAAGTAATATACACAGTGAGTGTACTATAACAGAAATAGAATCAGTTAAATCTATTCTATCTATTATATTTAAGATAGATGATATTTCTATTATATCACATATTATTAATAATATATGTATATTATCATATATATATAATATACCGTATTATAACACTAATAAGATCAAATGGTTAAAGAAGTACTTCTATAATACGTCTATTACTATTAATAATATATTATACAATAATTATAATAATAATATAAATATATATAATATAAATATAATAGAAGAAATAGAGGATAAAGAGATAATACTAAATATAATTAATAATATAGATATAAATATAATAAATAGTATAATAAAAGGAAGTAGCATAAGTAACAGAAGTAACAGTAATAGTAATACAGATCATATAGGGAATAGTACTAATAACAATAATAATGACAGTATATGTAAATATGGCACTAATAACAATAATAATGACAGTATATGTACATATGGCACTAATAACAATAATAACACTGATACAGCTGTATATACTAATAGTACTAATAACACTGATACAGCTGTATATACATATAGTACATATACTAATAGTACTCCTAGTACTGATACATATAGTACTCCTACATATGATACATTGCCATATATATGGTTATACTACTTGCTTAAATATAATTTATTTAATGATTATTCTATACGGGTTAATATAAATAATATAGATAATATATATATATATTATATACTAAATATTATAGTAAAGGATATTAAATTAATAGAGATAGTATCAGGGTATGATAAGATATTTGAGAAAGAAGGTATTAAAAATATTAGTATAATTAATGGGCATGGACAGATAAGTACTGAATATATATTAGATAGTATGCGTATAAAATTATTGAGTGATTTAGTTAATAATATGAATATAGCAAGTAGGTTATACATTATTACATCAGGAATAATTATAGGGGTGATTAATGGGTTAGGGAGTACATCTGGGGTTTATAAACTTAATGCATGGAATATATTATTAGGGTTATTAAAGAGTAAGAACAAAAGTATAATTAAGTATATGATAACTGTTGGGATAATTAATAGGATAGAAACTGAATTAATCAAAGAAAACAGAAGGATTAGTGCGTATACACCAATTATAAAGAAAGTAGATGGAATTATCAAGAACAAATCGTATGTTATATAACTGAAGTGTTAAACAAATCGTATTTATACCGTATTATTAAAACAAATGAATAAGTCACATATGAAATAATCATAGTTGATTTATATCACATGATAGAGCACGTCCAATGTAAAGCCATATACTCGCATATGCTAAGTCGTAGATAGTGGTATACATGGAAATTAAAGGGTATATAAGATAAGAATAATAAAAATATGAATGTGTATTAATTATGTATAAGAGGATAACCCGAAATTCATAAATAACTAGAAGGATCTTCAAGATATAATACAGGATTATAAGAATATTATGAGAATATAAATATAATATTTATTTGAGTTAGTGGTTGGTTATTAAATGTATTTACTTGTATACTATACATATTTTATAGTTAATATAGGAAAATACTTGTGGCAATTCGGGTTATTACAAAAAGTATTATAATATGTACAGAATAAATTATTCTGATTGAAGGGATGCATGGATGATGATTAATCTGTATATAATGAGAGTATTAATATACTGGATAAATTAACATATAAGAGGATGGTATATGTATAGTTAATAGATCTAATAGATACAGGTCTGTTTAAGAATAATCTTTGAATTCTTAATTATTAAATCTAAGGCAGAGAGATCATCAATCTCGGATGCAACGTCTTTCATAAACAAAATTACTTCTGTGTGGTATAATACAAATAGACTAATAGATAATAATAAGATAATCATTGCAATTGCTATGGAGATTGGGTTTAGAAATGGCAGTTTTCTTTGGATGTTCATGGGAATAATTTCTTCATTTATAGTATATGGGGCACTGTAGAATGTATCATCTGAACTTTCATTATTTTTCTCTATGTGGTCTTCTATATATAAATTGGCATCGTAGAATATGTCATTAGAATCAGTATCACTGATTTCTTCTAATTCTAATTCTTCTATATTTATACTAACTGTGTGCATATACATATTTGGATTAATATCTTTGGTGATTGTGTCAATTCTATTAACAATATCAGCTGTTTCATCAATAGATGCAATAAATGCCATATCATTATGAAGTGCTTCCATTTCATTTAATGATTTATCTAATACGGCATCTAGTGATATATTAACGGGTGTGCTAAAAATAGCACTTAGCTGGTTTTTAATGTTATCCCGATGCTTTTCAATTACATTGCTCTTAAATGTATCTGGGTTTAAATCGTATAAATGGCATATTCTATTAATTGTATAGTCTACCTCTTGGTTATATAAAGTGAATATTTCGCAATTTTGGTATGTATATAGTCCTATTCCAATTATAGTATTAAGAATGGCATTATATGACCGCACAGTCTGATCGCTAGTGATTGCCATTGGCACTATATTAAATATACAGCTGAATCGTGTAGGACTAGATGCTTTATCATATGCACTTGCGATAGCTCTGTTTTTAGCTAATTTTATATATAAATAAGAAGAGCCAAGCGCTGAATTAACTAAGAAAGAAAATGCATTTAGTGTAGCAGACTTGATAAAAGAAGCTGTTTTAGAAGCCTTTTGGGCTAAACTTAAAGAAACACAAACTGCATCTTTAAAGAGTGGCAATCCTATCAACCTTTCAAAGCGGTGTGATCCAAATCCATTCACTACTTCTTTTTTAGTAACTTTTTTGCTTTTAACCGATATAGAATTGTCCATGGCAGTTATCAAATGGTATAAATCATCAGTTGTTTGTGTTGTAAGTAGATATAACAAATAGATATCCTCGTCTGATAAGTTAAGATTGGCTAAGTTTGACCGTTTCATGCCATTTTTATCATATTTTACAAAATTACCTGCATTCTCTGTGAATATTTCTAATAGTCTTTCAAAATTTGAATACTCTCCAGATCTAGTTAGCTCACATAATTTGCCCATTGCCTCATTTCTAGAGATTTTTTCAAAGGATATACTCGGAGTGTATAAATAGAATGCATAACAAGCATCTAAGTGCATAGACATGAAAAGCTGTGCGGGTAGTTTTGTAAGTATATGAAGTTTATCCATCATATTATAGTATGCCATTTTCTGCTCATCATTTTCTATAAGCTCTGCTCCGTTCTCAATACTGTCCATAAGAGCTTCAGTAGTGCACAGTGATTTCTCAAGCATAGAAATAATACTATCCGTGGTTACTTCCTTAATAAGAATGGTCTGATACTTTAACACCATTATAAATGTGTTATACGCTATGTTATTTAGTGATGGATACTTTCTTTTAAATGTAGAATTTCTTCTGTATATATTCAGTATTATTGGCACTAGTTTAAACTGATTTTCTTCTATGGTTAAATGCATACCATTAAGCTTAGAGAATTCATTTTGTAGCTGCTTTTTTAATTCTAGCCTTTGCTTGTCATCATTCATAAATTTTTGGCAGAAACTTGAATTATATTAAAAAATTTGGCAGAAATCCCGGTTTGGTAGAGAAATAACAGAAAGCGATAACCATAAAATCAAATAAAAGATGAAAAAAATAACATAGCAATTGGTTAATTAACTAATTCCTTTTTATGAATAAATTATAACAGAAGAGTATTTAAAATATTATTTTTATTAGAAATATAAATAGAATAAGAAAAAAAGACTAAATACAGCATAAAATCAAGAGAAGTAGCAGTAAATTAGTACTTAATACCAATTGTTATGTACAGTTTAGAATATGTTCAAATCCATAAATAATATGTATACTTGTATAGTAGAACAGCTTTATTTTTAAGAGTATACTTATAACAGATTTATGTACTATAAGTAATTATTTATATGTAGTATTCTTAGTATATGTATATAATGTATTATGTATACAAATCTGCAATTGATGAATTTTTCTATAAACTTCTAATTGGTGTATGCAGTTTATTTACACCATAGAAATGTACTGTGTAATGAATCAATCATTTTTGTATTGAAAACAACTGACAAATCATATAATTATTTTTGAAATGACCAAAAATAAATTATGAATATACTTGTCTGTTTGGTCTATACTGGACATATAGAAGCCAATCGGATTATTATTCTAAATGATGAAGTATAAATAGTATATATTGTTATATAGTGAAATCAGAAAAAATACAGAAATCAAAAAAATATTTTATTTCTCCTGTTATGAATTTATATTGGATTATAATGATATTACTGGTGATTTCTGGTATATTGGCACAAATCGAACTAAGTGATATTAAGGAAATACAAGACACTATGATTGACACAGAAAAAAATTTAATGATCAATCCGGACGGCCCACTAAATGTACTAAGAGGGTATATTATGCACAAGACGGGATATATGCACAACAAACCTGGATGCATCCCAGAGATCACATTAGAAATTGCTAAGATAGCGAATTTATGTAACAGAAAAATCAAATCAATGCTAAATAACGAACAGGATATAGATGTTTTAAAGGAAAGTCTAACAGCCATATTTAAGTACTTATCATATAACTCGAACATTACAATAGAATGCGAAGACATGGAAGTAAATATGCGCACAGACAATAACATAGATATTTTCGGAAAAATTAGTTTAATGTATGATTTTAATGGCGTGTGTAATGGGGCTGTATTAAATATGATGCAAGGGCATGCACAGTTAAAACTAATTAAAAAAGCGTTCAATGGTGTAGAAAAAATTAAAGGCATGTTATCAACCATTCAAAATAACTACAGCAAACATAACACATACATAGGACATGCAATCAAACATTATACAGTGATTGAGCTTAACGATCTTAGTTCTGGGATGGATGAAACCATTTACATTCCTAAAGAGGAGTATTTAACACACTTAAAGGAATATTCTAACAGCATAGCTACGCCTAACTCTACTAAGGGCAAAGACAGTGTGAACTCACCAGAAAGTATATATAAAATTTTCCTCTGGAAGAGAATTGACAATGACAGTTATAAATTGTTCCTTGTTACAAACTTTGCTTTCTCTATGGTAAATAAGGAGCTAAGTAAAAAGGACGCAATGGTTCGATTCACTGATAATATTATAGGAAGCGCCAAGCTCAATAACAGGGTACCTAGAGCATATGTGCTAACCGGGATTAAGTTCAATCACAATTTACGTGACTTCTATCCAAAAATTGAGATGGATCTTATAGAATTAGCAGATTCTGAATTTAATCCGGGTAATTTCAACTCAATTGTAATTAGCATGTTGTTTGATGGAAATTATCCAGAAGATATTGTTATAAAATCCTTAGAATTTTGGCTAAGTATGGCTTCAAACTGGTTCGTGCATTTAACCTACTGAAGTGTGAAAGCATTCCTAAATCTATTGTACAGTACATCGAATCTAACAATAGAAGAGACATTCTTCTTGATATTAAGAATATTATAGAACAGAAACTTAATTCTGTTCCATGTAAGCAATCTATCATATATTTTAGTTGGTTCCTCTCTATTTTTATGTATTCTATAACTTCAGATGAAAGTACTATTAAAGCATTTTATGACTTAATAGACTACACTGAATTTAGTCCTAGATTTACTATCTTACTCCCCAGGGCTGGATATACACAAACTTATTTATTTATGGAAAAAAACAAAGCTATATTATGTTCAGAAGATGACCATGAAAGCATCATCAAGTATGAAGAAGTTTTAAATTTTATTCGTGAATAGTAAAGAATTATTTATTTTAAGACATAAATAAGTTTATGTAAAAAATAAAATTAAGAAATTCATTGCCAGATAGAGAGTCAAACAAACCTACTTCAGTGAATTCTTATAGAACATGCAGTAAACATGATTTACTACAGTTAAATTGTTTGTTACTCCTAAAAATCAATAAAAAGGTTTAAAATAACTGAATTTTTATGTATAACATAATATTTATAATTAATGAAGTAATTAAACTAGTGAATAGTAGTTTATTGGTATAATTTCAGGATGTATAAACGGTAATTCCTTATAATAGCATGTTTTATAATTTATTATAATTATGTATTAGATGTACTTTATAAAATTATATGATATTTGAATTAATTTCTTCCGGTTTTATTCTATCCTGTGGTTTATTTAACCATTTCTTAAATAGAAATTGTAGCTTTTTTATTTTTTTAATTATAGAATATTTTTATTAGCTAAGAATCAATTGGATATATCCTGTACACATTTATTAATAATAGAAGACTTTTTTTATAAATTATGTCTGACGTACTCACAAAGAGCAATACCATTATCTTACCACGCAGCCCAGATAGAGAAGTGGGTGAATGGGAAGAACTCTTTATTGTTTCTAGGAAGCGGCTTAAGCCTGCATGGGCTCGGAGTATTATGGGCACGAGGGTGTTAGACCTAGTGCTGAACTTAGCTGTCAATACTTCTCAGAGTTTCCATCTAAATTTGAGGAAGGTGGTCTGGTTAAAAACAGTCAGAAGTTGATATACGGACTCATAGATTCTGACCATTTGCTTTGGCGGGATCGCCGCACGAGTCGATGTGCTGGCGGATCGCCCTTGAATCTTATATCTGAGTGACGGCGTCACCACAATATCTATTTATTATTCTATATTATATGGTGGTTTTAATATCCGTATACTATGCAATACACGTAATAATCTCATAAATGTAATACAAAACTTGGTTTAGCCGTACAAGAAATTACAATTATAATTATTATTATAATTAACAGGGAGCCAAGCAGGCATATATATATATATGAAGACAATCTGTGTTTTACTCTAAAATTAGTTGAAGTAGGAACATCTACTATATTACTTTCTTGGTCCTCTTGTGCATGAGAATCACTAATTGTGGAGTTTGTTGTACTGCCACAGTAGTTTGTTAAAGCACTAGCATATATATGGTTTATTTCAGCCCATTCGCATCTCTCACAGTCTTCTTCAGTGCAAGGAATTTTTTTGCATTTATAGTTGTTTAGTTGTATTTCAGAAGTAGCTATTCCTATAGTAAGAGAACGCCTATTACTTATTTTATTCGGGTTATGTTTATCTTTGGAATTCAAATTTTCTGTGGATTTACTACCTAGCATAGTCTTTAACTCTTCCGTATTAGCAGAGAATGTATCTGGTTTTTGTGTTATATCCATATTTTTTTATGTTTATGTTTAAAGTTCTATATATGTATTAATTTAACCGGGAATAACTCCATATATGGCTATATTTAATTTAATTTTTTCAATTTTTGCTGTTTAATGAAATGAAATTAGTGCTTTATGCGTATATCACAAACAAAAACCATTATTATACTAAAATACTTATGTTTATGTATTTACACACAAAATTGTTGTTATAAAATGATATGTTTATTGAATTTTTATTCATTCATATAAATATGTTTTAATACTTTGCTTATTCTGTCTATGTCAATATCACAGCAGACACTGTTTCAAATATATTTTATACTTCTTATGAAAATAAAATACTTGGAATGCGTTTGTCAAAATTGATCATATTAAGTATAGCTGTATTAATAGCCATTAAAGCAAAGAAAAAAATAGCAACAAAAAACGAAATAATGAGTTTACGCATTTTTCTACTAATAGTTACTATGTTACTAAGTGAATTCCTATGAAAATTCCTATGGAAATTCATAAGAAAATTCAAAGCTGCAGATTGATATCTTCTAATAATGAATCGTATATAACTATCTGAGCTATTAATAGTTATTAGGCCATTGTATATAAACTTTAGATGTCTTAGAACCATGAAATATTCAAAGTAGCAACTCTTACGATTAAAGTTATCTTCAAAAAATTTTCTGTCAGCCTCAGACCATATTATGGATATACTTTCTATTTTTTGTATAGCAATAAAGTGGCTTTTAATTTCTTCTTTGTCTTTGGGTATAAGTAATATATCATCAATTGGTGTTTTGAACAAAGACTGTATTGAATGATATATATTAAATAGAGGTATAGGATCGCAATTTTCTCTTCCTTTTATTTTAACATGCATTACTTTACACATTAAATTCATAAATTCAGTTAAATCAGTAATTGCTATACTTCTAAATATTTTTAACTCCAATATATCCTCTCTGCATAATCCAATATTCAATATATTTGATTGCGTAATGCCATTTTGATCTTTTATAATTAGACGATCTCCATATTTCATTAGTATTTCTATTGTTCTTTTCAGTTCTGTGCTCGTTCTATATTTATCTGAGGCCATAAGAAAATATAATAGTTCGCTAGAAGAAAAATCGCTAACCGATAGCTGAATGTCGTGCATTTCACATAGCTGATCAATAGATTTAAAAATGAAACTATTTTTAGCTATAAAAGCAGTATTTAGAAAGAAACATTGATTATCCAATAATCTATAAAATGCTTCTTTCTTATAATTTGCTGATAGCGTATTTGATACTTCTATAATATTATCTATAATTGAGTTCACATAATTTACTGATGCCATAATTCCAGTGATTGCATCGTCTTTGGTATCTTTTGAATAAATTATAAGAGATATCTGCGTAAAAAACCCACTATTTGCTATACTCTGCAGTGGTTCTGGCATTCCCACAAATATTGGTTCTTCATTATTAATTTCTATTAGTAGTTCTATAACTTGCTCTTTAAGATATATTTCATCATTTGTGATTTGGCCATATTTCTTTAACCATATATTATTCATTCCTCCTCTTAGTTTCTGCTCATTCAGTCCCATTATAATAATCTTTATTTTAAAAATTTTTATTTATAAAACTGTTTGTTTTTAATTATCATGTTATTTAAGTGGTAATTGTGAAGTTTTAGTATAGTAAATTTATAAATTAGCAAACATACATGAATATTCTGATCATATCATACAATAAACCATACAGAATGTGAGAGTATCATACCAACTGTTGTATGCTAAGAATAGCATTGGTTTAGTACGACATTCGGGTTATTGCAATGGTTACATAAACATGGCAGCACAGATTAAATCAGAAATTATTGTTAACACAATATGCCAACATAAATCAAATCGATTATACGGTCTATAAACACGTATACAAATTCAATAAAAGTCAAAGTTTAAGAATGCCTTCTCCTAAGAAAACAACTCATGTGGTAATCATAACTAATGATAGTATAAACTATATAATGGCTCTATAGTTTAATACATACCATGGTTGCTTATGACTAATAGTAAGTCATATTTATAAGGAAGAGAGAACCAGCTGTTTCAATTATTTATGTAGAGATAAATAATTCTTATAATTTCTAGTTAATATGTAAAATATACAGAATATTCTTTATACATTTATTGGTGTAATATTCATTCTAAACTGAATTTCTTGTATAATCTAAATTTCTATCTCCACCATAATCGATTCTAACACTACTATGCTAATATAACTCTGTACTATACTATTTATATTAGCATATTCATATTTCGGGTTAACTCTTTGCTAAAAGATGTTTTTTTGGATTTGAGCTACTTTTCATTTTTTGATTTTTACTCACTTTGCTTTCATCAGAGCTGCTTTCTTCAGAACTGCTTTCTTCTCTCTCTTCTTTTTTTTCTTTCGACTTATTTTTTATTTTATTCGAACTTTTACTTTTTAGACTATCACTGGAATTCTCTTCTGATTCTTCAGTAGAACTTCTTTTTTTACTTGCTCCTATCTTTTTCTCTTTTTTATCTAATTTCTTCTTTTTATCATCTAATTCTTCTTCTCTCTTGTCTAGTTCCTTCTTTTTATCATCTAATTCTTCTTCTCTCTCATCTAATTCTTCTTCTTTCGTGTCTAATTCTTTCTTTATAGTGCTTAATTCTTTCATTTCTTTACTATCCCTACTATTCTTTTTATTTGTACCTTTTATATTATATGTTCCACGTATTTTACTAATTATACTAATAAACACTAACAAATAAATTATATTTCTTCTTATACACTTAATTTCCATATTATAGACACACCCATTTCGTATTTATACATAATAATATGATAGGAGAAATAATTCAAGTGACAGCTGTGTCATATAAAACAGAAGAGATGTAAAACATATTTACATATTTATGTTTTATATAATAAGTTATACGATTACTAGAGAATAAGTAGTAATAATCCTGGTTATATCCGGCTATACTCTAATCCTGGTTATACCCTGGCTTAATTTCTTACTCTATAAAAATAATTCTTTATTAGAATGAATAAATATTTAAATCGCCATTAATGGGTTATTAATAGTTAGTGCTAATTTCTACCATGTTATAAACCATATCTAATGGGATAGTCTTGCACCCACACCTGTAATGCCGTATATGGCTGGTATACACATATATTTATATATAATAAGAATAATAAAAAAGTGAATTTCAAGTTTATTTAATGTATAAATGAAGTATTAATAATTAGCTTAATAAAATTCTATCTTAGTTTAATTTGTGGTCAACATAAATTATTATTTCAAACTTGTTTCGATTCATTCGGGTATAATAAATATATACTAAGAATAATTATAGAAATAAGTATACATATTGCTATAATTGCTATATTTTTACTATTCCAGAAAGTATTAGTTGATTCTGTACTAAGAGATAAACAAGAATTAGCATTTCCTGTATTTTCATTAACTATTATTTCTTCTGGTTCATTATCTCTTTGCGCATTATAATATAAAGGATTATTAACAGTTAGTGTATTAGATGAAATTAATAATGGAGAAAGTGCACTAGCTACTTCTGTATTAGAATAATCTGTACTTTGTACTTCTGTGGTTTCTGGTTCATTGATATAAACTATTTCATTATTACCGCCTGATAATTCTATATTTTCTGTATGCATGGGCATACTTATAATACATGAAATAATAGATTCTGCATATTTTAAATAATTATTAATTACGTTATTTTTAAAACTGTCAATATTAAAGTGTCTAATTTTTATATACGTACTGTATTCCATTATATCATTGAATACTTTTGATTCTGTAATTTCATGACAAATTCTCATTCTTTTCTTATGCTTTAGTTCATTTATTAATTCTTTAATGTCATTCACATTCTCATTTATATACGATTCAGTATCTGTTATATTTTTAAGTACAGACATATTAAACACCATGACATATAAATTATAAAGGGATTTAATATATAAAGTATCATCATATTCTGGATTATCAATTTCATTATAAATTGATTTATATACGGACTGGCCTATAAACATGTTAAAATCACTATTAGTCCACTTATGTAGTTTTGTAAGTAGGTGTAATGAATTAATATCATCATTACTTATGCCTAATTCATGTGCATTTGATTGGTCTATTATTTTATCTGCTATGGTTAGGTTATTACCGTGTTTCATTAGTATATCTAATGCTCTCTGTAACCTAGAACACTCTCCTGATTCAGTTAATTCACACAGTTTAATCATCACATCATCTGAAGTCATTCTAGCATCTATTTCTGGTATATCTATACTTTCACAGAGTATATCAATAGAATACACATAGAAAGTACTTCTGACTTTATATACTTCTGCCATAATTATATGATTATTTCCCATTAATTCATAATATGCTTGTTTATTAGCATCCTGTAGTTCTTCTGCTGATTTTATGATTATATCCATGACTATGTCTATATGTTTAATAGACCCTTTTATTTCTGATATAACATAATCTTCATTATACTCCTTAAATATAATTCTATACGCTATTTGTATATACAGTATATTATATGCTAAATTGCTTATTGGGTCGGGTAGGTCTGTGAATATTTTTCTTTCTTTATTAATTTCTGTTATTATATTAAATAACTCATCTATTTCCTTTAATTCTATACATCCCTGTTTATTTAGTAACTTTTTATGTACTTTCTCTTTTACGTTCTGTTCATCAATATAGCTTACCATAAAATATTTCAATTTTTACTTATTACTTATTACACATTATATCATATTTATTATTACTTATTATACATTATACATGATTTATTACACATTATATCATACTTATTATTACTTATTACACATCATTTATTACTTATTACACATTATACATCATTTATTATACATTACACATTATATCATATTTATTATTACTTATTACACATCATTTATTACTTAATACACATCATTTATTACTTATTACTTAATACACATCATTTATTATACATTATATATTATTTAATATTTATTACACTATGTGTATTTATTAATATTGTAATATATTTTTATTTGTATGAAGAAAGTAGAATACTTCAAGACACTTTCCTCTCTCAGTAGAACAAGTATTAGTAAGATAATAAAGAACAGAAGGAAAAGGTTAAAGAATAAACTAAATAATACAGAATATAATACACATAGTGTAATAAGTAATACTAATAACACAATATGTAATAACTCATGCAATACCACAGAATATACTACTAATAATGTAATAAGTAGTAACCCAGATATAAATAGACTAAATAATTTATTTAGTAATATTATAACAGACAGTACATTAAATAATAATATAATAAAACATTTAAGTACACCAGATATAAATATACTAAATAATATAAATATAACCAATAATATATGCACATTGTGTAATAAGTGCAGTAATAATACAGAATATACTACACATAGTACTAATAATATTAATAATAACACATACCATAATAAGTTATATAAAAATTGCACTGCTTGTGATATGTGTGATATACTAATATACTTACACACACCAAAACAGCCCTGTAATAATATTAAGTGCAGTAATAATACACAATGTGTAATAAGTAATACTTTCTGTACATTGTGTACATATTACTCTTTTATTTACTCATTGTATAATATATTATACTATAATATTAATATTTATAACATAAACTATCATAAGTTATACTTATACTATAATAATATTATTTATTACTATATGTATAATATATTATTATATAATATAATTTATTATTATAATATTAATTATAATATAATATATTTATTATACAAGTACAGCATAATTAACAAGTGTAACATATTTAATATATATAGTAGCATAAGTAAAGACTTTTACAACAATGTGTATATAAATTTATTATATAATAATAGTATAATAAGTATTTGTAATATATTAGAAATTGATATACTATGTGTATTATATAATATAAGCAATATATACATTAATACCACGGAGAGTGTACTATATTATATATTACACACTGAGTATAAATATATGATCAAGTATATAATATATAATAATAATAGTGTAATAAGTCTTAGTGACAGGATAGTGGGTGAGATAGCGGATATATTAGATAAAAAGGGTGATAGTGTGCAGGACTTATTACACAATGATCATTTAAATATGGCGTATTCTGATAATATAATGTACAATGTGTTAAATATAATAATATCTTTATACATAAATATTTTAAGGATTGACAGTACAAATATTTTATTATCGCAGTTAATGAACAAAATAAAAAACAAAATAAAAAATAAAATAAAAAACAAAGAAATAAAAATAACGGCAGAATTACTATTTATAGTAATAACAGAAAGAAAAGAAGAGATTTTAAAAATCATAAACAAAAACAAACAACCTGAAAATAATAAAAAACCTGAAAATAAAAAAATAAACACAGATATAAACACAGTATTTAATAGGGATATATACAGTGATATCCCATTTAAACTGAATAATACCGTATGGTATGACCCTAATGATAAGAATATCTCAGGACTATTCAATATAACAGAACCAATTAATCTGTCAAGCCTGCATGATATTAGGTCACATAAGCATACTACAGATATAAATAGACTAAATAATAAAATTATACAGAATATATTACACAATGACGTAATAAGTAATAGTAACCAGAATATATTACACAATGACGTAATAAGTAATAGTAATGATATAACTTATGATACAATGTGTAATATATCTAGTCCTGTATATAATCAGACTAATTCATATTATAATATATCTAATAATATCCCGTATACAAATAGACTAATTAATCATAATATATCTAATAGTAATAATGACATACTGGACTACTTATTAGCATTATTACCACAGGATGAGATAATTAATGAACTATCACTTATTATATCACAAGACTTTATACACAATAGGTCAAAAATAACAGAACTTATTACCATAATAGAAAATAAATTAGGGATGTACAGAAGTACAGTAATAAACATAATAAAGAAAGACTTTATTATATTTAATAAGCATAGCATAAAAAGTAACAATAATAATGATACAGTGTGTAATAATAATACAGAATATAATACACAAAGTGTAAAAAGTAATAATAGTGATACAATAGATAATAAGTTATATAATAGTACAGGATATAATATGCACAGTATGATAAGTAATGATATAATAGATAAAGTATTATGTAATAGTGATATGCCCAGGAGTATATTTAAGGATGTGTGTATACGTACATTTATATATTCAGAGTATTACTGGCCGTGTAATAATATTAGTACATGGAATGATCTTATACAGAAAGTGAGTAAAACAGAGAGTACAGAATATAATACACACAGTACAATAAGTAATAGTAATGATACAGTGTGTAATAAGTTATCATATGATATATCTAGTATACTTAATAGTATATGTGTAGAATATACTGATAAGCATACGTATGTAGATATAACAATAGAAGTAGATAATACACAAAGTGTAAAAAGTAATAATAATGATACAATAGATAATAAGTTATATAACACAGATAGTTCAGGACTAAATACACAATGTTTAAATATTTCTATTCCTATAATATATTTAGAATATTATTATAATAAAAACATCAAAATAAAAAAAGAAGATAAAAACAAGATAAAAGAGTTCTGGGACTATGTGTATAAAATAATATAATAAATAATAATTATAGTATATAGGGTTATAAGTAGTATTATTTATTGTATATTGTATAGTAAGTAGTATATGTCTAGTAAGTAATAGTACTATTTATTGTATATTGTGTAATAAGTAGTATATTGTGTAGTAAGTATAATTTATTGTATATTGTGTAGTAAGTAGTATATATTGTATATTGTGCAGTAAGTAGTATATATTCGGGTTATATCGGGTTATTCTAATAAGATACTTATCCCTTCTACATGAACAAATAAATAAGTTAACACATTCAACCTGACTGTGTTATACTCCCACATAAACCGACTGAATAAGTCATCCACCACCCCAATATAATAAACACATTCTCATATTAAACCGTATTAATCAGTCACTGTACAAACTCTATTAAGTACCTGTTCATATACACACTCACACCACTCATGCACTGAACAGTTAGTGAATACCATCCATCTAAGTATAATAACTTATCTATTATCATTATATACATATACAGTGTATAAGTAATAGACTAATAGACTAATAGACTAATAGTATAAGTAATAGACTAATTATTAATAGTATAAGTATATATGTATAAGTAATAGACTAATATTACTACTATATATTACTATTACTGTATATTACTGTATATTAGTACTATTACTGTATGTATATTCGGGTTATATTGGTCTTCTTGTATATAATAGACTAATTATTAAGTAATAAATCATTTATTAATTACACAGTACTTATTACACTGTATGTATGTACTGTATACATATACAGTACTTATACTGTGTTATTAACAGTGCTTATGGTTCTGTTTATATAAATACTCTCTAATACTGTCATTGGTATAAATTCAGTTGAGTGCATTATAAGTACCATGCATAATAAAAGTATTATTATATGGTTTATATAATATATACTTATGAAAGTGATTTTCATTCTCTCTGATGATGGGGTGTACACAGTATACTGGAATGTATTAATATAATTAAATATAATTTCAGATATAATATATACTAACTGTAATATAAAGAATCCATTAATAATAAGTATAAGCCACTCATGTATTATAATATATTTATATATAATAGTAGATATACTTGGTACTAATATAAATATACTTAGTGGTATATAAATATACTTAATGTATACACTAATATTATTATATATATTATATACGGGTGTATTATAACCTGGTCTTATAAGGGAGATAGTTCTGGGTATATAATATATTATATTAAGTAGTAAGTATATACTGAATATTATTATGGATATCATGGTTTTAGCTGGTCTAGTTAGGTTTATACTAATATCTTTATATGCAATGTATGGTGAATTATTTACCATTATATTTAAATTCTGTGCTAATTCTATGATTAGTGTAGTAAAGAATATTGGTGTAATTATGGTAAATATAAGGCGTATATAGTACATTACAGTGGTAATTAGTTGCTGTGGTGTATTCGGGTTAGTCGGGTTATTAAATTCAGTAATATCTTGTGTACTTACTTCTGTGTATGTTTTATTTTGACTTGTATTAGTGAGTGTTTCTTCCATTGTGGTTGTATGAATATTCTATTATTATATATGTGTGTGTTTAACTGTAATAGGATAAATTGGATTATTTAATTATATATTACTAAATAAGGAAATATTCAATGTTTTGAAAATGATTTAATTATAATATGAGTGTAATATATTGTATACATAGTATTAAAAATAAAATAAGTTATTATGTATAGTGTAATAAGTAATAAGTAATAATATATGTGTACTAAGTTATGTTATTTATTATGTATAGTGTGCTAAGTTATGTTATTTATTATGTATAGTGTAATAAGTAATAATATATGTGTAATATAAAGTGTACATAAATACTTTATTTTTATGAACGGGTCTGAAATAAAAAATTTTAATTTACTAAAATTTTATTATGAAAGGAATATTTAACTGGTTAAACCCGAATTTCACGTACAGACAGTTTCTACACTACATTATCACAGGGAATACTACGCATTATAAGTCTATATACGAAGAAATAGAAGTAAAAAGAAGAATAATACAATATTTTAAAAAAGCAAAATATATTACACAATGTAGAATAAGTAATAGACTAAATAATAGTACAAATACAGCAGAGTCCATACCAGAACATATAATACAACACACTAAAAGACATAAGCATATTAAACCAATTAATACACGAGAAAAGTATACAGAACTTTCTATACAATGTATTATAGAAGATAAGTCATACTGTATACCCTGCAGAAGGACTATCACAGACAAAATGCGAATAAGGCATAATAACTCAAAAATCCATGAAAATCAAAAATCTGTTTATTTAAAAATGTCGTTACAACAAATAAAAATTTTAGATGAAATATTTTATAAAATATTTTACAATAACAAGCAATACCTTAAATACTTACTAAAAAAGGAAATAAAAACCGTTAAAATCGAAAAAATAAGTATAACCCCATATAAAACAACAAAAAAGAAGACTTCTTTAAATTACACCTGTAATATATGCAATAACACATTTTATCAAGAAAACGCGTTTATCAGGCACTTCACACAAAAAGAGCATAAATTTTCACTTGAAAAATTTAAATTAAAAAATAAAAAAGAATTTACTGGAATAACGGAAAAAGAAAACAATAAAAAAAAGAATATCACTATATAACTTATAATACAATATATAATAAATAATATTAATAATACAATATGTAATAAATAATAATAATAATTTTTATATATAATAAGTACTATTAAGTATACAATATGTAATAAGTACTATATACTATACTATGCGTAATAAGTACTATATACTATACTATGCGTAATAAGTACTATATACTATGATGAGTTGGTGTGTTATTTCCCATCGGAATTAATGAGGTTGTGTAGTGTAGCGGTTAGCACCTCAGACTCTGAATCTGATAACCCGAGTTCGATTCTCGGCACGACCACTTTTCTTTTTCTTTTATTTTTTACACATACTATACTAATTATTATATATTACATATTATATCATATATTTTATTTTTATTTTTATTTTTTATTTATTTATATTCCAACTTATCCTTGCTTTCTTCATTATTTCTTCTTCTTCTCTCTCATATTCTCCTTCTCTCTCTTCTCCTATCTCCTTTATGTTGTTTATTGTCCTAATTAAATGTACTTTTTTTATTTTTTATTTTTATTTTTTTTTATAAATTATTTTATTTTTTATTTTTATATATTCTGGTATGCTTTCCATTTCTTCTTCTGCTTCTTTATTAAAGTACCCTAATATCCTTACATACTTAGTATTATATAATAAACTTATGATATAATATGGAATAAATAATGTATTATTAATACTATACTTATATATAATATTATTATATAACTTATTACACATAGTACTATTATTATTACTTATTATACTATGTGTATTATATCCTGTACTATTATTATTACTTATTACACTATGTGTATTATATCCTGTACTATTATTATTACTTATTACACTATGTGTATTATTATATAACTTATTACTGTTTGTACTATTATTATTACTTATTGTACTATTGCTTATAATTTCTGATCTTATAAGTACCCCTTCTGTAATTGCATCTTTTATAGAAAAATATTCCATTAAAATTTTTATGGCAATTTCATTAAATGACTTAGCAATAAGAGACACAGAAAGAATAAAAAATGATACAGAATATAATACACATAGTACAATAAGTAATAGACATACTACACATAGTACAATAAATAATAGAATTAGTACACATAGTACAATAAGTAATAAACTTAATAATAATAGTGTAATAAGTAATATACTAGAGATACCCTTAGAGAATGAACTAGAAAGGGAATTAGCCAGTGTAAGATATAATACCACAGATATAAACAGACTAAAAGAAGAAAGAAGGAGACGGGTAGAATTATCACAGGAAATTAAGGCAAATACCTGGTCAAAGCGAATAAAGAGCAAGTCCTACAGGAAGAAGAAACGGGAAGAGAAGCAGAAAAGGCACGCAGAGACAATAAAAATAGAAGAAATAGTGGACAGTACTTATGACACAATGTGTAATAATAAAGAAACAGAAGAAAAAACAGAAGAAAATATAAAAATAAAAAAAATAGAAGAAACCGCGTATAACCACATAAAAGAATTAAATAACACAGGATATAATACACATAGTACAATAAGTAATAATAATAACACAATAAGTAATAAGTCTACTAGTAATAATAGTACAGGATATAATACACATAGTACAATAAGTAATAATAATAACACAATAAGTAATAAGTCTACTAGTAATAATAGTACAGTGTGTAATAAGTTATATGATACTACTCCTATTGAGTCAATATTAGATATCTCATTTCATGAAGAAAGAGAGGCCGAGCATAAGAATACCCTCCCTAAATCAGAACAGACCACTTTATTAGGATGGAATACGTGGTCCAGTGATAATATTAGTAATAAGTCTAATACCGTATATAAATATACAACAGGAATAGAAATCAGGCAGAGAAAGGACTTCTCCTCTTCTCATGTTATATATAAGTATAATAATAATAGTAATAAGGCATATTCAGTAAGAAAGGTGCCTTATGGCTATAAGCCAGAAGAGTACACAGAAATACTTAACAGACCAGAACTTATTACACATAACCCAATAAATATACTAAATAAAATAATAAAAAATAGAAAAAGAAAAAAGGAACAGAATATAATACGCATAGAGTAATAAATAATAATAATAGTATAGAATATAATACGCATAGGGTAATAAATAATATAAAATATAATACGCATAGGGTAATAAATAAGTATAATAGTATAATATTACTTATATCTGCATCTACTCAGTATAATATTAATATTAACACAATGTGTAATATATTATCATCTAAATTATTAATATATTATAATATATACAACAATATTAATGAAATATTGAATATATTATATATTAAGCATAGAGTAATAAATAATACTTATTACATAATACATAATAAATATATAATACATATAATACAATGTGTAATAAAAAGAATATACAGTGGATATAATATAAATATTAATATAACAATAAGTAATAATAGATTAATAATTAATAAATAGCATACTATATATAATAAATAATAAATTATTACATAATACATAATAAGTTGTGGTAATTCTGGTTATATGTGTAATAAGTAATGTATAGTGTGTAATAAGTGATAGAATAATAAATATTTATTATATAATAGTGTATGTGTAATAAGTGATAGAATAATAAATATTCGTTATATAATAGTGTATATGTAATAAGTAATAGTATGTATATTATATAGTACTGTATGTGTAATAAGTGATAGAATACATTAGGTAATAAGTTATTCGGGTTATAGTATATTTATTATACATTAGGTAATAAGTAATAATCAATGTGTAATAAGTTATAGTATGTATATTATATATTATACATTAGGTAATAATTTATAGTATAATAAATATTTATTATATAGTAGTGTATGTGTAATAAGTATTATTTATTGCTAATTGTGTACTATATTATTAGGATTTAATAATATTATAGTACCAATAATTATAAAAATAATTAATAATATTATGGATATTGTCTTAAAAGTCTTGGATACTTCTTCTTCTTGTGTAAAAAGTTCTGGTGCATTAATTAAATTTTCTAACCCATGTCTAAAAAATTCAGGTACTTCTGCATTATCATATTCTTCATCAGTGGCAGAGCCTTCTGTTCTAGTAATAATTTGGTCTGCTACAGAAGTAGGTATAACTGTATTATGCTCTAATACATTAATAATAGTAGACTGATCTGCATGTTCTGATGAAAAATAGAGCTCATCCTTATCAGTGGCTGCTTGGTCTACTTCACCATATAACCAGTCTATTATCTCATCTGGAATTGCTTCATCTACAGTTATATCTTTAGTGGCACTCATGTCAGATTCCTCCTTTAATGGTTGTTGCTTATATGAAGGATCTAATTGCTCTGCTTGCTGCTGTTCAGTTAGACTGCTATTTATATATTCTTCATGTGCTGTTACTGCAGTTGTCTTATTAATGGTATTATATCCATCTAATAAGATATCTTTAGTAGTAATTTGTTTTTCTGTGCTGGTTTCTGTTGGTTTTACTTCTTCTGTGCTGGTTTTAATTGCTTCTCCTTTTGAGTTCTGATCACTGTTCATTATATAAAATTTTTATTAAATTAGTTATTAATATGCCTAAAATAGTAATAATATAACGGAATAATAATAATATACCTAAAATAGTAATAATATAAATATAAGAAATATCAATCTAGTATATTTATTTTGAGGTGACACCACCAAAACAAAAGACCGAATCTCTGAATCAGTATATCACCATCCGATTATTTAACCAGAGATCTTCCCCTAAAAATTGGGGAAACTCGGAGAAGCATTGACAGCTTAACTTTAGCGGCAGGCCTAACTCAGCTGTCCCGGGGACTCAGTGTCCGTGCTGGCTTGGGCCGCTTCCTAAATGCAATAAAGACCCCCTCCCCATTCACTCTTTTGGCTACGTAGCAGGGCAGTGGTGGCATGACTCCTCATGAGTATGCCAAGTATAATACACTCTGGAGTGTCACAGATGATAAAGCTTCAAATAAATACACTTCAATTAAAAAGGCGTATAAAGAAGTACAGGATAAGTATATAAATATGAATAATTATACTGACTGTATTGTACATCAATATTTAATTATTGAAAGTAACCAGATATTGAATATAATTAATAAAAAGAGAACTATTCATAAAAGGGATAACTAACCCAGACAGAATAAAATATGGAATAGTCCGAATAATTTAATACTCTGAGGAATCTAGGCAATATAAAGCATAAGTCTGAAATTATTGAAGAATTCTTAATAGACACGAATAATACACTAGGCAGTAATAATCATATGGTATGATTTACATCTAATCTTATACGTAATAGATATAAGAAATCATATCCTAAAGATATTTTAGTATAACCCGAATTATCCTTAACTTGAGTATAATAATTAATAGTACTAGTCTATTAATTATAATTAAGTCTATTTATAATAGAATAGTTTTAATTGTATATTCCTATTAATAAATAATTTATTATAAGGTATAAATACAGGATAAGAATCAAAATAATATTAAAGTATTAATACCATTATAAGGAATTTACTAAACCCATTCTACTATGATAATCAAACTAATAATTGAATAATCAAACTAACAACTGAATAATCAAACTAATAATTGAATAATCAGTATAATAATGTATATAATATACACATTATATACATATAATATATCTGTACTGTGTTATACTTCTGTATATTATATTCTATTATTATATTATAATAAATAAAGTAGAGAATAAAAAAGGGCAAAGAAAGCGAATCGAAAAAGGGATGAATATGATAAATAGGATGAATATGATAAATACTTAATGTATTAGTTGTTTTATTTAATTTAGTATTTCTATATTTAAGGAATATTTTAATTCCTGTCTAATGCGTATAATAAAGAATATACCTAATTCAGACTTACCATCAGATAGAATATGTACAGTATGTATATAATACACTAAACTATATAACACAAAATATGAATGAGATTAAAGAGTACTTAAATAGGCTTAAAAATAAGGAAAGTATGAGTATTCATGATAATCATAAAGAATCAAATATATTTAAGGATACTAACCCGAATAGTATTACTATTAATTAGCTTACAGATAAAGCACTTCAAACGTATTTATAATCAAAAGAATGTATTATTCATGTATTACTGTATATCTAGTTATAATGACTATATGACTATAAAGAACATCTTATTTAGAATACTCACTAGATATATACAAATAGTAATAATAATATACAAGTAAATTATTCATTATCAGTGCTAATTGATACTCAATCACATACACTCTGTAATATTCATAGAATAGTAGTCACAGTATTCATATGGCTGTTTAATGCCTAGTATAATAAAGTCACTATAGTAATTTATACTGCCTGTACTCCATAAATAGTTATATGAGCTATTTCTGATTTAAAGTATTCGCATTCAGAATTATAGTCTACTCAATTGGACAATTCAACTGGAATTAAGTTGATAGTCACTTAGATGCTTAAATATACATTCCTGACTTCAGAATGTATGGCATAGGAATACCTGATGTTATTAATCTGGGCAGTAATAAAGGTATCCTTAGTGAGTTAATATTCACTCATACTCATTAAATAACTTGTTTACTTCTACTGCACACTCTTTATAATGCTTCTTTAAGTGCATTATACCTATTGGATTAAACTGTACAAGTATAAATTCAGTAACTCGTATACTCTCTGTATGTATACAGTTATACTTAATACCGTCATTACCACTGTAAATAAAGATGGAATATATATGATATCGTATACGATGGGTACAGCATAAACAGTAACTGTCTTTTAGTTTAATAGTATCTATCCCTTAGTCATACTAATAAGACCAGGACTGTCTATAATTAGATTAGAATACGATATTAATACACTCTGTATACTATAGAAGGTTATACTGGTTTAATGTATACGTCAGTAAGTATAGTATTATACAGAGTGACTTCTTTCATATTTATATAATCCTGTGTTATATACGTATAAGAATAAATCTAATTTATATCCGAATGCACAGAGATATTTATGAATATAATCATAATAAAGTGGCACTGTTTAAATATATTATAAACCGTGCTTTATATAATATATGTCTGTTATTAGGCCCACTTCTTATTATACTGTCTTGTTTAATAGCGTGTAATCCCATCCATACACCAGGATAAGTTATAACTACTGCTTTATACGCTTTATTAAAGTAGGAATCTCTATCCATACTATAATCTACTCTGGTTATAATATAATGAAATATGCCATAGAAAGTGTATATTAATACGACTAGTTTCATATACTACTTATATCTTCATTGGCTTGTCTTTCTATTATATAAGTGTTCATCTGTATTTGTTATACAGACTGATTTAATCATACTTATTCCTGTAGTATTATGTGTTATACGTACTTATACGTCCTGGATTAAATAAGTTTATAATTGGTATTAGTTCTTTATATATGTATGATTATAATATGATTCTTATTACTATACGTATACACTTGTAATAAACAAGAATATCCTATTTCTATTAATTATTATTAGTCTAGTTATTATACGTAAAGTAAGCAGGGTATTAAAAAATACTTATTACACAATATACTATTACTTATTATACAATATAACATTACTTATTATACAATATACATTACTTATTACACAATATACATTACTTATTACACATACACTACTAAATATACTATTACTTATTACACAATATACATTACTTATTACACAATATACATTACTTATTACACAATATACATTACTTATTACACAATATACATTACTTATTACACAATATAACATTACTTATTACACATACATTATTACTTATTACACTATATTATGCTATTACTTATTATACTATACATAATAATTATTATATATTATACATTATGTACTATATATTTATATATTGCTATTACTTATTATACTATACATATTATATTCTACACACTACCTAAATACTTTTCTTTATTTACAATTACTCATACTTTTTACTGTATAAGTACTAAATGTATATTTATACATATAATATATACTACACTGTATAATAAATATTACTTATTAATCATTATGTAATAAATAATCACCTGTTCTCCTTCTCCTTCCTAAGCTGCTCTTTTATCTCATACTCCCGGTTGATCTTCCAGAAGCCCCCTTTCCCTGGCTCATTTTCAGGTCTCTTCACCTTCTGGAATAGTTTGTTAAGTGATAAATTATGCCTAATTGAATTCTGCCATGAACTGTCAGCTGTCTTATAATAAGAATAGTTCTCCTTTATCCATGTATATATCCCATTTAGACTTAATTGCCCTGTGCTTGACTCATTTAAGGCTTTCTTTATAAGTATAGCATAAGAATAAGGGGGTTTGCTATTACTTATTACACAATCAGTACTTAATTCTATCTCTGATAAATAAATTCCGGTAAATTTTTTATCAAAAATTTGTTTTGGTGAAATTGTTTTCTCTTCTTTTATTTTATTTATTACACAATGATTATTTAATTTTAGTCTTTCTTTTATTTCTTTTTCTTTCTTTTCTTTTTTTGTGAGTGTTTCTTGCTTTTCTGGCTGTACTTGGATTTCTTTTATTTCTAGGCCTCTGTTTGGTAAGATATATTCCATAATGTGTAATAAATAATATTATTTATATTTATATTTATTAATAATAGTGTAATAAGTAATATTAATATAATAATTAATAAATAATAATAACACAGTGTGTAATAAATAATAAATAAAACACAGTGTGTAATAAATAATAAAATATATTATGACATAAGCAATAAGTAATACATAAATAATAAAATATGATGGAATATATTATACATTAGGTAATAAGTTATAATTAATGTGTAATAAGTTATAGAATATAGTAGTATATGTGTAATAAGTTATAGGTTATATTAGGTAATAAGTTATATTATATATTATACATTAGGTAATAAGTAATAGTATAGTATATTTATTATACATTAGGTAATAAGTTATAGGTTATATTATATAGTAGTGTATGTGTAATAATAATATAGTGTATTATACATTAGGTAATAAGTAATAGGTTATAGTATGTGTATTATATAGTAGTATATGTGTAATAAGTATTATTTATTGCTAATTGTGTACTATATTATTAGGATTTAATAATATTATAGTACCAATAATTATAAAAATAATTAATAATATTATGGATATTGTCTTAAAAGTCTTGGATACTTCTGGTTCTGGTTCTGTTTCTTCTTCTTGTTTTATAATAATAAATTCTTCTACTATATCAGATATAACAACACTCTTATTACTTTTTACTTTTTGTGTAATAAGTTCAGGCATATTAGCCAATTCTTCTTCTGTGACTAATTCTACAACAGGAAATGAACCATCAACGACCGGATCACCACTTACTACATCAACGACCGGATCAACTGTACCACCACTTACACCACCACTTACACCATCAACGACCGGATCAACTGTATGACTACTTATACCTGTATTGGCCATATCATATACAATATTAGTTACTGTACTACTATTACTGGCCGTATGACTACTTACACCTGTACTACTCATATTATCAGACACTGACTGGTCTACTGCATGTATACCTGACTGATCTACTGCATGACTGACTGTATTAACTGTATTACTATGTATACCTGACTGATCTACTGCATGACTGACTGCCTCTTCTGGTGTAATAATTACACTATCAGTAGCTGTCCCTTTTGATATACATGCCTCATCTAGTCTCCTCTCTTCTGCTGCCTCATCTAGTCTTACTCCCTCCATGTCTTCTGCTACTCTTACTCCTTCCATGTCTTCTTCTGGTGTAATGACTGCTTCTACCCCATCTACTCTTACTTCCTCTTGCTCCTTGTCTTCTGCCTCTTCTTCTGGTGCTCTCTCTTCTTCTTCAGTAATAGGTGATAATCTGTCATACATTACTTCATTAATTACATCATGTGCACTGTTAAGGAACTCCTTTACACTCCCATTTGAACAGTCTAAGTTACTAAAGAAATCTTCAAGATCTTTAAGCGAGGGATCTTCTGGGATTTCTTGATTGAATAAAAAATTTTCATTATTTTTTGTATTTATAGTTTTATCTGAAGATATTTCCATTTTAGGTAATTCTGATTTTTCATTTAATTCTTGTTTTTGTATGGTTTCTTTGGGTAGACTTGGTTTATGCCGTATTTCTAAGGGTAATTCACTTGAAGAAGTGGGATTATTTGATGTTTCTGGTTCATTGGTTGGTATTTCTGGTTGATTTACTTCTTTATGCATATTTTTAGATACTTTCTCATTTTGCTTCTTATCAATATTCATTTTATAAAAATTTTATAAAATTGCTTGCTATTTATACTTAGAAATTAACTAAAATATATTATACTATATGTATTAAATAATAATCCCAATTTGGAATAATTATTATACATTGTACTATAAATTATATTATATTGTATTACACAACTGTACATTACTTATTATACAGTATGCTATAAATTATATTATATTTTATTACTTATTACACAACTGTACATTACTTATTACACATATACTATTACTTATTACACATATACTATTACTTATTATACAGTGTACTATATATTTTATTACTTATTATACATAGTATACTATATTTTATTATACATTTTTAGTCTGTTAAGTATTAAAATATTTTATTTTTTACCCCCTGCATGTCCGCATATGATTATATGGCAGAAATACAGAAGCATAAACAGTCTGATGTAATGAGATACTTACTCAGAATAAGATGCTGGGAGTACAGACAAAGGAATACAATCCATAGAGCAACCACATCCACTAGACCAGATAAAGCAAGAAAACTGGGTTACATTAAGAAGAGGGGTATCGTTATATACAGAGTAAGAATAAGAAGAGGAGGAAGAAGAAGAAACGTAAAGAAAGGGAATGTCTCAGGTAAGCCAGTAAACCAAGGAATCTACCAACAGAAACAGAAGAAGAGTCTCCATGCACTCGCTGAAATAAAGGTCGGTAACAAACTGGCCAGTCTAAGGATACTTAACTCATACTGGGTCGGACAGGATGCGACCTACAAGCACTACGAGGTGATCCTGGTTGACCCTATGGTACAGAATATACGTACAGACAGTAGAATCAACTGGATATGCAGTAATAAGCATAAGAGAAGGGAGTGCAGAGGGTTAACAACTGCCACTAAGAAGAGCAGAGGACTCGGTCGGGGTACACGGTATAATAAGACCAAGGGAGGATCGAGACAGGCTGCTTGGAGGAAGAGTAACACAGTTTCCCTGCTTAGGTACAGGTAATAAATTAGGATTACTCAGGGTGTGTCAGTGTATTACTACAGTACTAATAGGGACATAATAACAGGGACTGCCGATCGGCGACTGTGGCGTACGATACGGTCGGTGTGGGGACTTGTTCTGTTTAATTATTGGTTGCTTATTGTGTGTGATAATATTACTTATTTTTTATTTTATTATTTATAACGGTTTCCTTATTTGGAAATATCAATATACTTCCTTTTTTTTTGGTTAAAACAGTTACTTCCATATATGGATATAATTTACTATTTAAATACTTTATAACTTATCACACACTGTACACTATTTATTGTATAACTTATTACACACTGTACACTATTTATTGTATAACTTATTACACACTGTGCAGTATATATATAATACTTATCACACACTGTACAGTATATAATATATAACTTATTACACTATATGTTATAAGTCTTTTCTTTTTTTTTCTTATGGAGTCAGACAGAGAGTCAAGTGATGGGTTTGAAATAGTCTTACAGGACACAGAAGATACACAAATAAATTCAGACTTATTCGTTAATTACACAGAAGATGATAAGCCATGGAATAGACCAGGAGAAGATATAACAGACTACTTTAATTATGGATTCAATGAGCACACATGGAAAGAGTACATAGCAAAACAAAAAAGACTCAGAGAAAAAGCAAAAAAAAAGAAAAAATAACGGAATATTACCAAATAAGGCATAAAATAAGTTAAATTACCATATACGTACTATAAAAATATTAATTAATAAATATAACACAATATATAATATATAATAAATATGCCACAATATATAATAAATAATATACAATATAAAGTACAGAATATATAATAAATAATATACAATATATAATACAATGGCTTATTAATAATACACAATATATTACATAATGACTAATAAATATAATATATTACACAATGACTAATTAATTATATTTATTACACAGTATGTAAAAAGTACTATATAGCCCAAATTATAACTATACCATAATATATTACACAATGACTAATTAATTATATTTATTACACATTGTGTTATATATTATATTTATTGTACACTACAACCCACTCAGCATATTCTCAGTGTGCGGATAAGTTTGAATATGACATAAAAAATTTAATGGTCGTGGAGACAAAGCAATTCTGCAGAGAGTGCAATAATATGTTATACCCAAAAGAAGATAAATTAGAGAAAATGCTGTACTTGGCATGCAGAAATTGTGAACACTTTGAAGAGGCAATCACTCCCACTGTATACACAGTAGAATACAGAAAAAGTAAAGGGAAGGACGTAATAACCAGTAGTATCGGTAAAGAAATAGCAGAAGATCCTACATTAAGAAGAGTAGAGAAAGAATGTACTAGATGCAGCTGTAAAGTACACGCAGTCTTTCAAAAAAAAGATGAAAGAGGAGATGAACCACTCTCAGTTAATTACGCCTGCTGCCGGTGCTTTAAAATAACCAATAGCTTAGATGGGGTTAATGAATAATATTAATTGTTGTATTTATTGATTATTTTGTCTTTTTTTATACTCAGATATGGAAATAATAGTAGGAAATCTAGAAATAGTTTCATTTATCATTTCATCTACTTGTGTCTCTGAAAGTTCCTCAACAGAAGACCATTCTTGATCCTTTTCTGCGGTGCACTTGCCAATTATTTCATCCTGCTCTGTATTTTCACTGTGTGCCTCGGATTCACTTGTTGTTGAAATAATACTCTTTATTACACTCGGTGGTATTTCTACACTATTTAATGTATCATTGCTGGTATAACTGTCATTGTATGATGGTCTTTTTTTAGGGGGCATTCTTAAACGCAATCCTTTTTTATTACATAATATTTCATTTAATTCTTCTCTCTTTCTGATTTTTTGGGTGTTAGTTATGCTGGGTGTTAAATTTCTGGAGTCTGGCTTGGATGGTGAATTATTTGTATTTACTCGGATAATCTCTGGGATTAATTTATTATGTGTAATACTGCTGGTAATTGGTTTAATTTCTGGTTTTACCATAGAAGAGAAATGCTTTTTAATGGGAATCGTACTGGCCACATACTTTATTGGAGAATGTCCTTTTTCTTTCACTATATGTGGCTGTTTATGAAAAAAATCAGATGATTCTGTGCTGTTTTCTTTGATTTCTGATTCTGCCATGGCTTCATCAGAAGAATTGCTACTGTCTATTTGGTCTTCTGTATCTGAATTGTACTCTTCAATCCCATGCTTTATTGTTTTTACAGAAATTGTCGGATTGTCTCCAAGGTACACCTGAGAGTGGGCAGAATTTTGTATAGAATCACCCATTAAACATAAATTAATGAAATTTCTGTTATTTAAAAAATCAAAATTTTCTAACTGATTTTCTATATTAGGTAAATTACAAGATTCTTTATAAATATTTATCTCATTCTCTATTCTTTTGCTGATTAATTCAACTTCTTTTTCTACATTTACATCCCTGCACACAATGCTGTTTACTTTCTTGTTTTTGTGTGACATATCACCTGCATAACTCATTCTTTCAATGTACAGGCTCACTTTCCTGTCTGAGCTCGTGTTTACTATAAAATACCCCTTAAGTAATTTACAGTGCATATTTAATAGTGAGGATATGTCAACAGCTATGTTCTCTTCTTTTTTAAGGAATCTTAGTGCATCATTGGATACATACGCAGTGATTGTATTAAGATTGTCTGATATTCTTATTATGTGACACTTGTCTTTCTTCGGACCTATCACACACTCTATCTTAAACACATAAGGATTGTATTTGGCTCTGGCTACCCCTACTTTAACTCTGTTTATACCGTACGGATCATCAGAAAGCCTCTCCTGCTGTGATAGAACAGCTTGTGTTGTTGTGTCAGTCTGCATTATATCCCTGCCTATTTTTACCCAATTACATCCTATGTGCTCCTGCACTTCTGTCACCATTGACTTAATCCAACTATTCATTCAGAATTCTCAATTCGTGCAAAAATTGCATTGTAATAAAAGAGTAAAATACAATTAGAAGAAGAAATAATTAAATATTAGAAGATAAATAAATAACTTGCCCTAGTGAAGGAAACCAAATAACCCATGAATATACCATATTATAAGACATAACCAGAAAATGAGGAAACCTTCTTGTTCTATTTTAAAGTTGTAATATTTCCTTGTATAATACTGCTGCATATTATTAGAACAATAACCAGAAAATTCTTACCATTGCATATGGTTCTTCCGTATTTCTTGATTATGCTCTACTTGAATATTCTAAGATTAATAGGAAATATTTAGAGTGCCTGTTAAATAGAATACTTATAATTAGAGTACTTATACGCACTTTAGTAAATAACTACTTGAGTTTCATATGCTATTGATTATATTGCTATAATATCAGTTTCGGGTTATATATAATTATTATTTTTTTGTTTTTATATTATGTCATTAATAGAGAATATCCAAGATTTAACAGAAAATACTAATACGGCTTCTCCTCTCCTAAATGAAACAAAAAATGACAAATGTTTTTATTTAATGCCTGTATTATTTATATTATTAATTGCTCTTTTTGCATGGTGTATTATACTAAATCCTAAGTTGGTTAAAACAGTAGTTAAAATCTTATTCGAGGAGTTATATGGTATGTTGTGTGGTCTGTCTTATTATATATATAATTTATTTAAAGCTAAGGATACAATACCACCCGAATCACATAATGCAATAAAATATATAAAAATAAGGAAAAAAGCATCTGAAATTACAAACTTACAGACTATTCCAGAGAATGAATCATCACATGATTGTTTATCAAGTTTACACCATCGACAAAATACATTAAATCCATTGAATTCACAAGAATCCACTAAAACTCCTGGTTACTGATTCAAATATACCCCCGTCCCAAAATTACAATAAATTAGTATGGGTTGTTTCTATTAATGCAATGTGAAGTAGTCATGGTTTATTAAAATAAAATATTAGTTATGCCTTACACATAAAATAAACATTGAAATTATTAAGAAATCATCTTTTTATACCAAGTGTGCTTACCTTGAGGTGTTTATGTTAAAGAATTGAGTTTCTATTCTTTCTTTCTTTTTTCCTATTTCCTTTATACTTTTATTTCTACTCTTATTATTGTATTAAATACAACAATCCTATAATCCTACAACAACTGTATACCTAGTCAATTCACACTAATATAGCACGCCTGCCACTCTCTTCCATCACATACTAGAATTATAGCTACCCACACCACCCGAACTCATAGTTAATAATGACATATTTGCACCCACTCTCACAAGTTTGTATATTATACGCACACGTCCTCACTAACTCATTCCTCCATTTATTTCTGCCCTCCTCACATACTATGCATTCTTGGCCTTCTTTGAAGAGCCCCTTCGCAAAAATAACCTGACGAAAAACTCTGCTGCAGGGGTATGAAAAGTGAGGAAAATGCCCAAAATTGGCCCAAATATTCGGGTTAAGTCGGGTTGCAGGGGTATACTTACCCTAAAGGGAAAAGTTGCGTCCCAAAGAGGAAGTGAGAAATATGTGGGGTATAAATAGAGAAGGAATTTTAAATTTTATCCACAGGACGAGAGACTTCTCAGCCACAGACAAATACATTGTTCGGTCTGGAAACACTCAGCCCTGTGGGTCAGTCCGAAACAAAATCACCTGTGGCCAGATTGGTTGGCTACGTGTTCGGTGTGGGGGCCAGCCGGCCTGTGGCCCCCTTGTTCCTTAAGTTCTTCCTTCATCCATCACTTCGTCAATCCTATATTTCAGGACTAAAATTAAAAAAATATCCCGTCAGAAAAAAATGAAAAAAGTATAATTAGTCAATGTATGGCTGTGTATAGTAGTAATAGAACATGAAGAGAATATGCATGGCTTTAGATTAAGCATATGCTATATGCACTGCCATATACCTATAATTTTATGCAACGTATATAATTAAACTTATATAAATATGCCCGTTTACTTCATATAATCCATAGTATGTATCCATATGAAAAAAAGCTCGTGCGAAATTTCTGGTTGGTTTATAAATATTCTTAAATAGACATCATTCTAGTAATTAACGCTTATTTATTGCTAGTCATTATATAACTCATAATTTTATGCCAAATTTAATTAAATAATTGCTGTATTATAATTACTAAAAGTATGATACATTATTAATGAAAGTCAATTATAAGCCTTTTAAACGGAATTTTTATAGTGGGATAGATGTATTCGGTTGCATATGCGTCTAGAATGGATATACATTTGTCTCTAATCAACTATTTAGATATGTTTAAGAATGTAAGACAGTATTGAAATTTTGGGGTTGCATTTTAGCATAGCATAAAAGAGACACAGTGCTCGCCATGAGCATAACTGTAAGATCAACTCCAATCACCACCTCTATTATTGATCTATTATTTGTAGAATTGGTTATAATATTTATAATTTCTAGAACTGCAAAATAGTATAGAATAATAAAAATCATCAATGTCAGAAGCTTATTGTACATTACCCCACATTCATGTATATTCATGCATATAAACTTCCAAGCAGTCATCATTAGAATATAAATAACCAGAAAAATCAGTATAAGTAGCGCATACATTATTGGCAGGATGTGAATTGGCGATTTACATAGCCACCACAGTGGAATTATTAAATTTTTCTGAATTTCAATGATAAAATATACTGCTATAGCAATGGTGCTTATTAGTAATGGCGTGTTTATAAAAAGTTTCAAGTAGTAAATCACAGTTCTATTTATATCAAAATACGAAATAATTTTAATAAATGCAATGTATCCGAGCAGCAAAGCCATCATTATTGAAAGAAATAGATATAAAATAAGTATCATATCTAAAATACCATTCAATAATTCAAAGAATTTATCACATGTCCACAATTCTTTAACTTCTATTTCATAGGAATAAAATTCCCAATCCATTCTATTATTTGTTCTAGCCGATATATGCTTTCCATTGAATATTTTAATCAATGCGGCTGCCATTTGTTTGGCGGAGTGGTTTATTATGTTCAATGTGAACATATTTGTTTTTTTAGCTGTTAGAACATCGATATCCATTTGAATATAAAAAATTAAAATTCGGGTTATAACATTGAATAAAAATACAAATTTGAGATACGCTATAAAAATTATAGTAGAAATACTGTAGCATACCGTATATAATACATTATTAAAGAAAAAACTGTTTTAAAATAGAAAACAGTTTATTGACACAGGGAGTGATATTTGGGGTATCTTAATGGCGCCACAAACTCATATTCTATATATCCCAAGGCGTTACTCGTGCTCCTGGTGTTGCTGTAAAACAAACAGCAGAAAGGACTTAAACATACTGTATAATTTTAATGAAAACTAACTATGTAATACTACTCTAAAATTAATTATAATTCTAGCAATAATTATAGTTTTTGCCTTTCACAGCAATGTAATGACGATCACAGTAATTAAAATGGTGACCAGGGATATAGCGATTCCAGCGGATGCCCTGCCCTATCCTAAAGACTTAATATTGAATCTAGTGTTTGAGGAGTATACCTTGTATTTAATATACTTTTTCATACCGTCATCCTAGTCCAGTATATTTTAATTGTTGAACTTAAAAGACAATTGCAAATACTAAATATAAAAGAACTGAAAAAATTGCTAGTATATAGCATTTTATTTATAGTAATAGTTGGTTACTCCCTTGAACATTATTAAAACTCATGCAAATTTTTATTATTTTTCGCCTTATATAGTTTCAATTTCCAATTATGCAACTCTATAAGACTTCACGGATGTGGGCGTGAGGCTCCCACATGGAATATGGTTCCTCTCATACGATAGAAACCAACAGTAATATTGGTTATAGGTGGAATGCTAGAGCTTATAGAGAATTTAATAATTATAAAGAGTATATCTATTATTTTTATAATAATGCACCTTGCGCATATTATTTTAAAAATTGTTGACATATTTTTTCTTATGAATAAGAAAGGCTTCCGTGTTATATTCTTTAAGTATAGTGGACCATCTCTAGAGCAAACGGGGGTTGTATTACATACTATAAATGTATTGGTATATATACTGGTAGTTTTTACGCTCATTATTTCTATACATGGATGGTTGCCCACACACTTATATTTAGATTCAAATCATTTTCTGAATACATACCACATAATTAAGCTGTACATTGCGTATAAACTTGATTTTTATGGAATGCACACTAATTTAGTTTTTTAAAATTATTTCTTTAAATATATTTTTATATTCATTATAGGCATAATGCTATATACATCCATAATTTCAGGTTTCGGGTTATATATATGTATTTATTTATGTCATATCTTGATATCTTAGGTGTGGATATACTGAATAAAGCCAAAAATACTTTGTGGTATTTCGGGTTATATTGCTTCTCCTATTTCTCTTTTGATACTATTACTCAGCAAATTTAAATAGTGCTTAATTAAAGAGTGAATAAACATAGAGTTGCGTGGTATGGCTTTTATAAAAGAATTTATAAGATCGTTTGTATTATTGTTGCATATTCTTTTTTCGGGTAACAAAAAGGTATATGTGTAACAAGGGTGCATATCTATAACAATACTACTCTGTATATCATTATATATGTAGGATATTGCAAGAGTTCCAAACAAATCATACTCGCCACTTGGTGTTGGTAGCTTTTTAACCTCAGATAATGATGTAAATACTTGTCTTTCTTGGATGTCCATAGTTAGATCACTGAACACACCGTGGATAAACGTGTTTATCTGCGAAGTCACTTCAATGGGAATAACATCAAAAGGGCTTGATAGGGTTTTCAAAAGATTAAGTATATTTAGATTAATATTAGAGATATTTACTATTTTACTAAGTAAATCGAATAGATTGAATATACCACCCTTTAAGGTTGCTTTCAGATATCTGTTTATGGAGGAGTCATGCATACTTCTTTTGTTAAATACTGTGCTTGCTAAAAACCTATTCCACTCATATAGTGCATTCTTAGTATTTTCAGAGGGTGGTGTGAAACAGTTTAAGAGCTCTGTTTTATTTTGGTAATAGTCTTTTGGCATATCATAAATTAAGAATGTGCCTTTTTTAGGGGAGTAAAGAAAGCACGACAATAAAACAAATAGACATGTGCTCATGCTGCATGTATTGTACATAAGAGGTTCCTTTGAGCCAATGGGGGAAAAAATTCCAGGAAGCATGTAATTAAATGGTTTTTTATATTTGATAGAAAATGGAATTGGAGATGGTGGTTGACAGATGGTCTTAAATGTGCTATAGAACTCTTCTGTAAAAAAAGAATAGCATATTTTTTCTTTACTTATGAATATATCACAATATAAACTTTTTATATCAACATTTGAAGCTGTGCGCTGATTTTTGGTATGCTCAATTGAATAGCTTTTAATTTTTCTATACACTTCATTATAAAATGCAAAAACATCTGTTTCATTCTCAAAATACTCCCATAGATACATCTGTATTAAGTATTTTGGACTAAGCATAAAATTGTTTGCATTTATGTCTTTTATACCTATGAAGTCATTTTTTTCAGCAATCATACTTGAAAAGCAGGCATGTTTATTGCTGTTTTTAAAAAAATTAATTATATCTTTGATATACCCAGACTCTACACCTATAATTTGTAGATCCCTTTGGTATATTAATACTGCGACCCGAGAAAAGTCATCGCTTTCACTGGTCATATTATTTCCGCCTATGACATGATTTATGCCTATATTTATCTCAACGCCTTCAGATAGAAGGAATAGCATTGCTAGAATATAAGCCCCATTGTTTTTTTGCAGTAAAAATTGCTTAAATTCGGAAAATTGATTCTCTGGATAACCAGGAATGGCGTATGATGGAAATAGAATATTAAATACGTGAATATACTCAAGCAAATACCTTTTGTCTATACTGTTCGATGTTCCTAAGTAATCTCTATTACAAACACTCATTTTTTCTATTCTTTCTTTCTCTAGCTTTATTCTGTCATGCAGAATTTTAACCATTTCTGGCGTGCAGTAAATATATCCTCTTAAAAGATTCAAACTTCCACTTTCATTAATAAATAAACCTCCAGCATTGTGCAATTCTATATTTGGTATGGGCGTGTATTGCAAGGCATACAAGCTATCTATGCTTAGTCTACAAGCTACTCTATAAAGAGGTATACTATAAAGTAGGCAAAGAATAAACAATTTAGAAATATTTTGAGTTGTTATACAGTAATTAGTACAGAAGTACTTAGACAGCCAGAGTATATTTCTTAATATATTTCTCATAGGCGTGTATAAATTAAAAAATTACTGAATAGATGCATATATAAAGATTCTAATATTAAAACCATGTCAAGCTGATTATTTGTGAATTATTATATCAATAAACTGATTTCCAGTTTAAAAAGCTGGCCAGCCATTATTTAATGGTTATGTGTGCATTCTATGCCTTAATGCATGATAGTATTATAAGAAATCACATAAATCTATTTTATGTATATTATACACTATATTATTCTACTATAATTAGAATATATCCTAAGTATAAAAGTTCGAAATTTATGAGAGTGTACAGATTCTATTTTTACTTTTATATAAATAAGTAAAATCGATTTAATTCACAAAGCTTAACACAGACACTTGGTATACAGAATTATGAAAAAGGAATTATTAAGTTATAATAAGACAATTTTAATTAATTAGAAAGCGGTTAGCCAAATATCTGCAGCTCTTTAAAACTAGAACAGATGAATGTGGGCTAATTAATTCGACTATAAACCTGTGTAGCATAGAGATAACATAGAGAGAATGTAACATGTATATGGGATAATAATTAATTGTTATCCACTAAGCACAGCAGCATAGATTTTTAAGATTAGTATAGAATACATCTCTGTTATTGGCCAATTGATGCTCTATATATTATATTTCGGATATAAACAAGAAACAGCCCAAGCTTTCAATGCAAGAGATTTTTTTGATGTTTTAACAGACTACTATTTTAGTGTTTGCTTAGTATTATTATAACACATTTGGAGTGTGTTTTATTTAGCATATATTCAAGACATATCCTATAACACTGAAAAAACAATGCCGGTCTAGGCATGGCTAGTTTCCAGTGCTAATTAAATTTATTGTACTACGTATACTCTCATTCATAGTACTCCACTAATACCTTCAAATATTGCTATTGAAGGCATGTACTGCAATTATTAGTCTGATATATATTTCTATATACTAGACATATATAATTGAAGCGTATAATTAATAAGTCCCCATGAACCGATCTATTCAAAAACTAGTCTAATGTTTATCTTGGTTTATGCGCTGACGAGTGAGCAAATGGATTTCTATGGGGGGCATCCGCTGAAAAAGAGATATTTGAGGGAAGTCTAAGTATTTGATATGCAAAAGGAAAGCACAACTACTTAGCATGAGCATTCAAGTAAAGAACTACGATTACGCAAATGAAACTTTATAAGAAGAGAGACTTATAAGAAGAAGCACATAAACGCTAAGAATATATTAGGAAATGTCATGAATGTTCAGATAACCCCAAATCCACCTCTAGTCCTTTTCCCGGTTATGGGTGCAGATGTAATAATCTGTTGAGTTATTGTATAACTAAATAAATTGCCCTTCTGTACAGTAGCAATAAGTATTTGTTATAGATAAGTCACAGGCCCCAGACTATGCGCCTGGGGCATGCAAAAAATAAAAGCAAAATAAAATATCTTCAAATGATATACAAAGATAGATTATTTATCTTCCATCATATATCAATATACCCAAAATAGCCCAAATAGCGATTGAAAATGCAATAGAGGAACAGCACCATAAGATAATTAATTAATTAACTATACACGGTGCTGTATGCTAAGACTAGCATTTGTGTAGCACGACATGAGTTATTGGAATGTTTACATAGACATGGCAGCACAAATTAAATCAGAAATTGTTGTTGGCACAATACGTCAACATAAATTAAATTGCTTATGCGGACTGTAAATACGTATACAAGATTCAATAAAAGTCAAAGTTTAAGAATGCCTTTCCTAAAAAACAACTCACCGCATGAGATCCGACTTAAAAATCTGTAAATAATTAAAATCTATTTGTATTACAACCAGTTAATATGTATTTAGTTGAAACACATTTAGCATATAATCTATGGTGTATCTTAATCTGTTTATAGATCTTACATGTCAAACTAGGGTTATTAAGTGCATAGAAGCCATTATACTCATCTAATACTTTGATTTATTACTTGTTCTATTTATGTGTGCAGTGCATCAATCCATGCTCTCTTCTCATCATCTCCCAGCACTGCAGTTGGTGTGGTCTTAAATAGTCCATCGATCACAACTATTTCAGTGCTTGTGGTCTTAGATCCAACAAAGCATGCAAAGTCGTTTATCAGCACTCCAGATCCAATCACATCAGATCCCTTATTAACAGTTCCTGGGAGCACTTTTACATTCAATAAGTCAGACAGTTCAGAAACCTCCTCTGGAGTAGTCTTACTACTCACAAGCATAGAAGTATTATTCATTACAGCATAAGAGCCAACTAACCCATTCTCTGCCAAGGCGTACTTAAACAGATCTACTCCCAATACATCACTAACCAGCTCAACAGTTTCTGGCGAAACGTCTGGATGTATCAAAGCAGAGTTGTCATTTGCAAGTATTATATTTCCTAAAGCGTTCAGTCTTTCCTCTATTCTTCGCACTCTTATCTTGTCTGGAAGAGAGTTTCTAATGTGCTGTAATTCTTGGTCTGTTGTACTAGAAGAGACCAAAAGACCTCTTGAGTTACCAATAGACTGTGTACCAGTCATTCTTATGCCGTTAATTGTTGTTTGTATCACAGGAATATTAAGTGCCTCTTCAAAAGCGGACACAAAAGATGTGTTGTCGGTTGCGGCTACCAGCGCATACATATTAGTTAATCTTACGAATGTTCCTATCTCCTGGGAGCTTTCAAAGCTTATTCTTTGGCTCATAAAAAATTTACAAAAATAAAATATTTATAAAGAAAATACTACCAGCTAAAATAACAGACTAATGGCCAAGCATCTGAACAAAAACAGAAAAGTGTAATAACCCGAATAGCACATCTGGTGATAGTAAACTTGTTTACAATACTCAATTAATTTTATATTAAGCACGTTAAATCTGCCTTGTAATACTCTAATAGTCAGAAGCTGGTAAATATTCTACTGCCAGCCAAATAACCCGAATAACCCGAAATAACACAATATCCAACTTTAATTGGCATATGCTGTTAGTAATACTATTATAATATGAATATTTATTTAGTCACTCTAAACCCTACCCAGCCTTATGCCTAACCCGAAATTTTTCTACTTCTGTTTATTCTACCATCAAAGCACTCTAAAGCACTAACTGTATACTACAATACCAACAGTGCACCATAATATATTCAGACTAATTATTATATAGTACTGTGTTTATGATGCCATTCCGTGCCATTTGTGTGTAATTAAAAGCACTAATGATGCAGTCTGATAATAACAAGCTAGTCCGTGCGGCGGGGAGTCCTTTTTCTATTTTATGTTCTGAATTCTATTTTTACTTTCTGTAGTATTCGTAGAATTTATAGAGTTCTGTCTTGATTGTCTCTGCCTCCTTTGCGTGCACTGAGTCGTGCTGTGTGAATATAACAGTCTGTAAGAATAGCATAGATCTAAAGATATAATCTGCAATATTTGGTCTACACTCTTCTTCCAGCCCATACTCTAATGTATCCACATCGAAACACTTGGCACAAGAAACCTTCTTATTTTCAGATACTCCCGATACATTTTCTTCCTGGTCACTGGTAGATAATGAGACAGATACATTTGCGTTCTGTGGATCTTCTTTTGGTTTGTTTCTGGATCTGTTCTCTGTACTCTGCCGGATTTTGTGCTCCTCGCATGTAATCTGTCCGCCGTGAAGTGTTCTAAGCCGATCTGCAACAAATTTGAACTCTTTGATCCACTTACTTTTGTCTCTAGATGACTTCTTCTTTGGATATTCATGAAAGTCTAGCTGATAGTACTCCTTAAGCTTTTCTGATAAATCAAGTTTTTCCTTCTTTTGAATTTCGTTCTCTAATGCATTCTGCGCCTGTAGTATCTCTTCAACTTCCTCAGCCCTCCTCTCCAAAAGAAGACTCTTTTCCTGGACTGACTTGAAAAATCGCTCAAATGCCGCTTGGTCTACAGATGAAACAGACGTACCATACCCAGATCTTTCCAAAAACTCCAGCAGTTCATCCAATTCTTCCTCTTTACTCTGTACAGGGGCAGCTTCCACTGCGTATGGGTGTACATCAATCGGAGGAAGTGTTTCTGGCTTTGGCCCTGGTAGCTCTAAGTGTGGAGGCAGATTGTTTAATGTAGATAGATGTATTAGTGTGTTGGATAGTGTTGAATTGGGATTATACCTTGTGATATTTGTACTAACTATTTCCGTTAGATCTATTTCTGATTTATTGTCACTTTCTTCATCTGTCTCTATATTATCATACCCATAAATCATTCTTTCTATTATTTTTAATTTTTCCTCCTTCTTTTTCTCAATTAACAGCTCTATTTCCTGCGCTCGCTTTTTCTTGAAGTATTCTTTTACTGTTTCCCCTGTTTTATTCTTAAAATATTCCTTTACCATCTTATTATATTCATTCTTCCAATTATTTGAAGTGGTTTTGGCATACACTTTAAGATACGCTGCTATGAAAGAGGTCTTCTTTAATCCGTATCTGGTTATAGCATTAAGTAAGTGAAGACGTGTAGTTGTCGTCCACATTTTGTAAAAAAATTTGCACTTTCTTATTTATCCATTGAAAGCTCCATATATTAAAATGATTAATGCATAATTCACATATACAATAAATATATTTAATAAACTAATTATAACGGAATATTAAATAAAAATCTAGCGATATTATGCCAAATATGGACTAATTATAACGGAAATTAAATTAACAACCGTGTAATATGTCTAAATATGGACATGTTGATGTTGTTAATTTGGGAAGAAATAGCTATATTAGTGAAAGCTACGTATTATTTAGTGCAAATTGTACACACGCAAATGGCAGTACTCTGCGCGCAGCGATAGATAGTTCTTTTTATTTGCAAGCTGCAGAGTGCTATTCTTCCTCTAGCAAAATAAACCTCCCTAGTCTATTTATTCTCAAGTAAAAAGTTTTTCATGCATATTTTACAAGAGACACCGGTGGGATACGCTCTATTCAAGGATATGCCATTAGAGTTAGTAGAATTATTTAGGTATACAGACATCAAGAATGCGACTGAATCGGTCATAGGCATACCAGAAGGAGTTCTTCCTTCTTCCCTCCTTCCTCTTTTCTCGCAGAACATCTCAACGCTTACTCTTTCTAACGCAAAGCTAGCAGAAGTACTGCAGAAAGAAGCAGAGAATAAAAATATGAAAATAAAAATCTGCACTAGTGAGGATAAGGATAGAGAGATACAGAGTAGATTACCCGAGCTATTAAGCATAGAGGAGAAAGAGTTAGATAGATATTCTCTGATTCTTGCACACTCTTTATGCCGTGAAAAATTAAAGATGACTCCGCAGAAGAATGATGCCGTTATAGTGCAAAGCATTCGGGTTATTTCCCGCTTAGATAAGGACATAAACAACAAATGCATGCGCATCAGGGAGTGGTATGGAATGCACTGCCCAGAGCTAGGAGAGCTAATAGAGGACAACCAGAAGTATATAGAGACAGTAGCAGTGCACTTAGCAAGAATATTACCAACTAAAGAGAGTGATACTACAGATGCAGAGATGGAGCTGCCAAAAGAATTATCCGCAATCCAGGGAATAACTCTTTCTGCAGAAGTAGAATCTGCTCTGAGCACAACTCTTTCATCAGAGTCCACACCCGAAGATGCTCACCTCATTCTATCTTCTGCCCTTCAACTGCTGTCAATGTTCTCTTCAAGAGAATCTCTGCATGCACACTTACTCAATCGATTATCCACCGTAGCTCCAAATCTTCTGGAACTTTTGGGGCCACAGATAGCTGCTTTATTAATCTCAGCCGCAGGATCACTTTCTGACTTAGCAAGGCTTCCTGCTTCCTCAGTGCAATTGCTTGGTGCAGAAAAGGCTCTGTTTAAGTCTCTGAAAGAAGGCAAGTCTACTCCAAAATACGGACTAATTTATAATTCATCATATGTTGGCCAAGTACCACAGGAGATAAAAGGGCAAATAGCCAGAACTTTGGCTAATAAGATAGCTCTCTGTAGCCGATGCGACATAGCAGGAGAGGAAGAAGAGGGCGAGTATGGAATGCGGCTTAAGGAGTACATGAACAATAGAATAAGTGAACTAAGCAGCAGAAACAAGAATAAGACTAGATCAGCACCGGCAGGGAATAAGAGAAGAAAGCACTAGGCAGTGCTACGCAGATATAAAGCAGACTAAAAAGGTGTATTCTCGCAGATATATCCGGAAATAAAGACTGTGCCAATATCTGTACATAATAATCTTAGACATAACAGATTGATTTGTTTATTATGCTATATTTAGTCTAATCTACTCTATCACTATACAGACAGACTAATTATTATTGCATATACAATAGAATAACGTATTAATGCACTGTGCTATACGCCATGCTTAGTCTAGTACAAATAATAGGAATAAAGTAGAGTATTAAGATATTTTAAATAGTTATTTTTCATTCAAGTATATTTACAATAGAATGTACTTAAATTATTCTTAGTGCCTACTCGCCCAAAAATACAACTTAAGTCATTAGCTTTTGTTTTTATATGGCTCATAGTCAGAAATTGAATTTCTTTTTTGAGTATTTCATACTCTCGGCTTGTTAATAGAATGTGGTTGCATTTTCTTTATGCTATTATACCTACGAAAAACTTCAGGTTAGTTGCTTTGAGGCATAATGAAATCTGTTTTCTTTACTAGTACAAATATTACTACTGCAACTATAATAAAGACCATCATTATCATGTAAAAATGTGCTGGGTAAAAACCTAGTATTTTAGATGGCTTATTCTGCTGCATGTTTAATTCTTTAGTTCTGGTATTCAATGGAATATTGCCATTTGGTCTTCTGTTTTGAAGTTTAATACACTGCTGGTTTTCATATAAATGCCGAGGATTCGAAACCCCCATATAGTTAGGATCATCACTGCTTATATTAATAACAGTTGTTTCTACTGTACCACTATCTATAGCTTTTCCTCTTTCTAGTCTTTTGTTCATCTAATAATTAACCAGAGTACTCAGATATTTTAATTTAACAATAAAAATGCCAAATCAAATACAAATGCCGAAATGCCATACTGTAAGATAAATCAGCAAGAATATGCATTACAATAAAAATATTAAAACAGAAATAGTGCATATCCCGAAACCACAAATAATATTCTTTAATATAACTAGCCTTTAAGCCAATAATTTCAGGTTATATAGTTACTCTTCTATGACATTTTAATTTTCAAGTATTTTAGTCATGTGCAATTTAATATATTTTTAGCACAATTCTGGGTATTTATTCTATAGGCAGCTTATATTACAGACTTTAAAATAATTTTGTGTTTATAAATAGTACATATTTTATTTGAAAATGAATAGTTTAAATAAATTCAGGATATATTCAATAATAATTAGCTAGTATATAATAATATTCAAGCACAATTATGGTTATTATACATTAACACAATTTATTCTATCATATTCTAATAAC